ATATATAATGTGTATATACATTCTATACCTAAAGAAGCCAATTAGCAAATTTGATATCTGCTTGAAGTGTTGTTGAATTCAACCTCATATTTTCTTTTAATATATAGATTTTTATTTGAAGGAAAAGTGTTGAACATTAAAAAGATTCTATTACAATTTCTTCTCAAGTTCCTTTCATAATCATTGATAATATTTGGTAAAAATCTCCACCAAAAACTATTATAGGTCCTCCAAATAGACAATCAATATCTCAAATATCTTTAAAAGAGCAATCAACTGCTTTTGGAAAATATCAATGTCACATTAGAAGTTCATTTCAAATAATAAGTGGACTTTGGCAAATAAATTCAACATAGTCAAAATTCTTAGTAATTGAACAAAAAGTGTCTTTGCTACAATCTAGTGAAATTTTCAACGTAGAATGAGCGGTTCTTCTTCCCTTCACTAGCAATGCAACAATTCTTGAAGATGCAACTTATATGATAATCTTTAGCATCAATCAAACTTTAGTTGTCAAAGTATTGAAGACAAATGACTTACCAATTCTTACAAGTCTATTAAAAAAAACATGCATCCATGTTATTTGAACTTTTAAATCTTTGAACTTTAAATCTAGATTTAGACTTTGAAATCATTTAGATCATATATTTTATAATATAAAATATATTATAATATTATTTATAATTACAATTATTATAGTAATAAAATAATATATATAATATATTATAAATATATTATTTTTATAAAATTTAATAATATATTATAAATATATTATTTTTATAAAATTTAATAATATATTATAAATATTATTTTTTATTTATTCATATATTTTTATTCATTTGAGTTACACTTTTTGTAACAACAATATGAATTTATGTAGATTTAAAGTTCAAAGATCATTCAAAAGTCGTTTAAAGTATGATGAAATGAGTTGGTCACAAACAATTCAATCCACGATGTTTAAATTGGAATTTGATTCAAACTAGAATGGTTCCAAAATGAAATTTTGCATGACTCAAGACAAAATTTTTAGTCCTATCATATGGAAGAATGTACGATTAATAGTTGCAACAAACAACCTTTACATTTACATCAAATATCCACCTCAATCCAAATGCTCCTTACTAGCATATTTTCCTTACCTTGTATTCAAATGTAATATCAAAAATAAATAATCATCTAGCACATTCAACCAATTTTTAACACCATTGAATTAGAAATAATGCAATACACAACAACTTGTACATTGAGCCATGCTTCATTGCCATTTATGTTCTTATTAGTACAATCAGAGATTAAGATCAAATATGTACCTAACAAAATCCCATTGCCTTTCACAGCTCATGCTTTGCTTCACTAGTGTTTGATTGCCTACTTTTCTCTAAATTATTGAACTTCACCTTCAATTGCTTTCAATTGCAAAAAAAAAAAAAAAAAAAAAAAAAAAATGCAACTTCAATCACATTTTCAATTGTATTTAGTCACAAGATTGCAAAAAATAAATAAATAAATAAACTCTGTAAATTCTTTGTGAACTCCCTATGAACTCCACTTAAGTGCATTTAGTTGCTAAATTGCAGGAAAAAAATGAGCCCTATCAACTCCTTGTGAACTCTCTATGAACTTTGCTTGAATTTTGGTCAAGCTTTTGCTTTTTTTTTTAACTTCAAACAATGTTAAGTTTTTTGATGAAAACCAAGAAGGATGCATGCAGTGGATGAAAGCCACTACTTGTTTCCTTGAGTAATCTTAATGTATAGACTAGATGAATCCATGTCATTGTCTTAAAAAGTGTGACCTAATATTTTTTTTGAAATATATGTTTGTAAGCTAATGAATAATTTTTAAATATTTTTTAAAAAAGAAATAAATAAAATTCATCATAGAGCTTGGAGCTACAAAGTAAGATACCTAAACTTATATCAATGTCAAGGATAATATGCAAAAAAAATAGTTAATTTTGTTTAAGGAACTACTTGTGAAATATTAAAAAAAAAAAAAAAAAAAAAAAAAAAAAAAAAAAACATTAAATTACATTAAAAAATCATAAAAGTGTACTAAGATATTCAAAGATGTATTAGAGTCAAATTTAAAAGATATGAAGCAATTTATTACGATGTCTTTAATAAATTATTTTATTGCAAAATTTCAATCTATAAATATAAAGTTATAAAATTATAAATTTAAAAATAAAAAGAAATAAAACTATAAAATTATATAGATAATTGATAAAAATATAAACTATAAAATTATAAAGATTAATATATATATATATATATATATATATATATATATATAGAATCTACTTTAATAATAAAAAATTAAGATTTCATGGTTCTTGAAGAATAATTCATAATAGTTTGGAAACATGTAAGAGTTTGGAAATTCATTTTTCCTTATAAAAGTAATATCCAGATGGTGTGCACGTAATCTATTTAAATAAAATTGATTAAATTCAAGCCAAAAAACAATACTTTCTCAACCACAATTTTTTGGTGCAATTTTAGATAAATCCTTATTCTATTGCACCTTACTATATTATTACCAAAGATAATAAAAGTGCCTTCAAAATTGAATAAATTGTATGATATCTCTTGCATTGGCCTACTCGCAACAAAGTTGATCACCTTACTCTTGAAGAATAGCCTATTACTTATAATAGTAAGATAATAAATTCTTTTAGCTTATAATTGATTCTATAAGGATTTAATTAAATAATAATAATAATAATAAAAATAATATAAATAAATAAATAAATAAAATCAAATCAAAATTTGTTCTTTAACTATCAAGTGCTTTCTTCTCCAACTATTGACAAATTATAAGTTTCTAATGGTAAAACTTATTGTTATCACTTCTATACACAATCCCTTGAAATGTCTCTAACCTTGCACTTCTCATCTAAGTCAATTAACATAAAAAGATACACTATTTGAAGCTACTTTGAACACTTCAAATAAAAGATTTCAAATTAAGAATTAAGTAACTTCTAAACTCTTTGCGATGCTATAGTAATACATAATATCATAGTGACTCTCAACAATGAGCTTTCACTTGATTGCTCATATATTGTTATTAAATCTAAAAAATTAACTACAGAAATGATAAAGCACACAACACTCAAACCATTAAACCTTAATACACTCACTCTGAAATTTCTTGAAATACACTCACTTTGCAATACAAAACACAATGAAATTTTTGTGTATTTCAACAATTACACAAAATATATATATATATATATATATATATATATATATATATAGTTATCTATTTTTTTGTGTAATACTTTGTAATATAAAGCACAATAAAAATATTGAAATGCATGCAATGCCAATACATATAGATTTTTGAATCTTTTGAAATATCTAGAAATACTTTCACTCTGCAATGCAAAGCTTGATAATATGATTAAAAAAAAATGGAGAGCATGGTTTTTGAAATCTTTGACATTTTGTTAAGTTTTTTTCTTAAGTTTGCTTGTAAACTGACCCTTGTTCTATATTCTCAATCACAAATTCTTAGATAGAAGCTCAAACATAATGCACAAATACTTGGGATATAAAAAATAAAAACTTTTAGCAAATACCTATTGCGATTATGAAGTGCAACTTCAGGAAAGTATAAAAAAATTGCAAATATTCCTTCATCTTCATCAAAGACCAAACTTCATCTTCAATCACATTGCGGGCATGCAACAAAGAACACATTACTAAATCCATCCACATTCAATTAAACTTTTGCAATGATGGATCTATGTAGCAAATGAGAACCACTATTTGTCTTAGCCATTTATCTTGAGTTTGCATCAGATTGTACTACTTATATTATGAACCTCAAGTTTGAAACAATCAAGTATTTGATAGATCCATTCTTTGTTAAACACTTTTTGTTTGAATAGTATTTAAAGAGACTCCAAGGCCATGTAAATCGAAAGCTTTTGTTACTCGTCAAATAGAGCGTCTCTCAGAGTTTGAGCTATTTTTTGTGATTTATGATCCCTTGTGAAACGCCTTGATTAATTGTAAAACATCCTATAGAATGCCATGATCATCTGTAAAACGTCCTATAGAATGCCCTATGAACTTTAAAGAAGACAAATATTTTTGATGAAAACAAAGATCCATCCATGTAACCATCAAGAACTACTACTTGAATCCTATGGAACTTCCCAATCTATTGCAAAACGTAGTGATGAATTGTAAAATGTGTTGTGAACTCTACAAACCATGAACTTTTTTGATGAAAACAAAGATCAATCTATGTGGTGAGTGAGAGCCACCACTTGTCTCCTTGAGCAATCTTAATATATAGATTGTACAACTTAGTTAAGTTGAATGCAATAAGATTATAAGAATTACAAAATGAAATATAATTTTATAAATACATAAAATCATTTTTAATAGATTTGTCTTAAAAGTGATAAATTCAAAACATTGAAAAGTAAGAACATATTATATAGGTTTTTGAGCTTGTAAAATTATGTCCAATTGAATGATTTCTTAATGTGATTTTGCATCCTTGATTTTTTTGTTTTATACTTTTAAACTTTGAGAGATATTATGTAATTTTACTTAAAACAGATCTTATAATATTTTCATGCAGTAATGAGCCTTAATCCTACACCTCTTCAAATGGAAACATATTAGTTCTTGTTAACATCTTTTTATCCGAATTTGTGTCAAAAGTTCAAACAAAGTTGTCCAAATTTACATGTCTTACAACAATATTTTCAGGTTTTTAATTAAATGCAAATATATATATATATATATATATACACTAACACACACACTCTGAACGTTCCCAGACAACAAATAGCTAATTAGAAACAACCTCTTCATTTTATGAAGTAAAAATATGAGTATATTAAGATAAAAACAAAAAAGGCAAACAAATGGGTTAAATCAAAATCTAAAATCCTCCGAAACCCTAATGTCTCAAGTGTCAGCACTTCAAAAATCACCCCATTCACACTCACGACCGAAATCTACCTAGCGAAATCATCCATCCAACGAATGTGGACAGAGTTTCCCCCTGCGCTCCGAAACCCTAATGCTGGCTGCTGCGGGGGAAGAGAAGCCTGGCCTTGTAAATGTGGAGCTAGGGTTTCGAACACTCCCTTTTCCTTTGCTCCTCTCGGGTTCCCTTCTTCCCCGTGCTCTGCCCTCTTCTCCTCTCTGCCGCCGTCTCCATCGTCCTCCTCCCCCCTTCCTCCACTGTCCATTATGGTATCTTTGCTTCTTTCTTCTTCTTCTTCTTCTTCTTTCTGGCTGCTTCATGCTGTTGCTGAGTTTTTGTATTGTTGCTTTCAGTCGATGGAGAGTTCTAAGTTGGCTCGACTGTGTTGGTGCCGTGTTCGTGTAGGCGGAAGCTGCAGAAGTCGAGATTGCGCAGCCCAAGAAGAGAACGTTTAAGAAGTTTACCTTCCGAGGAGTGGATCTCGATGCTCTCCTTGACATGAGCATGGATGAGCTCGTCGAGCTCTTCCACGCCCGGGCTCGCCGCAGGTGTGTTTATCTCTCGCGTCTCTCGTTCTTTTTCGGAGGTTTGTAACAGTGGCTTCGTGTGCGTGCCTCTTTTCCAGGAATTTGCTGTAAGGTCTGGTCATTCGTATTTTCTTGCCTTAGCGGAATCACCAGTGTTTCTATTTGCGTCGAAGCAGTAAGTGTTTGTGCTAGGGTTGCCGAAACCTGTTCTTACCATGGAGCTAAGTCCGCACAAATCTCTATGTTTCGTGATTTGAGCTTGTTGATTTGGCTGTTGTACATATATGTCCTTATGCTTCGAGGTATGTCACCTTTCTGTTTGTTTTTCTTTTAGATTAAACAAACGGATTCCAACCCGCCAGGCAAGTATCACTATCTAGCTGGAATGTGTTGGATTGTAGCTGAAATAATCGGTACGCAGGTTCCAGCGTGGTCTGAAGCGCAAGCCTATGGCGTTGATCAAGAAGTTGCGGAAAGCCAAGCGTGAGGCACCAGCTGGCGAGAAGCCTGAGCCCGTCAGGACTCACCTCCGCAATATGATCATTGTCCCAGAGATGATCGGTAGCGTCATTGGTGTGTACAACGGGAAGACTTTCAACCAGGTCGAGATCAAGGTATAATATTCGGTCACGCTATTTTTGACTCTCCATCAGTCCGTGCTATAGGGAAGAATTGATTGAATTCAATACTAGCTTGGACAACGGAGTAGAGGGTGGACTGGTTCCATTTGCAGCGTGAAAGCCTGACCTTGTAAATGTCTTTGTGCAGCCTGAGATGATTGGGCACTACTTGGCTGAGTTCTCCATTTCGTACAAGCCTGTCAAGCACGGTAGGCCCGGTATTGGAGCTACGCACTCTTCGCGATTCATCCCACTTAAGTAGAAAGAGAGCAACGGGAAAGGTTGGCATTTGTGTCTCTTTTTGTTTACTCCAATCTGGCGTGAACAAAATGTTAAGGATATGAGGGATTAATAGAATGCTTGGTGTCGGTCAATCAATTGCTTCCCCTCGGGCTTAAATTCTTCCTTCCTGTATTTGTACCTTGACGACGTGATTTGTCCTGTACATCTGAAGGTTTCTTATGTTGAATGTGTTTTGAGTAGCTTTGGTCATCTTCACATTCTTGGTGAAGTCTGTGTTCAACATGGTTGTGGCACACTCTAAATTTTGGCATCTTATGCAATTGACTTGATTTTTATATTCACCCTTTTAATTCTTTTTATGTCTACATAGTTGATAATGAACTAGACATTTGTATTCATGAAGCCTCGTCTCTGAGGATTCGCCTGAATCCGCCAGACATATTGTCTCGTTTTCAGCAATCTTGTTTCTAATTAATGATTTTGCTAGCTGGGATTTGGAATGGTACCTGGTTTTTTAATGGAACTTGCTTGGTTTCAAAATTCAACCCACTACCACCACAGAATGTGTTCCTCATTGTCCGCAGGCTTGTATTCACGTCGACTTAATGTAACAGCAATGCCGGCATCACTGTGAGGTGATTGTTTTACCTTATCCAACCTACACTTGCCACTTAAATATGGCATTTGGGATTATATCACCCACGCTGAGAAGTGATTACCATGTAGAACAACGAATAAACAAAGTGAATGAGTAGTGTACTGTAGCCCAATTCTGAGGTATCATACGTTCTGTCTAGATTTGATGACGCCCTTGATATGAATCTTGTTGGACGTGGACAACTTCATAAAAACCTGAATATATGTAGAATGCGAGTTGCAAAGCATCTCACGAAAATACGTTGTTCTATGTTTCCCTGCGATCAATCTCTAGTCACGTTGCTTACTCTGAGCAATTAATTATTCTACGTTAGCTGCACGAATACTCACATTCAAATTGTGTGATGCAATTGACACAACAGAAGATAACATATTTGTTGTAACAAATGGTTGTTGCCTAGCATTAGTTTTATTCTAGGATGCAAGCATTCATCACACAAAAATTCCTATCAATGTATAATTCACAAGTCACTCGAGTATATTAATTGGTTGATGTACTAAATAAAAAACTGTGTTGACAATACAGTTTTCGTTTTACTGTTTTTTTTACAAAGAATTTGTCAATAACAAAGGTTAGTTCCACTTAAATAACTCATATAATTTCATCGTCATAATGAAATAACCAATTTTTTTCAATGAACCAGTTTTGCGAAGATTATATTAGAAATCTTTTTATTACATATCATACGTTAATATTTACTTTAATACATATATATATATATATATATGTATATATATAAGGATAATAGAATAGGAATTGCACTGTCAATGTCAAATAACAAAGAATTACTCAAGTATTCTGAATCAAAATTATTTTCGTCAAAAAAACAAATATAAGACTTGTTAGTTTTGCAAGATATTGTTCCTTGTTGCAATGTGCCCTATTTTACATCTTTACATCTTCTCAATTCCGATTTGACTTCAGAACAATCTGTCTAAATGTTGTCTTTTAATTTCTGCATGTTGGATAGAAATGTTGATGTTTTTTACCTTCTGGAAATATCAAATTGTAGTTTTGCTTCCACATCCGGTTCATCTCTCGTCTTACTCTAGATGCTTCAAGTACACCACTGTGCTTCTTGCATTTGTACCATCAAAAAACAAGTTAACAATTTTTCTTCATTGACCGATGTTTGCATCCTTGTTTATCGAAAGGTGTTTTCTACATCACAGAGAGTCCCACTTTTGCTGCACTGACAACGTCTTTTATTTGAAAAGGCATATCATTTACTTTCTTTCATACAATTTATACGTTGTAAGAAACCGTTAACTCTCATTCTAGTTTTCCTTTCAGTTTTAGATACTCACTACTTAGGTTGTCAATTATGTACTACCACCTCACATTCAATACTGAAATGACTTGTTGGAACAGGCAAGTGGGTGAACAACGGCCAAGCCCGCGCTTAAGAGAGCAAATCATAGGCAATAAACTAAGAAATGAGGACACGGTTTTGATGGTGCTATGAAGCATGGTCACCAGTTGTGAGCTCCCTGGGCCAACTCACGAACAGAGTCTTTGGAAAGGTTAAACAAAGCTCCAGCGTTATTTCCCTTCCAAACAGAGTACCCCACTACACCCTCAAGCAAATGAAGTACAACTGTTGCCTGATGCTGTCCTTTCCTGATCCTGTGTAGGACGAAATGCTTAAAACTAAACACATTTAACTGGCATTGAAAGCAAAATCCTGCTCAGGTAGGACTCACAAAAATAAATTCGTAACTGTCCTGATGTCCAAAGTTCCGATCAGCTTAAAAATCAATTTGTACATGCAGTGTTCGTATGATGTACTTAAGTGCATTTCTAAATTAGAGACAAAGTCCCACCCCAAAATAATGAAATCAAATTATAACGGTGCAAGAGCCTGATCTAATAATCACCAGTAGATAGAGGAGTAAAGGGTGTGGGATTCAAACTCAACTACGATGGATCCCAAAGATGGAACGCGAAAGATGATGAGATTGCAGTTCCACATGCGTCTTGACTGCGAAACCATATTCTTAAAATGCATATTGAAACGCCATAAGTTGAGAAGATTCGAAGCAACATGGATAGTCAAATGCAGAAGTATCCACAGGGCGGAGTACTTTACTGTTCCTCTAAGACGTTCATCGATAACAGAATTACTCACAAAACAACCCCATTTACTAGTAGCGTATACAAGATCTACTCGTCATCCTCGTCCTCATCATCGTCTCCACCGGACGCCTTCTTGGATGCAGCCTTCATGTTCTTGCGCTTCACTCTTCCAGGTCGTCCACCACCAAGAGGACTCGACAGGGCGAAGTCAACGTGCTTCTGGCTGTCAACACGAACCATGAACGATGGTACATCGACAATCTGCTTGCCGACCCTGCAAACAAGCATCGAAAGTCGCAGGTGAATGACTGACTAATCTCATTGATCAAGGAAAACTATTTCCATACACAATCACGTAGCAAAGTGAAGGAGCATTATATTCGCCTTGAAATTCAGGATTGCCATAATGGATTGTGAAATACCCTACAACCCCTTCCTTCAGTAACAGTTTCGTTGGAAATAAATAAATAAGTCATGAGCAAATCAGTCTTCAGAATAACACTCAGACATTGAGACCTCTTGCTCGCACCAGTCGGATGAATGTAATTCTTTTATAGCCACAGAAAAGGTCACGACACACTAACCTGATGTGACGTTGCTTGATAAGAACACGAGCGTGATGGATGGATTTAGCCATGCCAGACTTGAACACAAGGGTCTGAAGGCGTCGTTCCAAGAAGTTCTCCACAGTGAGAGCCAGCACATAATCAAGCTTGCTCTGGTTCTCATCAAGAAGACCGTATCGGTTCATCCGACGCAGAAGGGCCTCACCCTCGAAGATACGACGAGTGTTCTTCTCATCCAAGGTAAGCAACATACGGGCATTGTTGCGGATACGGCTAAGAGCATACTGCACCCTCCAAAGCTCGCGCTTGTTCCGGAGTCCATACTCTCCAACCAACTTCAGCTCAGCATCAAGACGCTCCTTTTCGAAGGGCCTGCGGGGCTTCTTGAAAGTCTTCCCATCTGCACATATAACACATCAAACCAAGCTATCCCGTAAACCCCAACATAAAAACCGCCCTAAAACCTCGGACAACGCGTGTACACCCATTCCGCAAACCCTAAATTCAACCAAATCCTCTCATCCCAATCAGGAGAGGTGAGGAAAGGCCACAAAGGAAGACTCTGAAGCTGCCCATGGTAATCATTCTTCAGAAGTCAAACCCTAAATAGCACAGTTGCAGAGCGAACAAGGGAGTTCACCACTCTACACCCAGCACACACAAAGATGAAACCCTGAGAGAAAGATATTGGTGTGTGAGATGGGTAGCTTACAATTGCGAAAGGAAGCAACGTGCACCATCTTGGTGTTGAAGCCTGCGCAGCTTCCGACGAGCAAGAGAAGCGCAAGCTACAAAGAGAGAGAGGCGAAGAAGCTCAGCCCAGGCCTTCAACCCCCACAGCCCTACCCAACCCCCTCCTAGCCCTAACCCTAATCCCCTAACACGACGATCGCCACCTATTGTCCGATCCAATTAGGAAATCTACGGCTGGGGATACTTCATCCCTCGCGACGGTGTTGGATGAATGACGACTGAAGCTGGTGCTGACCTACAAAGCTGTTGTTTTTTTATTAATTAATGTGGAGGAAATGATGTGGCACAATGTGACTTGTTCCAGTGAACTTCAATTCTATGTGTGATTAATAGTTGCAAAATAAAATATGAAAAAATTGATTATATATATATATATATATATATATATATATATATATATATAATTTAGTTAGTTAGTTACAAAATAAGAAAAAATAAAAAATATTATTGGTTGGTTTGCTTAAGCAATTATTTGAGTTTTAGTGTTTTTATCATGTTAAAGTGAGTAAGTTGTTATTCTTTTTTGTTTTACTGTGTGTGTGTGTGTGTGTGTGTGTGTGTGTGTTTTACTATTTAATTTATTTCTTAAAATATGTTTTTTAGATTTAATATATATTTACATTATAGTAACTTACTTAAGTGGACTAAACCAAAAAGAGGGGAAATAAATGATTATGTTAATGTACAAAGAAGTTCACAATAGTAAATGGAAGTGGTGATTTTTGTGGGCAAAAGATCATTGATACTTTTTGCACCAACACTTCAACAATACATATAATCAGATTTTTCTATTTTTCACCATAAGTTTGAATATCTAGTTATAAATTTTTATTTAAGATTCCTAGACTGATATAAATTGAATCCTCTCTTGAAATTGATTCCAAAAGCAAAATTACATTAGATAATCATACTAATAGCTAAATTAATTAGTATTAAGATTAATTAATAGCTAAGTTCCTTTTTCCTTGTGTATGGTTCACTTTCTATACGTTTTCTTATTATTCTAATCTGATCAAAACAGTAAAGAAAATCAAAGGTGAAAAATTGAACATGTTCAATACCAAATACATGTAGCAGGACTAATAAAGAATATGATCTAAGATAAATATGATTTTATGATTTGAAGTCTACAATTCTTTTAATTTTAAATACTGATTGAGATGATATTTATATCCATATCGATGGTGTACTTTGAAATTAAAAATAATTATTTTTCTAAATAAATTTAGGGTGGAATAATAATAGTAATAAAAATAAAGGTATTGTATACAAAGGAATTTAATTTTCATCAAGACTATGGACTTAATATTATTAGAGTATAACTGGTTTCACACATAGAAATCAGCAAAGGAATTTATTTTATTTTACTATTTTTTCTGCATTCTCTGAATATATATATATATATATATATATATAACAAAGAATCAGATTTTATTTATTTTTTATCTTTTATATTTTTAATTTGTTAAATATAACAAAAAATACTAATATTTTTAAAAGATAAATATTAAAGTCGATTAAAGTAAAAAAAGGTTAAAATTTGAGAATAACTCATATTGCTCTATGCAAAAATATTAACAAAACAATATATATATATATATATATATATATGTATGTATACACTTATCATAATCAAATCTATAGATTTCCAATAAAATTATGTATGAACGCAAATTGATATCAAGTAAAATATGAACTACATTTTGATAGTTAAACTTAATTAATTTTTTGTAAAGAATATCCTGCATATAGAACTGCTGAAATCTCTAAGAACACATTTAAAGAATCCAAAAAAATTGTATTTTATTTAGTGGATTTGAATATTAAAACGGTGTTTTTTGAATTATTGTATATTTTAGAACATGTATATTTTTAGCAAACTATGTTTGAAATATTTGATCTTCTAATATAAGTATATTTTAATTGAAAAAGCATAAGTGTAAGAAAATTAGATGTATTCATTGTAGTTTCAATACTGGTTTTATAAAACAGCTATTTTTATCGATACAATAAAATATGATATGATATAATTGTGTTTATATAGTTGTAGGGTATTCAAAAGATATTAAAAAGAAAAAAGAAAAAAGAAAAACCCACAGTGCAATGATTCTACAATTTTTCATGGGGTCTTGGTATTTAAAGAGATTTTTGTTCGCAAACAATTGTTTCCAATTCCATTCTACTCAAATTTGCTTCCACGTTAGTTTCAATATTTTCTCTAAAATTTATGTAGAAAATTTCATTCAGCATCAACATACAAAACAATGTTAATTAGCACCAAATGAATAATATGCTATACCACCTACGTTTAATCCAAGAACTATCACCTTTCAAACCAATAAATATGCTTGTGTTTGTGAGCAAGGAAAATTGTCTTATGGAACAAATGAAGGGAACAATGGAGAAGACAAAATAATGTAGAGAAAGAAAGAAATGTCTTTCAAATTGAAGCCAAAGCAACACTACTACTACTACTACACACAACTATTTATATGTATTGTTTGGAATCCGCAATTCACAAAAAATCCGTTCAAAATAAATCAAAACTTAAAGGAATGACTAAAATAATAAGAAGAAAAATAATTAGAAAAGTTTGTACAAGTTGTATTGAAGAAAAAGATTGTTTTTGTAAAAAACACAAGTAAATTAATTTACCTTTGTGATTTTTTTCAAGGAAAAAAAATGAAAAGGAAGCTATGGTTAGTTTAAGTAGTCTTAGTACCTTTCTTTTTTGGGTTGCTATCATTCTTTTTCTTTTGTATCTTTGGATTGTCTGTGTGTTTGTTTATGTATGTGCATATATTATACATTTGTTTATTTTTATGTTGGTGGCAGTATTAGAGGAAAGGGAAAGAGAAGAGTGTTGAAGCCATTGCCACAAAAACTAACAAAGTAATTTCATGCAAGGAAATTCTTTGTATTACTCTGAATTGAAACTACACTTCTTAAGAGCTGGAATAGTTTATGGACGGCAAAATACATTTTAGGTTCTAGATTTAACATAGTAATTAAATTGAACCTTAGCATATCTCAATGTGGTGTGATCTTACACAAAAGTGTAAATAAGTTAGATTTTATACATGTTTCTTCCTCTTTGTATTCTTATATGTGCCTTTTAGGTTTATTGAGTTGAACAATTTGAAGTACTTTTACCACTTCATTGATTCATTGAATGTACTCTATTTTTGTGTCAATGAAGAATTAAAAAAGAAAAGACAGAAAAGAAAAAAATAATGCTAAATACAATTTACATAAAAGAATCAGTTTTCAGATTTATGTTTAATTATCATATCTCTTGAACATACAAGTAAAAATGATTAAAATTATATAAGTTGACAAAAGAGATGCAACTATACTAGCTAAAAATTAGCAAGACATTGTCTTTTGCATTTAAGCTCTAATGTAATATAAAAAACTCTGTTTGATAAATCAACTTCTTTTATTATCCTTCACACTCATATGAATATTTTTTGGATTTTTCTATCTTAAATTTAAGTGTAGTTTTGTAACGTAATCAAATAACATCTTTATAATAACATTAAGAGAGAGGGACCATGATATAATTGAAGCGTAAAACAATCTTATTTTGTTGTCTAAATTATAACCTCAATATACTCCATAGTAATCTACTTCTTTCAAGATAATGTTTTACTTCAGTAACAATCAAAGATTTTTATTTATATAAATCAATTCTTTATGCTAAGTACCAATTGTAGGAAGACTTGTGTTTTAAAATCATTTAAAAACATTTAATCTCTTAATTATACATTTTATATATATTAAAAATATTAAAACATAAAATCACTATCCTTTAACTGACAGATGCTAATGTGAATTATCACAAGGTTGTTTTCATAGATCAAAGAATATCTTACAAAATCAGTTGGATTTGTGTAATCAAAGTACTATTTTCTAAAAGTTTTGGAAGATAGTGATTTTTTTTATTATTGTTATTATTTAGTTGTATCTTTTTTTTACTACTGTGCATAAAATACTTTAAGAGTATTTATATTTTTTATCTGAAAAAATCATAACAATTTGGGAGAAATTATTGAATTTTTTCGTTTAAATTAGAACATGCAATATATGATACAGATTTTTTCAATGAAAGGATTTTGGAATTTTTAAAAGTCAGATAAATTATCTCAATATATTAAAAAAATAAATTAATGAAGTGCAATCGAAGCTTTTTGTATCACAAATGCACAGACTCTAGTATTTATTCTATGGAAATTCCTCAACACTGTCTACGCATAGTAATATGCTTTTACTGCAAATTTCACTAAGATTTCTTGCAAATATTGGAATGAAAATAAACCAAGTGAAGACTTATCCACCTTACGCTACCTCACTTTGCGATGAATAAGTACCATAATTTTGATTCATTTTCAACCGAACCAAAGGACTAAGTGTTTCGTTCATTCAACACATTTTCCGGAAACGAGTGAACAATAATTGGACCAGAACTTGAGGGCAGAAAATTAGCGAACTGCCCCTAGCAATCGATCCCAACGATGAAGTTCACGGACAAAAAAAGGTGACCCAGGCGGTGCTCGGCACACACACTCACTGATCATGTCACACCGACAGCTCGATGCGCGTGTGGGATTGAGAGCGCCGTCGATGACTCACGGAAACCGGCTCGCGGACCTCGCCACTTCCGAGTCCCGAGGCTTGGTTCGATGCCACCAGTGCGGAGCAGTTTCGATGCACGGATCAGTAACTCGGTTATGTGGACGCGGCATATGATCGTGTTTCGGCTTGCCCCGTTCCTGCGCATGATTTTCCTCTGAGGCCGTGAGTATCACACAGCAACGACAGGGATGGAGAGTGCTAGAAAACCCTAGAGATCTACGGAGTTGGGTGCTGATAGAATTTTGATCGACTGGCAGGGAGATCCAAGACCATGGCGAGAGACAACACGGTCAAAAGTTAGTTTTCGCTCTAGGTTTCATTGCTTTGGAATGCGTGAACAGAAACTTCACCTCATCTGTCGATTATAATGTGGTGACCCGGTGAGGTCTCCGACGGTTCGATTCCGAGTTTGCTTCAGTTCGCCTTCGATGTGTCGTCGTAGTCGCGTAGAATGAGTGCGTTGCTCTCGCTGTTGTCTAGAACGGCAAACCTGATCACATGACGCGATATCACAATCAGGTCTTCTCACTAGAAGAGACTTGCAATCCAGCAACTTAATGTAACTCATAGTCGCAAGTTGTACACCCCAAGTGGGTCTGTCTGTTCGTCTACCATCGCCAGTGCAAATGAAAGGAACTTCCCGAAGAGGTGAACCTTGGACCAGAGTCGTGACCGCGTTCCTTAACACATCTAGTGTGGACACTGTATCCTTTTCTACGATTCCCGAGAGGTTGCCAAAAACCTGCAGGTTTTTATTTGATCGAAATCTGATCTAATGCCTTCCCTGTGATACCCTCCATAGTCATACCTTTAATTCCTGAAACAGACACCCGGCGCTGCATGCCCTTTTCAGATGGCGTCGCGACTGGATTGGGTCCTTGTAACAGCAACCTCCCGCCTGCTCCACGCCCTTCCAAGGAACGCAAGGATCCACGACTACCACCACCACGGGAATACAGCCCGTTTTTGGATATAGGTGCAGGCGACACAGGAACAATGGCGAGACTGTTGTCGGGAGTCGGCTGGGGTCTATCGAATGCATTGTCGTTGAGGCCCCAGTCCTGCATGAGGGCTTTGGTCTCCTCGTCTTCAAGCATTTTTGCTCGCGCCTTGCTCTGCAGCAGTTGGGTTGCTTTCTGGAGCTCAGCTTCAGCAGCTACCATGATAGCTGTAAACTCGTCGTCGCACTCATCGTCCCAAGCTGATACACATCAACATCGAGCTCACTGTGTCAGAAAATTTTCGAACTGATTAGTGTAATGCAAGGACAAATGGCGTTTTTACAAGAGCAGAACTAACCTGGGATGCCAATGTTGTCAGAAACCAACGGCGGCTCCTCCTGTGCTCTTTTCAACCTAAACTTGGCATACTCTGGCACATTTGAATTGGAATCCACGCTGTCACGGATCGGCGCCTCCTTTCCAAAATGTTGCAATAGCGCAGCACGCGGCAAATCATCCCCGCTTTCAGAAGGAGTCACCGCGTAGCTTCCGTCGCCCTTCAACAATCTCAAAAATTCCCCAGCGACGAGATCATAATCATCCTCGCACTCTTGCTTCATCTTCAATTGGGGCCAAGGGGTTGTTGACTGCACTGTTTCAACGCGCTCATCTTCTCTGACAGTACTCTTCACCGTGTCGATCACATTTATTATCTTCTCTTTATCTTCGTCATGGCGTCCCATGACCTTTGTCCTCCTTTTCCTCTCTATTTCATCGACATGATTGTTCACAATGGCCACATCTACTGTACTCTCGTTGCCTTTGCGTCCCACAGCCGCACTTATACATTTTTTGTCACCTTTCCCATCCAACAAGCAATCTTCTCGACGAATTAAGTTCCCTTCTATGTTGCTGGCCGGCTTATCGACTAATTTCGACTCATCCCGATCTTCCAGTTCGTCCTGAATACCTAAACTCCAATCTTCCGGCACCTCGACTATCTCGATCTCTTGCTCCTGTGGCTTTGAAATTTTCCTCGGTTCCTGCCTAACTGCGCTTTGGTACTTCAACTTGTTACCATCACCAACACCATCACCACCACTCACTGCGGAGCGTTCACTCGCCGAACCTCTTCCCCGCAAGGGGGATTTTCCATCGCTAGCTGGTTCAAGTGCCCGGGCACTAACTTTATCACTTGGTTCTGCCAGCATTGTTTTCGAGTTACTGTCGATAGACAACACCTTCACTTTGTCCAACGCGTCGAAATCAACCTGAGCCTCAGCCACTGTAGGATCTGTCAAAACAAGATGCACACACCCGTAATTTGATAATCAGTCTACTGCGTTGATGGCTAACAACAGTGTTGGCAAGAGAATCAATCTTCGCACCAGTGTCACCGTGAATCGAAACCAAACAGAAGTGGCACAATCCTACAGACAGAAGTCACTAACCCTGCATTGGGTCTCGGGCGTCTGTGTCCCCGTCGGACAATCCTTGGACAATGTCTGCTTCCGCATTAGGGTCATCACAGTCCGGCACCAGCGCAGCTGTGTCCACAATGGAACTGATTTCATGCCCCTGATAAACTACTGTGAACTCTGGACCATCGTCTTCCTCAAGGAATTCCTCGCTACATTTCCTCGTCAGAGGCTCATCATCATAACGAGCTTTTGCATACAATTTGTCACTAGACTTCCTTGTTAAGACTTCGCTCTCATTACGAGTTGTGTTGTACAGCTTCTCGCTAGGCTTCTTTGTTAGAACTTCGCTCTCAGCATGAGTTGTTTTAAAAGATTCCTCGTAAGAGTTTCTCGTCAAAACCCCACTTTCCGTACGAGTTACTTCTGGCGGATCATGGTAAGGGATTTTCGAATTGCCCTGAAACTCGATGCTGGGCCAAAAGAGATCTTTCTGGGCATTCTTCCCGAAACTGGCGCGGGCATGGCCGTGAGCATTGTCACTGCTAATGGAGCTGTACTCATCATTGAGGCTAAGATGCTCCATCTTCATGTACTCTGACTCATTCGGAGGATCGGACATGGCTGGAGAGTAGGGGGAGTCCACGACCCCGGATGGCCAGGCTCCTCGCCTTCTGTTATTCGGAGAGCTCGGCAAACTGTTGTAGGATCGCATGGGCTTCACCATCGGAGATTCGCCGAACCTTGCGCTCAACAAGCTATTGGTGGGCTCCGCATTTTTGTTCAGAAGCTGGTATCCGAAGGTGACAACTAGCGTTCCGCCTTTAGCTTTTCCGGAGAGTTTGAATCTCGCGGTCCAGCTGGGGTCGTTCTCCTCATCTCGAACCTCGACAGTATTGGGAAGCAGCCGGCTTAGATCTAGCCTGTGCTTTCCAAGGACGAGTTCGTCAACGTCTAGCGCGATCACCGCTAGGTCGAAGCTTTTAGTCTCAAATTTCATGCCCTTGCTACCGTTTTTCGTGCCATAGACGGTGGATTTCAAATGCAGTGTCTCCTCGAACCGCGCCGCGCCTTGGAAAACGCGAGATGGCATGCACTGTGTGTGCAGATCTTTCCTCTTCCACGACACCGCAAGACGGAGCCCGTTCATGACAGCGGGAAGGCCCTCAATCCCATGCACGTGGACCGTGAACATGCAGTGGAACCGTTGCTGGCCAATGCGCGCAATGGCACGAAATGGTTTCCAGTTCCACAGGCTCTTCTTCTCCGTCGGAGCTTCGAGCTGCTTGCTAAACTGAATGTTGTCCTCCAGCCAAGCAGTGTAGTTAGACACCTCCGGCAATGTCTTCTCCACCACCTGCGTTTGCCCTGCCTGTATTCCACGGTCCCTCAAACTCTCTCTTCCACTGTCGAGCCGATAAGCCTCAGTCCTCTTGCCAGGGTCCTCGGATTGTGAGAGAGGAGAAAGTCGAGAGTTAGGCGGAGCTCCTTGAAGAGGAGATTTCATCGCAGCCGCAGCTGTGGCCAGTGTAAGCTCAGTGATGTTAAGGCTTCCTAACGACCTCGCAGTCGTCTGCGACTCGCTCACCGCGCGGGCTGATCCAAAACGCGGCGACTGCGGCACGATTCCGCGAGACAAGTGCACCACCCCTCCTTGATCCTTCTCGTAAGATGACCCTTTTGTTTCTTCAATCCGTCCCAAACTCGACTGCGGCTCTACAGCCACGCCACCCGTGCGCGAAGGAACACCTTCGCTTCGTCGTGCCCGCAAACTTGGCGACGATAAGCCGTTGGAGAACTGGCCACCGATACTTAAAGGAGACCTGGGGGTATTATCGTCAGACAATCTCAGAAGCTGTGACCTTGCACTTGGAGCACTGTCCACGCTTCTGCGCGCAACCATGAATGGCGACATGGGGTCACCCAGAGGAGGTCTACTTCCTCCCTCTCTCCTGCTGCCCGATCTTCCAAACGAAGGAGCGTTGCCGCCGTTCAGACTTACAGTCACCGGACTCCTGGGTTCGATTTGTGGCTTATCCAGACCTCCAGAGAGAGAAAGCGGAGGAGCATGAGCGCCACTCATTCTACCGCCCAGGTATGGCGATGGTAACTGTTCTCCAGAACGGCTGTCTCTCGTTCTGAGACTGGCGTAAGAAGTCATGAGTGATGACGGCAACGCCTCTGGCTGGGTCTCACTTCTCGCCCTGAGGAGAGGAGAGTGGGTTTCCTGTGATCTGCGAGGTGCAGGCACACTGCCAAGGAAAGGAGATGAAGGAGTCTCCTTTCGTAATGGCCGGCCATTCGGTTGTCCTGCATTGTGGAGCACTTGGTTCAAGGCTTCCAGTTCCCTCAGCAGTTGCCCTCCTGTGTCGTCTCGCCGGTCACCACCACCACCACCACCTAGCGCTGGAGACAGTGGTGTTTCCTTCCCCATTATCTGATTTGTTTCATAGATTTTTCCCAACACCTGCAGCTTCTGGACAATGACTAGGTTCCCTGCTACTGACTAGTGGAGCATATTGAGGACCATGAGACCATACTTCCGGGGGGCTCCTAATCCCTTCGCAGGTCTCATTCCTCGCTACGCCATCTCGCTACAAACCTCTGAGCTGCGGGCGACTCCACCCACGTGTCTGAAATAACAAAACTGCGGATCAAATACTCGCGGTAATGGAATATATGCTTGCAGTAGAAAAGAACAGGATACAGTAACAACAACAGCAACAACGACAAGAGCGTGTTCCCCTATCCCCGGAAAGGTATTTCAGACACTACACGCATTCTCTGCAGCAACTGCATGTTCGGAAGGCTCTTAATGGTCACACATTTACATGTGAAAAAGGAAATGAGATCATAACCCTGACCGAAGACGTGATTACTGGCAGGTTGTGAATGAAGATCATCAAGATATATTTTCTTACATGAGTGAGAATTCTATGACCAGGGATTTCTAGACCTTCCGAGACCTAAGCCTGTGAGGTTCGCAGCAAGCAATGAATACCACACCCCCAGCAGCCATAATCGATATTCTAGAATTTTTCAGAAGCACTGTCTCCTTGACATAGGAGGTCGAAAAGCTTCGGATTGAAGGCACAAAATCCTGACGCTCACAATGCGATGATCCGTTTGACAAGCCTTCGAGCTGCTTCCGCTGTTCAACGTGCACTATTCCAAACCCTCCACACGTCCACACATGGCTAGAAATCATGCCTGCAAACCGATCCAAGCTGATTCCTAAGCTTCGATAGGGACTGGGTGCAATCCAGCGGCAGTAACCTAACCCTTCCTCGCACACGCACTCACCCACTAATAAACCAGTACCCACCAGTCACTCCCACCTAGCACAACAAAACTAAAACTACACACGCAGCAGAAGGCAAGGAATCGTCGCTCAGAAAACAAAATAAAATAAAATAAAATAAACAAACCACCGACAGTTCAAGGCCACGGAATAAGCCAGCTTCTGCACGCTATCTAAGCTTCGAACCTACCATCACCACGTGACTCATTCTAGTATAAATCAGCAGCAACCCCCAGAAAGCACTATCACCACAGCACGCCGGGATGTGTGCAATACCTGATTGTCACAAAAAAAATAAAAAATAAAAAATGCAAAAGAAGAGACAGAAATACTTTGCGTAGGAGTTGGGAGAAGAAAGCTGGTGAGCTACGATTGAACAGACAGGTAGATTTGCAGGTTTGATTGCCAAGAGGGTGAGTGAGTGAATGAATAAGTGACGGGGGAAAGCAGAAGAAGAAGAAGAAGAAGAGGGCAGGGCGGCGGAATGCATGGCCAGCGACGGAGCAAAGGATTTTGTGGATGGAATGATTCACGTCAGCGCCACCTCCCTCCCTCTTTCTTAGCCCAGCACAGCCCAATCTAGACTACCCCTCCACCTCGGCGTCACCTTTCCTGGGAACTCGCGACGTCGACGATGACAACGACTGAATCTACCCTCCTTCCCTCCCTTCTCACCCGCGGTAACAAAAAAAAACACACCAAACAAACTTCAAACTACAGGAAAACAACAACAAATAACAAAATTTACACCCACACCCAGACATCCAGACACATAGTTCACCGTGCATGTTGTGGCGGTTGCACGCAGCTTTCGGCGTCGATTTCTAGCATTTTACTTTGCAGGAAAATGGTGTCGACAGTGCAAGCTCTCATATGGGAGCAATAGTTTAAAGTGATTTGATTATGGTTGCAGATTGCTTGAACCGCAACGTCCGTGACATGGTTCTTTGTGTCGAGAATGCTCTGTCTGGCTGGGTGTGTGTATATGTGTGTGTTGTCAATGTTCTGTTTGTATTGAGTGTGTGGGATTCGTAGTTATTGTTGAGGATTATGTGCGTTGCAAAAATGGATATGATGAGTTATTTTTCTTATAACTTGTTTGATAGAGGCTGAACCATTTATGGGTTGTAGGTACAGCTATGAGGCCCAGGGTTTTGTGTGCACTTGTGTATTTTACATTGAATTTTACATGAGGTATACGGTGTAAGTTTTTGCATTATGAGGTGGGTATTTATGGGTAAAATGTGAGTGGTATGCATGATTCTGAAAATAGAGTGTAGATTTGTTTATTTTTTTATTAACTAATTTACTTATTTGTTGAAAAAGCGTGTATGTGTATTAGTTCATAATCAGGTTGTGTGGGATGTCACAGTCAAGAATTGAAGGGACAACTTTGGTGGGTCGCATTGCTGTTGGTTCTTGTACCATTTATCATTGTTTTGTAATTTTAAGTTATTTTGAACCATTGAGGGGAAAAAAAAAAAACAAAACAAAACAAAAAAGTGAATTTAGAGGTTGGTCTTGATGGATTGTCAAGATGTGAATCACAATGGGGGGTATACTTTCAAAAATTGGTTGTGAACTCAACATTATACAAAGACATATACATTGTTTTGATGAACAATAAATATCTGGTATCACAAAGACAATTTTTATTTGTGTTTTTGCAAAAGTCTAAGTTTTATGTTGATGATGCTGTATAGGGGTATTTCGATATGTAGTTTGCTCTGAGATGGTGTTTTTTTTTTTTTAAATGTGATTTCCTTGTTCTCATCAATGACATCTTACAAGTTATTGTTACTTACTTATTATAGAAACCGTTAAACATTATAAAATAAATAAATTAGAATGCCACATAGTCAAGAGATGACAAACACATAATCCTGTTAAGAACAAAAATTGAAAAAAAAGGCTATATCACATTCACACAAATACTTCTAAAACAATGTTACTAGAATGTGACTATGAAAATACTATAAACAACAATGATTATTGAGTTGAAACAAAATTAAAATTAAAATAATATAGAATCCCTAAATTGATAATGTATATATAAATAATGGCTCTAATGCATGCGAATAAATAAATAAATAAATAAATAAATAAATAAATAAGTAATCGAAAGCAAAAAAAATCTATGCTGTTAAGAATTCCTTATGAATTTACACTGAAACCATCAACAGTTTCAAAATAAGAGATTTAAGAGTTTCCATTTCTACACGAAGTATTTACCAACACAAGATTGAGAAATAGTACAGAAAAACTATCTATTTTTCTTCATTTTATGTACAATACTTGCACAGACCTTTAAAATTACCATTTTTTTTTCTCACCAAAAACTACAGCACTAGGAAATACCACATATATATATATATATATATATATATATATATATTAAATTTTTTCTTTCATGGATGCAAATGATCTTAAAGTATGTATTCTTTTTTTAAAAAAACCTTGAACTTGTTGTGATATGTGTAGAAAGAATTTAAGTTTCAAAATCAAAGCAACACATGATAATGTTATCTTCACGTATGTATGTATGTATATTTATATAACTCTATTAATTCAAAAATGAATTTTTATTGATATGTATATTTAATAGTTTTTCAATTTTAATGCACAACAATGGCCTAAAATCTTGCTACACAGTCTTTACTACAATTAGCATATTCAATGATTGAAAATCATTCTAAATTATTACAACATGTTGTGCTGTTTATGTCATCACAATATTACTCAAGCAAAAATATGGTGGCAAATGAGTCTTATTATTTTTTACTCAATACTAATATTTAAAAAATAACTTAAAAAACAATAAGAAACAAATCTTCAACTTTATCATGATATGATTTTGAACTACATCAACTTAAGTATCAAGCATTTCCTATATGTTTCACAAAATTATATTTAGTTAATGTGTAAAACAATCAGAATACATTCAAGTTACTCTTGAATGACAAGTTAAAAAAATCTACGTTTGATTTTTTAATCCATTCCCTAATCAAATATTTCTTTTTCTGTATTTAAATTTGATTTCCACATGAAAAGATAAACTTTAAAATACACACAACACACACATACACCCACACATACCCATTCCAACAGAACAGCAACAATAACAAAACTGAGAATAACACACAAGAACTAAATTGCATCACAGAAAGTTAAAAAATGAATCACTCCACTGTTGCATTGTACCAGACACCCAAGTGCACAACACTGCCACATGGGACACAATTATGACTACATTTACCTCCACAGACACAAACACACTCACACACTGCACAGCCTTGCAGCACACACTGAGCTCCTCACAAAGTCCAGTGGTGGTGTCAGAATAACGGTGCCAGCAGCTCACAATCAGTGCCCCCTCGAGCTTGCAGAGCTGCAAGCTACGGACGAACGGACGCATCCTCTTACATCACCTGCAAGTTGCAAAAGAGACCCCAGAACCAGAACCAGAAGAAGAAGTAGAAGAAACAACAACAGAGAGAGAGAGAGAGAGAGAGAGAGAGAGAGAGAGGACTTGTTACGTGCAGGCAGCTGCGAGTCAACAGAATCCGAGTTCGATGTCCAGACTCCGGCAGAGCCATGCACAGCAACAACAACAACAGCAGAAGCTGTCGTCTTCCTCATGCTTCGTCCTCTCTGCAACGGCACCCGATCAGGCGTTGAATAAGCACACAAACAAACAATCCCCCGTGAAGGTGGTCAGCGTTAGGGGAGGAGCCATACATACCACCACAGTGGTTTTTCACACACTGGGTGCGTTCCTTACTTAGAAAACCACACTCTCATACACTTACACATACTCACCAAAACCATACATACCCATATCCATCCTCCTCTCCTTTCAGCTGCATCTGTAGCCACTTGTGGAATTCACACACACACAAACACACTACAAGCAGTTCAAATCCAATTCCAGTTCCAGTCCACACCGTTGCAGACTGCGACTCATCTCCACCACATCGGCATCGATTATAGGTTAATGTATAGTTAGTCTCTGAGTCTGTGTTTCTACCTCATTTCTGTGCACTTTTGTTCTTCACTGATCTGGTTTCATTCCAAGGCTTCCGCACTTTCGAATCCGAAACTCCTCATCCTCATCCTCGATTATAAATGTCTAGACAGACAGGCACATGATGACAGTAGATGTTGTTGGAGGAAGAGCTTTGAAGTGGACTAATCAACCTCACACAAGCTCAATTCCTTGTGCTTCTGTGCGTCTCTGTGCTTGTTTTCATGCTACAAAATGGTTTTGTGAGTTGCGATTTAGGATATGTTTCGTGATATGAATGTATCCTGCGTGTGTTAGCTTCAACATTTTTGCAATTAGTTTTGAGATGTTTCCTGTTTTTGATGTGTGGAATTTGAAGAATGTGGTGTGATGCAAGTTTGGAGGATGTGTTCATGGTGTTTGAGGTGTGAAGCAATTCAACCCATTAGATTGAATTCTCATAGCTTTTGGCAAAAACTTCGTTTTTTTATTTTTTAATTTTTTAGGTGAGTTTTCTTGTAGTTGAGTTCTGTTTATCTTAAATGGATATGGTGCATAAATATGAGCATGAATAGAAAGGTAACTTATGATTAGTACAATTTGTCTACTTTAAGGTGTATATATGTAAAAGAAGATTTACATTTGTTTACCACTTTGCTGTTTGATTATCTTTCATATAAACCTAAGTTGTTACATAATGATCAAAACTTTAATATGTATTAATAATATTTATGTTTTTATTTAATTAGAGAGCTTCTTTTTCTTTTTTTTTATCTTTATTTATTTATTTATTTTTTGGTTCTCAAGTTGAAATATTTTGTATATGTTAATTGTCATAGAGTTCTACACTTTAATAGAAACTTTACAATAACTTAACAGTATTATATATATATATATATATATATATATATATATATTCACCAATAAGGTACCAACTTAGAATTTTACAGTAAGTTTAAATATAAAATACTCTTTTCAAATACACAAGAAATTTAAAATATAAAACATCTAAAGTACTTCTATTGTGTATATGTGTATCAATATATATATATATATATATATATATATATATATATATACTGAATTATTTTATAGTCAAAAACCATAATTTATCACTTTTTAAAAGACTATAACAATAGGGTGTTATAATATCTTCAATAATTATGAATCTTCTAGAAAATAAAAATTTCTCAAGAGAGCTAAATATAATCATGTTAATAATCAAGTTTTCAGACTTTAAGTTAAATAAAAATTACATATATAGCATAAATTCATTATATATATATTTATATATATATATATATATATAGTATTAAATAACAAGGATAAAAGAAGTTTTTTTTTTAATTTAATTTTCTGAATGAATTGGTTATTAGTTGTAATGGTAGCAATAAAATATTTTAGATACCTTGTTTTATTACCTTGTAGAATGTTAGAATTATTTCATAAAGCAATGAAGTCACCACATCTGATGAATAGAAAATGATGATATTGCCAAATGAATAATAGTTATAAACTGTTCTAAAAATATACTATAATTTCAAACATGAATTAGAGATACATTTAAAAACCAATTCTAAATCAAAAGGATAGAATAAATATCATATATGATTTGACATTCTTTTATCAAATAGGCTTAAAAGGTAAGTAATGTACCTAAAATTATAAGCTATAAGTTATTAAGATTTGATAAAAACAAAATTAATTATGTCATAAGAATAGATCTTTGTATACCATTTTATAAAACTTCCAATCATGGTTTCTGAGACAAAATACCTAACTTTACATTCTTGAGCTTACTTACATTCACAAATAACTTAGTGTGTTAATTTTGTACTTTGGAAATGTTAATAATTGTAGAAGTTAAAGATTAGGATTTAAGATTTTTTAAAGTTGGAATTGCTTCATTTTGTATATTTCTTTAGTTGGACACACTTTTTAAGCTTAAACTAAATATTATTTTTATAATATTTTATTTATTCTAAATTAGAGGTGTTTTTTTAAGTTGTCATGTCATATAGTTTCTAAAATATCCAATTTATATAGTATTTAATTATAATAACTATAAAAAATCACGATTATAATTTTGTAATTTTTTTATAAAATCTTATGTTTTTAAGTTTGATTAAACATAAGACAAGAATGTTTTATATTTTATATGATTTTATTTATGTATTATGATTTCTACTAAATATTTATAGATATCTAATTTGAAAGTAGTCTACATTTTTAGATCATTAATTTTTGTTCTTTTGTACAGATTTGATTGTATATGTATCAATAATACTACATTTTTTAAAATCAATAGCTATTATTATAATATTTCCTAATTTTTATATTTTATACTTAAAAATAATAATCCTGTACAACCAAGTTACATGTTATACAATTAAAATATTGATTAGATATTTTCCAAGTATCATTAAAAAAACTAGCATTTTTTTAGATAACATTTAGTTTTAAGAAAAAGCAATGAGAGTATAGTATTCAATAGTTTTTCAATCTTAGAAGATCAATTAAGAGATTTTGAGCACATCTTTAATCTCTTTTAATATTTGTACATTAAAAGAAAATGCTATTTGTTTTTTTAGAGTTGAGGAAATTATTATTTTCTATTGAAAGATTATAAGTCTTGCATTTTAGCCAACATAATTAGATTATTAAAGTCCATAACAATCCTAGGTTTTAAATTAAGTAAAATCTATATTATTGAGTTTACATTAGCCAATTATATACAATTGCATTCATATCTTTTATTTTGCAATGTTTTAGATTTTTAAGATTATTATGGCCTTCAAATTTTCTAGTAGATCTTTTGATTGGTGTAGTTATTTCTTATAAATTAGATTGAAGGTAGCTCAAATATATTAATGTGGTTTTTAAAAGCACTTATAATCTCTAATGTTGTTTTTAAAATTGAAATTTTATTATATAATAATTATAAATAATTAAAATTTAAGTTGAGAATGAGTTAGTTGTCTTATTAGCCAACTTGTTTTTATTCTCAAATACAAATTGTTTTAAACCAAAAATAATAATTAATTATAGAGAAAATACAACAACAAAAAAATATATAATATCTATATTTAAAGAAATACATAAAAACAAAATAAAATTTCACAGTGTAGATTCATAGGCAGCATGGTTATAATGTCAAATATAAAGGACTTAACACACAACAACAACAACAAGTGCAAGATTCAGGTAACTGACTGGATAAGGCGAGGAGGGGATGAGAGCACCTACAAACAAACAAGGAGGGGATCTATCTCATGCTTTTAGCCCTGTTATGATATATCTAGTTGCCTCCAGCTTCAATAATAGCAATAGGAGGAACAAGACAAACGAGGAGAAGCGTAGGCACAGGATAACTCGATGCGCAGTTATGGTGCATGATTGGAACGCTAGCAGGGACAAAAACCCAAGCTTCATCGTATAAATTTGTATAGCCAGTCTCTTGTCACTGCTTGGCCCCCACAACAGTAGATATTGTGCTATTATAAGACTGGAAATCTAGGGAGCCAATGGCGAGGAGAATGATGAACTGGACTACAAGCTTGGGTGCCCTGCAAGCGGCATTGTACCGATAAGCAATGTGGATCACGATGTGGGTCCGAAGCTTTTTCAATCTGTGCTTTTCATAACCCACTTTTTTGCCCTCGTCGTAGTTGTGATGTGGCTTGAGCTTGCTTGGTCTGTCCTCATGAAAAAAAAAGTTTGGCTTGCTTCCTGGTGTGGGTTTGTCACGGCGCTAGACACCGCATTTGGTTTTATTAGTCCAGCACGGGGGAGGAATTGCCCGTTTTTGTACTGAAGCGTCGATTTCGAGATGCTCCATTTTGGGTTGTGGTGTTGTAGCCATTTCCGGGACTAGGGTGTCTAAACCTAGGACGCGGGGAAAGCAACCCCAGTTCTATGTGATATGTTGGGTGGACTATTTTGGGCGAGTGAAAAGTAGTGCATGTTTCGCTCGGGCCCTTGCTCTCTGCCGTCTTCGTCGTTGTGCGATTCCACACGGAACAGATGGCAGCCTTCGATCTCTAGGAAAGCGTTCCATAGATCTCAAGTGTTTGAAGCGCGATGTGGGTTTGGATGTGTAGAATAGGTCTGAAACTAGGGTGTGGTTTTGAAGTATGTGAGGTTGGGGATGGTTGGTGGTGTGTATTTTCACGATAAGAGGTTGTTGATGATCAGTGATGGATTCAGAGAATGTTTTACATCGTTTATTTACACAATGAAATCCCGCCGGATGCAAGTCGGAACCTTCGACGGATCTACGAATTGACAATTTGCACGCATTTTTTGTCGTTCAGTGGAATTCTGAGACAGCGTAGCACTCTTGCGCATACATTAGAAGCATTGTGTTTCTTGCTAAGTGAGGGATGAAACTGCTAGTGCGGAGGAATTGAAAACATGAAGTGGAGTCTGAAGGGTTCGGAAAATAATTGAGATTTTCAAGCAGCAGCTCAAAACAGGTCGTGGGAGATACTATAACAATCGTTCGTTGAATACATTATCCTAATTGATCTCAACTAGAACGATTTTTTTTTTTTTAATCTTTTTTGATCTTTTTCCCAAGTCGTCCATCTAAAATTAGTTGTGATAAGTATACACGATGCACAAGACCTGCAGAACACGAAGAAACCTGCTCATCTAGCAGTTTTATGGTTCATACATTAAAAAATAGTAATATCAATTGTGTGTCTACACTCAAGTTTCAAAACTGCATGTACCAACAGGCACACAGCAGTAAATTACATTGTACAGGATCCAGATCCTACTTCTCACCCGTATGATTGGATCCATGCGCCCAGCGATCAGACTCAGAGCGAAACGCCCAGTCGGATAGTTGAAATAAAGGGTTTGTAAGCTTCAGCTCAGGGTATTGATCACCTGCAACCCGATGGTTGTTCCTTCTCCTTTGTTGTCAAGGGTGGGGGAGACGCTTCACTTCAACAACCTCTCCCGTAGCAGCAATGCAGAGGTGGAAAAAAACGATTCGAATTTCCATCTCATCTCCATTCAACTTCATCACACTGCTCCAACAAGCCTCTGCCAAATACGTTTGTAGCGGTACAGGAACAAGCGAGCTGTCCATCAGTCTTCAAAAACAGGATCATCAGCAATTCAAAGGGCCCGACTGCCTCACGCTGCCAGCATCATCGCTAACAGTCAATGGCAGCTCCAGGCTGACTAGAAAGCAGCTTTTGCCTGTGTCCCTTATGTATTTCACTTCACCGTTCATTAGTTTTACAAGTTTGCGACACATGCTCAGCCCAAGTCCTTCTTGGGTCATGCCGCGGCCCCGGTCGAACATCTCATGGACGAGCTCCTCTGGAAGCCCTGAACCCGGATGTGTTACTCTGAAAAACAAACAAACAAACAAACAAACAAACCCTTATCCAGCTTACTTAGAACAGTCATCAACCGTAAAGAAAAGATTCACGAAGCTGAACAGGAATCTAAGCCTAGACGTGTGCAGAGCTAATTCATCACCAAAAATGAGAAACTTGGAGAATCTAAACGGGATATGAACAGCCACATTCAAAGTGAGGAACGTGTTGCCGAGTGCCTACCTGAACTCTAAGTGCACAACGTGAAAACCACCACCAAGGCGTTTCCTGGTTGGGACCACCTTGATGCCGACCCAGCCCTCCGAAGAAGGGGTGAAACGCACTGCGTTCAATAAGAAATCTGCGAGGACCTGTTGTAAACGAACTTGATCTCCGAACAAGCACATGCCCTGAATCTCCCGAGGAGTCTCACGAATCAGCTGAAGCCCCTTCTCTCTTGACGTGACCATGCCTTGACTCACTACAGCGTCCATCATAGATCCCATCTCGAACTCCATCGTCTCCAACTCCAAGTACCTGGACGAACAGAAAGAGTCAACCTTCGAGGGTTGAACGAGCCAAACACATTATACCCCCAGAATCCAACAGAATTCAAGCTTACCCGTCCTCAATACTCTCAAGGTCCATATCATCCAATATTTTCCGCAACTGCCGCTCACAAACTGCACTAGTGTCCATGTACTGCTTTTGTTCATCCGACAAATCTGTATCCTCCATCAGATTTCGAGTAAACATGATACCGTATAGGGGATTCTTTATCTCTTGTCGAATGTAGGCAAGCTCCTTGAGTTTGGCAAAAGCCACTTTCTCCGTTGCTCGTTGAACAGTTAGTGCCTGCGTACAACACGGCCATCACCGACTTCAGCCACTGCTCGAACGGAGTAAAAGAAGGAGATTGTATTGAGAAGCCTAGGTAATAATAATCAGGGATAGGGTTGAACTCAGATCGAGGATCCGACCTGTAACAGTTCTGGGCTTGCGATATGCAGGAAGCAGAAAACTCCTGTGATGTACCCATCTGCATCCGTCCTCTTGTTGGCCGTCAGGAGAGCTTCCACTAACTTCCCTTGGCGGTCATGGAAGGAAAACGGATACTTGTCGGTGTCTTGACCATCCATAGCGTTATTGAGGACTATCATGAATTTAGTTACTGCATCTTGACCCTTCAGACGACAGCACATTTGATGCACACCAAAAATTTCTCCAACAAGCATTTTTCCGAGAACCTGCATCCCGCAATGTAGCAACATAAACCGCAAATTCCAGCTGCTCAATATAAGCGATAAAACTAACGATCACCAGTTCTAATCAAAATATACGAGAGCCATAGACACAAGGATTGTGAACCAGGAAAATAATCGTAAGAGGTAAATGAACAGGATTGCACTACCTCTTCCCTCTTCCATCCTGTTAACTTCTCCATTGAAGGACTCCACTCGATGCAGTATCCGAGTTCATCGCTTCCAAAGATGGGTGGAATCAAAGGATTTGGGCTCTGCACGATGCTTTTGTAGTCACCGTGAATGCGTGTAAACTTATCATGAACCATCTTCTGTCCTGTCACGTCCTGGCCGACGAAGCACACACCAACCACATTCTCTTGTACATCCCGACTCGAACAGGCATTCACTACTAGTATCACTGCACCTTTCGCCTTTTGCGCTCCAAACGTCTTCAAACTAACCTCGATGTTTTGCTCTTCTTCTCCTGAAGACGAACAACAATCAGTCCTCACTTCCGAACGATGTAGAAGATAGTGTCCCGTCTTGAAACTGCTCAACGAAAACGCAGAACTCTAGCCCCTCAGACTATACTAACTCTAGGTTAGCGTAGTACCGGTAAATTCCATCGTATGACTTTAGCTCATAGAACTGTTGTATGAAGTTGTTGTTGACACCGATGTCTTAATCCACCGATGTCTTAATCCACCGATGTTAGTCAAAGACGCAGTTTGTCGCACCATAATTCCATATCATACAGCAATTCATCCTATCCGAAAATTGTTCAAGAAAAATCCAACTCCCTAGCCACTTCTCGTTCAGAACAAAGAGGTTGTATTTAGGAGACTTATACCTTGAAGTGCAAGATACAATAGCCGCTCGACAACCTCCACATACTCTTCCAAAATCAAATCTTTAACTAAGGATCGACCCATGGCCTCTCCAACCGGAAGTCCCGTCAGTTCGGCCACTTTCGCATTCCATCCATTAATGAACCCATTTGAGTCCACCGCAAGGATGGGCGCAGTCGCTGTTTCTATCAACCTCACCATTTCATTCGCAACCGTGCTAAGCTCGTCCATGCCCTGCAGTTTCAAATCGTGGAGCCGCGAATGGATCATCGTCTTCCCACCACTACCGTCAACATCTTGAAAGGAGCCCCTCAAGATAAGCTGCAGAGAGTGTATTGCGTCCATTTCGATGTCTTCCCAAGGAACACTGCGTCTCTTGACAACTTCTAGGAAAGCATTGAATGAAGAACGAGGAGTCATCTTCCGACTGTCGTCCCTGTCCTCGGCATCGTGCTTGGCACCACCCCACTTGATCTCTTTAGCACTGTGAGACCTACCTCAACAACATGTAATCCACAAATTGAGCACTTGAGAAGAAACAAATTTCATAAAGAAAAAAAAAAAAACAAAAAACAAAAACAAAGAATTGAGCGAAAATTAGTACCTCAAATCTCACCTGAACCATAACAGAAAATCTTTGGAGCTGATTCTTGCAGCTGCCATGCCACAAACAGCGTCACCGAGCAGATTCGCGCCTGGGTAGCCCGCGTCTGCCAGACTATCTGTGCTTAATCCTGTTGAATCCTTATGATGCTCTAATAGCCAAGCTGCAATCTCCTCGATTTGCTCCTCACTCGGTGTGGTCCCCAAGAGCCAGAACTGATTCTCGTAATAGAGAGCTGCACCGTCGCACTTCACCAGATCCATAATATTGGGAGACTGCGACACAATACCTACAGGAGCATCCCGCAAGAGCATGTCACAAAGCAGTGTCTGCGTTCTCAGGATGTGCTTCTCTTTCATTTGAGCCTGAAGCTCCACTTCCATGTTGAGTTGCAATCCAAACACCTGCATCAGGAATTCGCAAGCCGATCGGAGAGGGAAGGAGATCGTCCGAGGGGACGTGTGGTGACAAACCACCAGCCCCCAAAGCCGACGGCCTTTCTGTTGCACTCCGAAATCCTCCTCCTGATCATGCACAATGACGGCCAAAGTAATTGACGCGACTGACCCCATGTTGCCCATGTACTGAGCATGGCAGCCGTGAGGCGCTCGCAGAGTGGATCCCGCAAGCGTAATTGGCTGCCGTAGGTCCTTGTCCTGTATCACTTTCACGGGAGGCGCGCAGCAATCCGCAATCATCCGCACCCTATTCTTCATGAAGAGGAACCTCGATGCTTGCGGTATGTCAGTTGAAGGGTAATGCAACCCTAAGTAGGATTCTAAATCTGATCTTCGAATCTCGGCTAAGACCTCCCCGTGCTCGTCATCGTGGAATTTGTACGCCATCACTCGGTCGTAGCCCGTGAGCTCACGTACTTCCTCCACAACTGCGTCGCACAAGAGGCCGATGTCGCCTCCGGGAAGGGATTGCAACCGCGAAACAGCTTTCGCTGCCAATTTATGAGAATGGAGAGCCCCAGCCGTGGAGATGACGACATCGTTCGATCGAACAGGCTCGAAATCTATCACTATTCCAACATCAATGCGGTGCACAATTGCGTAAAATGGCTTCCCTGAATTGCGAGAGTGAACAGAGATGGGGTTGACCATGGTCAAGTCGGACGTTGCCGCAGCTCTTTCTAACGTGGACGCGCTGGAGGGAGTGAACAACAACCTCGCATCGGTTCCGATTCCGAGGACTTCCTTTAGACCGACACTTGGCACAGCTTGTGGCATTAAATCAAGCATTTCGGGCGCATTCTCACTGTATGCAATGACCCTGAAGGTACTCTCTTCGACGGCGAGCATGCACCCGAAATTCTGAGTGAGACCCCCTCTCTGCATGCGCTGGAGATAAGCGGTCACAGCTTGCGCGGGGACCTGTTGCACAGTGGATTTGGTGGCCTGACCAACTGATTTCGAGTAATCAAACGAGTCTCCGGAGTCATTTGACTCTTCGTAGACGGCTTGAAGCTTGGCATCTGCGGTGGTTTGCTGCACGCGCACGCTGTGCTTCGACTTGACAGAGGTTCCCGACGAGTACGACAACTTAGTGGACGACATCGAGAACGGCTCTCGTGGACCAAATTACTCAAATTCAACCACACCCAAAACCGCTATGAGGTGTTGGAATCCGACTCCACTCCCAAAACCTTTCGACAGCAACGAAACTGCGAATGCCTGGAAGGAAGCTGCGCCGGGGGGAAAAAAAGACTAGCGCGCAGCTCTCGAAGTCACCGAGCTTTCAATAATCCCACCCCACAAAAATTCTCGCATCTCCATAACTATCGCTACGTCCCAGTGCGCAGTGCAGAATCCGAACCCTCACCAGAGAAAGAAAGATCCCGGCTGGAAACTACAGCTACAGCTTCAAAGCCTCGCCAATCTCGTCCCAGCCAAAGCTCAGCTCGCGGCTGAGCTTGGCGGAGGTTCAATTGAGAAGTAGAACTGCGCCCACCAGCTGGAAGAATGTGCTCACGCGCGCTAAGTTGTGTGCAAGCAGCACCCTGCTATACTCACTCAATCAAGGCGCCATGGTGGGTTCGACGCTCTCGCTGCCTGGGCTTGCGATTCCGGTCATCGCTTCCTCCTGCTCCCTCCTCCTCTTTCTTCTTCTTCTTCGTCTTGTGCTTCTTCTTCTTCGTCCTGGTCTGTCTGTCTCAGTTTCAATCTGTGTGTGAGAGTGAGTGAGCGAGTGAGTCTGTGCGAGTCTGTGTCAGTCTGTCTGTCTGTCTGAGTTCGATAAAGTCCCGTCGGGGAGGAAGGAAGTAGTAACTGCCCTTTGGCCACGTCATGCTTTGTTGAGGGGGGTCGTCGTCGGAAGGCCTTGGATTCCATCTTCGTCTCACTACCGGTCCACGGTACTTTCCCTGCCCCACTTTCATTCATCTGTTTATCCACTAATTCATTCGTCCGCATTCGCTTTTCCAATCCCTCATTGATTCGTTCGTTCGTTCGTTCGTTCGTTTTTTTGTAGTTTTAACAGATGAAGGTATTGTTCGTATTTAGTGATACAAGAACAGACTATGAGATGTGTCAGATAGATAGATATTTATATTTACATCGAAATATTGATAAAGACATTTAATTACCTTTCTTTTTTCTTTTTAGAAAATTATACATAGTCCCAAGTAAAAACACAAGAATAAAATAAAGTCATTTGCAACATGATTGAAAACGTTATGGTAATTGTTGATGTTCTTAAGAAAAAATGCATACCTTTCAATAGTTTTTTTAAGAAACAGGTTCCAGCAAACATATAAGACAAACTAATGCTTGGTTTTCCTTCTGAATACATACCTTAGTGAAAAAGCCATGATTGTGTTAGAAGATCCCTATAAGTTATTTCAAAGTTTCAAAGTTTCAAACTTAGTCATGTTGTGTACAAACCATTAAAAGTAGATTAAAGTATCAAGTGCACAAAGCCGTGTACTTTTGTTGCAATGCAAACATGAATAATATTTTATCTCATTTTTGTAACATCATAAAAATTTGAGTCATAGTCATCACGATCAGTCATCATCACAAACCAATCCATACGTCTTTCCCATGAATCAATCAATGTATTATCTTTTTACACTTACTATGGCTTTAAATTTCCAATAGAATTTTTAAATAATACAGTGTACAGCATACTGGTCAAAGTATTTTATAATAAAATGGTGAGAAATATCCCAAAAAAAACCCACATGTCATAGTATCATACAAATGTCAGAACAGTTACAAAAATAAAATAAAATAAAATAAATTGGTGAAACCATGGCTGAAAATACAAACGGATGAAAACGTGATACAAACCTTCCGTTCACATCCACGGTTGGAATGAATTAAAATATTAATCCGTTTCCTGGATGAATGGAAGGCTTGGCGGAGATAACGAGGTGGGACCATGAACAAAGAGAGGCATTGTTGTTGCGAGCGAGTTGTTGTTGTTGATGATGTCGATGGTGTTGTTAATGCCTTTTGTTGCCCAGTTTTATGGCTTTCAAGGGAGGCCTATCTATCGCTTGCTTGCAGATGGAGGCATGGCCACCTCACCGCGATCTGGTTTGCTGCGCTGGGATTCGCTTTCCATCCACGTAAAGGAGATTGCTGCAGTGTGTTGCTGGATGCTGATAGTGTTGTGGAGCTTCGGCCGTCGATGAGTGATCTTGGCTTACTTGCCGATGCGCTGGGCTGGAAGTACCTTTGGTGAAAGTCTCCAAGTCGTAGTCCAGGTTTTACCGGTAAATGACGAGATGGATAGAATCGAATCTGACTGTCTGTCTCTCTAGCTATGTATCTACCCTGGTTACATGTGCACACAGACAAACACACAGAGGTGTAGCGAGAAGCTCAGACCATGAGCTCCTTTGAACTCATTCCGTATGCTGCCTCGAAGAACTCAGTATTTGCATTCCATGAACTTGTTCTTTGTTTCCTCGGTTCCTGTAGGTTCAAGTATAAACAACAACCCCCAACTCTCATCGTACTTGATAAGAAAGCAAAATTCTGCAGATCAGTATTCGTATCACGCATGACCTTTTTGACCTCCACTCTTGACTCTCAGCTATCGATTTCGGCATGATGCTTGGCCGCACGATCACAAGGCGCAGATTCCAAGCAGTGTTTTGTCCAGTGCCACATGGGTCAACACAAAGGAATCCATGTAAAATTCACACAAATCATGCACGGCTTCACTCGCAGCACAGGCATCGCCCAACTGCTCGGGTGATGGATCCCAACTAGAATCTGAATATAGGAGGGAAACTAGAACTACGGAGCTGTTTTGTATCCGCGTGGGTGTCGATTCCTCGGAACGGCGCCCGATACCCTGACGATACCGATGTAGCACATCGAAAGCCATGGCATGAGATTTGTCCTGCGAAATTTGCTGACCAGGGTTGAAGTCGCGGGGACTCATCGGTGCCAGATAGACCGTGTTCGGTCATCCACTCCGGCCTGTGGCTTCCGATGGGAGGCAGCTGCCCCAAGTCTAGATCCAGTGTGCTGACACCAGATTAATCTCGTCTTCTAGAGAGAGCGGATCAGATCACAGATCGACTCCAACGATCCCATGCACAACAAACAATGCGACTAGAAATCGCAATATCCGCTTCCACGGAAGCATCCAAATGCGGAGGAGCCGAACAATGTTTTATTCGCCGTCAAGGCGGCAGCATTTCCTGTTCTGATTCTGATCTAGATTTCTGATAAATAATCCTGATAGTTTTGGTTGGGACTTTAACATTGATGCTAAGTAATGACTTGCGGTACCCCACAAACAAACAAGCACATCTATATGTATATATATATATACACGTATAGGCATGTGTATGTGGATAACTGTATGTATATATATATATTTGTGACCAAAGAGGGCAACATGCCGAAAACAAGCATGAAGCACCTTTGGTCATTTGGTGTTTTGCGTTTTAGGGGTTTTTGAGCTATTGATTCGTAAATAAATTCTATTTTCATCAGTGTTGATTATCATTGATGTAAAGACCACGCTAAATTTTATTTTATTTTTACTTATCAAATCTAAATTTACTATTATACCTTTATTACAACTTCATTTCTTTGTCAACAATATTTCACTAAAATCAAGGTTCGTTACCTCGGGATTATATTTCGAATTGCTGATTGTTTGTGTAATTGAATCTTTCTTTACAATCACTCATGTTATTGTATTTTAGTCAAACAAAATTACGTGTGAGGTGTTACAAGTGCATCTTCAAAATAGATTTTTGTTCATTGTATTACAATTTGAGAACCGGATAAAATTTTCAATTTTGATTATACTCATTAGATTTTAAAATATAGTTTAGATCTTATACCAATGAATTTTATCTATTTCTTCCTATTTATTAACAATCTTAGATGCATTCAATTGTGAGAAACAAGATTTTTTCGTAAAAAAATGAAATCAAAAATATATTTTAATATTACTTAAACTCTGTTTCGTAAAATTTATTAAATTTATATTGGATTATTTGTTCAAAGCAAGGGTATCAAAAAAATAAATAAATAAAAGAAAGTTAAACATTTAAAAACCATTACTGTAATTCAATATTGTTTTTTGTTTTTTTGTTTTGTTTTTGTTGAATGCAACAGATTACAGAATTATTCAATACTGACATTCAATGTATTTGTGAAAAAGAAAAAAGACTTATCTATCTCTATCTAAATACACTACCTGTACAAAAAAATGACAAAGATATAGAGTTAAACAAGTTTGAATAATTTCTGATTAAGAAACTCAAACCATATTCATATGAGCCAGGAGACAAATTTTGAAGGATTGGGAAAAGAACCCAAAGAAATGATGGTGTGGAACTAGAAACAAACAATTAAGCCACCGACAACCTGATCGTTGTTCACACAAACTTGAGAGTCTGATTGAAAAAGTAACTAGAATCAGACAAACCCAAATTATGAAATAAAGTTTAATAAAAATGTCAAACTCTGAAATGGGAACATCAAGGAAGGAAGGACCCCAAAACGCTTCTTCCTCACAACTCATTCATTGTCCAAACTCGACACCAAGCCCTAATTTTGTCCAGGCTATGGCATATTGCTGCTTCGTAGGAGGACCTCGATTTCAGTTCACAGGGGAGTGAAATTAGTGTCGTGGCGGATTTGAAGGCAGGCTCGGGAAGATGATGCATGACGACGACGACGATGACGAGAAGCAGAAGAAGCAGTAGAAGAAGAAGAAGAAGGGGGTGGTGAAGGAGAAGGAGGAGATGGAGCAGGAGACAGAGGTGATGGCGATGGCGGAGACGGAGGAGGAGAAGAAAGCTGCTGCGGCGAAGCGAGCGAAGAAACTGATGCTGCCCAAGGACTTGCCGTCCAAGTATGATCATGCGCACTGGCGTCCGAAGCATGGGAAGGATGCTGGAACCGCGGAATTGCACCCTTATCATCGTGCGAAGCTGCGGGCGTTGCTCGACTCGTTGCTGCAGGAGCATCTCTACTCTGCTGCGTCGGGGCCTGTGTCTGTTCTCTTTCAAGCTCACACTCGCGAGGATGTGTATCAGAATCGCGATCTGCATTATTTTTGGGTATGGGTTTTTGGGTGTTATGGCGAGAGTTTGTTTGAGTTTGGTAGCGTCGGATTTGGCAGGAACCCGTAGGCCGGTTCTTGGGACTTGCTGCGGAATTCTGCACGTGAATGTGTTTACAGGTTGGAGAGAGCTTGAATTAGTGTGCGGTCCAGGCTGAGGTTTCTCATTTGCTTTTATAGTTCATGGTTTGAGGATCTAAGTGGCCTGGCCCTAGCTTCGCTTTCATCCAATCACTTGGTCTAATCAGTTGAGTGTCTTCAAAGGTTGCATGTTGTGACATTCAATTTGGGTTAAGGTGTTCAGGCAGCCATGGAAGTCTTGCGCCAGGCGGATCCAGGAAAGTCAAATATTAAGAAGATCAAACGTCTGTACCGAATTTTGCAAAGCAAACAACTGAATGAGGTACTCTCCTGTCTTTGGTGATTTACTACGGTATTCACGATCCGAGTCGTGTATGATTCTTGTTAATATACTTTGCTTGACGCCATTCTTGCGAGCCTATTTTTCATTTTGTTTCTCCTTGGCCGATGTTTTTCAGTTTTAAGCACTGTGAAATATGAATCAACCGAGTCATTTTTTGTGAATGGGAGTGCCTTTCCTGCTCTTCTTTATTCTGTTTATTTACTTTTCATTATTCCGCACGATATGCCAGTTCAAAATGTTTGACTAATTGATAGTCTGTTATGATGTGAGCGTGGATTTTGCTTCGTAGAAGACATTGACGTCATTGCTGAGGGTTTTGGGTTCTGAGTTTAATTTTTTTGATTCCATTCTCGTTGTGCCAGATTGCTTGAGGCAAGATGTAACCTTCAGAGTAACAAGAGAATTAGACTGTAGTAAAGAAGTGCAAGGAATTAGAATTCACGAGAGTTTTATCTACAATATGCGAAGTTTCGCGTGCTTGTTCTGGAATCAAGTTAAGCTTTTATTAGCTGTAAGTTCAGTATTTTAAGGAATTTTGCCCTTGATCTTAACTTTGTTACAACTACGTACGCTGGGCTTAGGTGACTCGTGGGAACATTCGATTGGAGCTGGCGCTCTACTTGATGAGTTTGGGTGACCTCGAGTCTTACGAAGCATCGTATAATGAAATTCGGCCGTATGTATCCGATTCGCCACTTTGCTTGTTTTGTTTTGTTTATTTGGGTAGATTGCCATGGCCAGTGGATGTCTTTCCTTGTACTGTGTGAAGACAACTTTATAGTTTGTTCACCTTAGTTTAGGGCATAGATGCCTTGAAGCCATCAGTGAGCTGTGATGCAATTTAAAGTGACAAGTTCAGCTTACAATTATAAAGTTATTCTTATTTTGAACTGCATGAGCGATATTTTCATCATCGGTCTTGAACATGTTCGGGGTGTTACTGAATATTGTTTTTTATCATTCAATACAGGATTGTTGATGTGCCTCCGTTCCGTGATGACCCGGTGATGAACCTTTGCCACGGATATACGCTACATCGCTTATGGCACGACCGTGTTGTCCAAGATGTTGAAAAGCAATTTGTACAGGATCTCGGTGCAAGGCCTCAGCATGGAGCGGATCAAGACGATTATGAAGAGGGTGGTGGGGATAATGATTATATGGATGTGGATGAACGCGGGGAAGTGGGCAGTATGATGGGAGCAATGGTTGTTAGACAATCACATAGTGTGGATATGGGTTCAGCTGAAATGTTGGATGGACAGGACATGGGCGGCATGCCTTTCAGCAGCCAGGGTGATCGTGGATTTTATGAAGAGGATGAGGAGGACGGCGACGTTGATGATTTCTGGAAGACTGCAGTTGTGCGGTGGTCTCCTGGTCCGCAAACTACTCTTATTTGCTACTTGAAAGCTCGAAATTATTTCGTTTATGCATAATTGATATATTGAGGATGACTTTGAGTGAAGTGGTTATTTTTTTTGTATCATTAATGGGCTTTGATTACAGTTTTAACTCCTTGTTAGACACTGCGAAAGTGCTGAAGCTGCCTCTTAATTAACGGTTAGTGAATAGATTGCTTTACACGGAACAATTTACATGAAATGATTGACAGCTCCTATTTGATGCTTTGTATTCTTAATGGAAAATACATTTGTGTGCTTTGTTTTTGCAGACTTGGATAGAAGGCTGTTTCCAGTTCGGCTTCCACAGACAAGGACTAGACATTTGTATAAAGTACCCATGGATAATGGAAGAACTCGGGATGCTCACTCCAGTGCAATAAAGTATTTGAGGAGAGCATTATCGCTAGCCTCTGATATGACTCCTGCTCTCCTACCTTTAGTACAAGTAAGCTGATTGGTTAGTTAATCGTTCATACAGCGTCTGCTGTGTCTCTTGTTCCACTTATCTTTCAAGTGACCATGAATTGAAATGTATAATAGCATAGACTTGATTGGATGGGGACAAGCACTCTGATTGTACAGTAAATCTTACTGTAAAATCAAATAAGTAAAAGAAAAACAATCTGTGCACAGTACTTTGTCCTGTGACTCATTCTTATCAGTCCCATGTAACCTCTTCTTATTATTTTCTGCCTTTTCTTTGAAACTTTCTACTGGTGCAGGTAATAAAGCATTTTTTGTTTTATTTTTTTCAGATTTTGTTACTTTGTTCATACTGGTCTATTGTATTTCCCTGAAGTGTTGAAGAACGCTAGTATTAACATATCACAGTTACGTTTTCAGCTATTACTGGCTGCTGGGGACGTGATGGGAGCAGTGGATGAGATCGAGAAGTGTTCCAGTACCCCTCACCTCCTACCTCTTAGGTCTGTCCCTCTTTGTTCCAGTCAAAATCTTTTGTATGTTCGAGGGTAGATTTCTCTAGCCCTTCATTCCATTGGTTGAGGGATAGGGGCTGATTGTACAGTAAATCTTTAATTTAGGGTTATAATTCGAATATTTACGTTGGTTTCTGCTATTTGCTCAAAACAAGGCAGGTTTTAGTGATGTCTGTGAGCCATTAATTTTAGCTTTCAAAGGTGACAATTGGTAGTTTTTGGCTCCTGACATGACAAATCCAATACATTATGAAGTCTCTTCCTTGATGACATGTGAGCAGTGTAAAAGCCTTACTGTTGGAGTCGTTGGATTCCAAGAGCAACAGTCGACTGGCGAAATGTTACGAAACTATACTTCATGTCAATCCATCTTCTACACTCACTTTGGACAGACTTGTACAACTGCACGCTTCAGGTCTCTTCCAAGTCCAGCTGCGTCCTTCATTTTTATGCTTCCCTGCGCTCACTCCCCTTTGTTTCAGTGAATTGTTTTAGTTAAATGGTATAATGTTCTTTCGTGGAGTAAACTCATTTAGTCAGTGTTGGTTTTTAAGACTCGAGAGATAAGAATGTGTTTCAGGGGACCTACGCTATGATATTGCATGAGATCATTTATATTTTCTTTGAGTTGCAGAGGCTTTGTATTTTAATATATAGCAAGTGTGAGTAATTAGCTACCTAGCCCGGTGCTTGTGCAAAAGTGACCAAGTATCTCAGAAATAGCTGTAGAAGTAGTTGACAGCTTTTGAAGTCCCTGAAACGATTGGGCTGCAGGCAAATACAAGACAGAGGCACTGGTAGAGTGCATTGCAGTGCATCTGGATGTCAATCGGGGACTGCTCGAAGTATGGCAGCAATTAGCAGCTTGTCTAATGCACTTGAACCAACGGCATAATGAACAATTAAGGGAAGCAGAGTTTGGGACGTTTGGACAGCCACAAGATTTCAGTGGGGATAATGAGGAAACGAAAAAGGAAGAGTGTGCACAAGATGCCCCTTACTATGTTTGGAAGAGGAGAATATGGGATGAGAGAATTCCCTGGTGGAGGAACAAGCATTTCCATGAGAAAAGTGTAAATCTCGAGCAACAAGTTGATGGTAAGTGGCAATCTCAAATCAATAGACCATTCTGTATCGTCCCCCTTTTTTTTAACGGATCAATCACTGTACGTCAAATTCTTTGTTTGAGTAAAGCAACCGCTTACACAAATTTTGAAGTTGTTCTTACGATTGTTGATTCAAATAGGCTAGCATTCTGTCACCGAAATATTTGTAAAGTCACTGAAATTTGAATATTGATGTTTCCATTTAAACACGAGTAAATTTTGTTTTCGAGACTCCAGTGGAAACACGTCGCTTAACTGTCTGACAATTCTGCTATTAGAGTTACTTTTGCATGTGAGTTACAGAACGGTTTTTCATCAGAATGGGCAGAAGTTTGTGGGAGTCTTAATGATGAATCAGCTTTTATAAATCTTAATGATGATCAATGAAATTGTAACTTAATTCAGTAGCTCTCGGTTACTTGCTAGGAACAAGCTAGGCCATGACACTAATTTTCATTGGGACATGTCCAGGTGATATGAATAGGATAGCGTACAAAGCAGCGTGTTCAGTGCATATACTTGGCGCTGGAAATGCTTACGAAGTAGCAGTTTCTCAAGCTCTTACCCCGTTCGGAGCAAGGAATTTACTGTCTGTAGTCAATGCTCATAGTATGAACTTTCATGTTCAGTTGGCTGAAAATCATTATAGCATGGAATCAGATTCATCACACATGTAAAATAAGTAAGCAGATGATTGGTTTTCTATTGGATTTCGCTCACTCGGTAGTCTATGTGAAAGAACTTTCTATCAATGGATTGTTTCTGGGTCCAGCTACTTTTATCAATTACACAACTTAATTAGAATCACAGACCTTTTCATTCCAAAATTGACTTGCTTAGAAGTTGTAACTGTACTCATACACCACATATACTCATGAATCTCTCAGATGAACACATTTCTTTATTTTTTAGTAATTTCCTGCTTAATCCCCAACAATGAAGCCTGTGCTGTAACTCATTATTTGTAATTATTGTCGGTATTGATAGTCGCATTCTAATGTTGGTAGTTAAGCCAACTAGCATAATACCCAATCCCAGTAAAGTACTACATCTATGTGATGAATCAACAAACTGATTTTGTATTTTCTTGAGAGTCACTGTTTGGATGATTGAAAACATCTTGCATGTTGCACACAATAGAAATAATCGGTACGTTTCAACTGATAAATTCAGTCTTGAAACGTAATTCCAAATAACAACCAAACAAGTAAAACCCTAACAGCGTAAATCAGTCATAAACTGTTAATCTATTAACACAAATCGCTTAATCCTCAGACTTAATCCTTTGTAAAACCCATCAGAACGAGGAAGCCAATCACACCAACGTGTATAAAACCCACAAGTTTTATCTAATTAAAAATTACGTTTGGTTTCACTCGACAAATTCTGTACGTGGAGCGTTCCCATCCATATCGCCGGGAACTGAAATTAGGGCTTGAGGGGAACGATTTTAGGGCTTCCATTAAGGCCGAGGAGGTGCTCAGAATCCGTTCTTTTCCGAGTCTCCCTCTCGCAGCGCAGGCCACAGCACCGGCCAGGCTCCCTTCAGTCTAGCCCCTTAGTCAACATGGTGGCCGCGAAGAAGACCAAGAAGGCGCAGGAGTCGATTAACAATCGGCTGGCGCTGGTGATGAAGTCCGGGAAGTACACCCTGGGCTACACCACCACGCTCAAGTCGCTCCGGGGCGGCAAGGGCAAGCTTGTCATCATCGCCAACAACTGTCCGCCTCTCCGCAAGTCCGAGATCGAATACTACGCCATGCTTTCCAAGACCGGCGTGCACCACTACAGCGGAAACAACGTGGATTTGGGCACCGCCTGCGGGAAGTATTTCCGTGTCTGCACCTTGAGTATTACCGACCCTGGTGACTCGGACATCATCCGCTCTATGTCTACTAGTACTGAGTAGGACCAGTTGGTGCGGCTGGTGAGTTCTCGGGCTTACATGATATGGGCGGCAGATGCGAAGCAATGAGGGCTGTGGATGCAACTGTTGCATGCAGTCGTTAGGGTTAGGGTTCTGCGTTTTGGTACGTGCTTTATCCTCTCCGGTTTCATGCATCTCTTCAGAACTGCCCTCAATGTTCCAAGTATATAATTGAGATCTATACCAAAGCACTGAGAATCTATTCATTTTTTTCCATCTTGTGTTTCTCTGTATTGAGTGTAGACGGGAAGTTTGGTTGAATGATTGAATTTCTTGAATTTTTGAGCGTTTTGGGTTTCTCTGGAAGAATGTGATAAGTTTCTTTACAACGCGTACATGTATCGGAAATGGAGTTAATGATTCCAACCTGATTATGCTTGTAGGTGTACTTTAGAGTGCACTCAGGGTAAAGCTGTCGAATTCTTGTGTCATCTTTTCCTGTACCCTCTTTAGATTGTTATGTATCTTTCCGTAGACCTGAATAAATCCGTTGCATTTTGAGACAGTCTCTTGCATCTTCATATCAGCTGGTAGTGTTATCAAATATATCACCTTGAGAGAATCAGGTGCTGTCGGATCATATTCGATATAATGCGGACCGAAAACTCGTATTTTGTTTTTGGAACTTGATCTTTTTATGATGTGTACTCTGCATCATTGTCTGAGCTGGGAAAGGTATATCGAATAAGAACACCTGCTAGTTTGTTTGGTGAAGTCAAAGCCTCACATTGTTATGACTTTTGGGAGGTGGATGTGTCTTTCCTAACCGATAGTTTTCGCGCGACTGCTGTGAACATGCCTGATTTTTGAAGGTATGGATGCTGTGAATCATTACTGGGAGAATGATTCTCTCAATCAGCCCCGCTCATCTATTTAATTATCTAAAAATCATGATTTCTATTACTTGTGAGGTTCGAAGCCAAAATTGATTACTGGGACAATGGGCCTGGTCCCACTTAATCCTTTCCTCATACCCAGTGGTAATAGCTTAAAGAGTTTGCTGAGCACTGAACCGTTGCAGAGGTGCAACTATGGATCATGTTAGTTGCTTTGAACTTAACTATGTTAGCACGTGTTCGAGTCTTCGCATATTGTTGTGTTCATTATTCCCATCTGAGTTTCTCCAAACGTATTGAGAGTTGATTACATGGAAGATATGCATAGGAGTGATTGTTGGATGGAGGCGCATCTGGCACCATGTTGGATTACTTGAAGTGTCTTGACAACGTAAAATCAAGACAGCAGTTACCATCTCATAAATACCTCCGTATCACGTTGGAAAAAATTGGTTTCCCCCAAAAACGTTACAATTTAATTTCAATCAAGATAGAACCTTCAACATGGAACCTTCAGTATGACCTTATTTTCAGAGTCAATTTTTGAGAGACAATTAGTCCTCTTCATAAACCACATACAATGTTGAGTGTTTCATTCGGTTTGTAAACTTTTGCAAATATTTTAGAATATACAGGATTTTTCCAAGGAATACGTGAAATAAGCTGTAAGGTTTCCTTTGAGAATTTCTGGTTTCGGTGAAGAAAATAATTTAATTTTGATTCAATATTACTTTGGGAATAAAATTAAATATAGGATTCGAAACGATTTTTTTCCTTCACCATTTTGAACTTATGTAGATTGTTACTTTTATTTACTCTTCTATTTTTGATAAGGCACTAATCTAGTGTTTCATTAAACAACATGAGAATTCCAAACAACTTAAGTCAATTCTCGTTATTGAATCTTCGTCTTGATAATCAAAAGATAAATATTTTTAATCATTATTTTTATTTTTGTCAATATTTTAATCAGACATAAGCTTATAAACGAACCCAAAATTTTATGTACATTGTCTGCAACACACATACTGGATGTCAAAAAAGAGAGAAATGTGACATTTGAGCATTAACATAAACATCCTGTCGAAGCTAGAGCAATTTTATCATCATGTAACAATCATGTCAATAAATAAGTAAATAAATGAATGAAGACTTCATCTCTTGATAAGAAGTATGTCTGAAAGGTATTTGTTCTCACATGTTTGTTTTGTGTACTGATGATAGTATTATTTCGTAAACATGTATTCATATTAGTATTATCGGTTCAGTAAATAAATTGCTGTTATTAAAAGAATCAACATGGAAAATTGTTATAACAAGTACACTTGAGTTTGATGTAACTGTATAATCTTGATTCAAATATTTTCAGATTCCGTCCAAGAAGTTATATCTTATTGCCAATTAATCAAAAAAAAAAAAAAAAAAAAAAAAAAGAAACTCAAAAATCATTCCATTGAAAATTAGAATATTAAGAACGTCATATCTCTAAGATATTTTGTAGAAATCGAATCTGGATCGATACATGAAAATTATCTTATGAGACTAGCTGGTTTGAAACAAATTGCCGAAAAGTCATTCAAAAACTCATCCTCACAAACATTTCTTTCCCATAAGCTTGTCTCATAACACAAGATCGTAGACTCAGTGAAAAAACTGGGTCTCACTAATTAAGGGAAATTTGTGCACCGTAAAACAAGAGAATGGCAACATTGTGTAAAAGTGATTGGAACGTGGGGTGCGACCACAGTTCACGATGTGTTAAGGATCATCATTGTGAATTCATGTGTTAAAGAAGTTTGGTTAATTAGTCCACTTCTTCAATTGTCGGACCAGCTCCACCGGCACCAGCATTCGCGGCCCCGGCATATCCACCTGCCGAGTTAGGGCTTCCGCCGCCTCCAACACCTCCTTGGTACATGTGTGAAATGATGGGGTTGCAAATGTTCTCTAGCTCTTTCTGCTTATGCTCGAATTCGTCGACTTCAGCAAGTTGATTCGCATCCAACCAGTTGATAGCATCATTCACAGCCTTCTCCAGCTTCTGCTTGTCGTCGCTGCTGAGCTGACCCGAAATTTTCTCATCCTTGATGGTGTTTCTCATGTTGTAGGCATAGTTTTCGAGCCCATTTTTGGCGTCCACTTTTTTCTTAACCTGTTCATCCTCGTTCTTATATCTCTCCGCATCTTGCACCATCTTCTCGATATCCTCCTTACTCAACCTGCCCTTGTCATTCGTGATTGTGATCTTGTTCTTAACACCAGCTGTCTTATCCTCGGCAGACACATTAAGGATACCATTAGCATCAATATCGAAGCAAACGTTAATCTGCGGCACACCTCGAGGAGCAGGTGGAATGCCAGCAAGCTCAAATTTCCCCAATAGATTGTTGTCTCTTGTTCTTGCCCTCTCTCCCTCAAAGACCTGGATAAGAACACCTGGCTGATTATCAGCGTAGGTAGAGAACACTTGCTCTTTCTTCGTGGGAATTGTCGTGTTCCTTGGAATAAGAGTTGTCATGACACCACCGGCGGTTTCAAGACCGAGGCTAAGAGGAGTAACATCCAACAGCAGTAGATCTTGAACCTTTTGATTCCCCTCACCGCTCAGAATTGCAGCTTGAACCGCTGCCCCATAAGCAACCGCCTCATCGGGGTTAATGCTCTTGCACAATTCCTTCCCGTTGAAGAAATCTTGAAGGAGGCTCAACACCTTAGGAATCCGAGTGGAGCCACCAACGAGCACCACCTCGTGCACCTGACCCTTGTCCATCTTCGCGTCCCGCAAACACTTCTCAACAGGTTCCATACATTTTCGGAAAAGGTCCATATTCAATTCCTCGAACCTTGCTCTCGTGATGGTAGAGTAGAAATCCACACCATCATACAAGGAATCAATCTCGATGGTGGTCTGTGCAGTCGCTGACAATGTCCTCTTCGCTCTTTCAGCGGCTGTGCGTAAGCGGCGAAGAGCTCTAGCATTGCCCGTAATATCCTTCTTGTACTTCCTCTTAAATTCTTGAACGAAGTGATTCACGACCCGATTGTCGAAGTCCTCGCCACCAAGATGAGTATCTCCAGCCGTGGACTTCACCTCAAAGATTCCTTCCTCAATGGTCAACAACGACACATCAAAAGTTCCACCCCCAAGGTCGAATATCAAAATGTTCTTCTCTCCCACTGATTGACCCTTCTTGTCCAAGCCATAAGCAATAGCAGCTGCCGTAGGCTCATTAATGATGCGCAGAACATTGATACCCGCAATGGCACCTGCATCCTTCGTCGCCTGCCTCTGCGAATCATTGAAATATGCAGGCACAGTAATAACAGCATTCTTCACAGTCTTTCCAAGAAACGCTTCCGCAATCTCTTTCATCTTAATCAACACCATGGACGAGATCTCCTCCGCAGCAAACTGCTTCGTCTCCCCTTTGTAATTCACAACAATGATAGGCTTACTCCCGGGGCCAGCAATCACCTTAAACGGCCACAATTTCATATCACTCTGAACAGACGCATCATCGAACCGCCTTCCAATCAGCCGCTTCGCATCAAACACGGTATTCACCGGGTTCATCGCCACTTGGTTCTTCGCCGCATCTCCAATCAACCTCTCCGTGTCCGTGAACGCAACATACGACGGCGTGGTGCGGTTCCCCTGATCATTGGCAATAATCTCCACCCGATCATGCTGCCACACTCCAACGCAGCTATACGTCGTTCCGAGGTCAATTCCGATCGCCGTTCCTTCTCCTTTCCCCGCCATTTCGAAACCAAACTCTCTCAACTACAACTCGCACTTCTTCCTCAGACTATTCTCCAACAGGACTCGTACGTCAACAACAATCCCTCAACGTTGTGCACACAATCGCATAACCTACTGCCGAAGCAAATCGAGAGACAAAACCAATATATACAGAGCTTCACGCAAAACAGAACGAGTTGCAACTGAACTCTTCGCCTCCAGATCCTTCAGGAAACCGCAGCCAGTTACTGCCGCCTTCGATCTCCACATTTCCTAGATCCCACTTCCATCATCTACCTCTGTACTTGATTCTCATCAACGTTTTTTCGCAATTCGTGGATGTGGCAGTTAACTTCCTGATATTCTTCAAAATCTATTAGACAGTGCTCATTCTCTTATTTAAGTGAAAGGTACATTTAAATATATTGGATGAGGATTTCGCGAATGAAGTTTTATGGATGAAGTGACGTTCATCCATGAGGTTTAGCCAAATCGGTGTGCGTGGTTTTGTGTGAAGAACGACAGGATTGAGGCGGAGAGTGCACGAGACCGAGCGCCATGGAGCGGTGGATTGCATTGCCTTGCAGATGCTTATTACAGGTATAGTGCTGTGTTTTTCTCTCTTCGTTTATGGTTTTTCGTGTTTCATTTTATTATTTGGGGATTTCGAGAAGCATCTATAGCTTGGAATCAGTTGTTAGTACCAGTTGCGACTACTGAGGGAATGAGATTTGGGAGGCAGGATTTCGAGGTGCTGCCTGTGTTACTTCGTGCCCGTAGTAATGTGTGGGTAGAACTTTCCCTTCTGCGTGAATTCGTGGTAATCTTTCAGGTGGATACGTGTTGAATTCACCAAATGGGGCATGGTTCTTTGCGTTGGAATTCGAGATGGCAGATGCGGAGAAATGGTTGTGTGTATTTGCTTGTGAGTGAATTTTAAGTAGTTTAATCAGCAGGTTTTTTTGGGTGTGAGAACCACGAATGGTTTGCCACTTTTCGAGGTGTAAACATCAGAGTCCAGCTTGTAGAGGGCTTACCCTTCGTAGGTATGCTTGTGTGTGTGCGTGTATGTCTCTGTGGTCTGAACAGTCAATGTTCTATGCGTTCTTGGAACTGAGCTGAGGTAATCGCATGAACATTAGGATGATAACAGTGATGATTGTCCAGATTCTTATGAGTTGTACTTAGAGATATTGGGTTTGTGACACGAGCATATTTCAAGGGATACTCTGTTTTTTTTGGTGAGAATACTCCCAATGTCCTAACATCATAGACGTGGTCAGCAGGATATGCCACTCTTTTGTGGAGGTTAAAGGGTTTGTTAAGATGAATTACGCTACTGTTAAGTATCTATGAGGCCGTATTTCTGTTTCAACTGGCTTCAATGTTTTCTTCCGAATTGGAAGTGTATCTGGAATTGGTTCAAAGTGATACAAGGATTATTTAGCCATGCGCCCCATGAGTCTGATTGCTTTACTTGCAACATTGTATTCTGGTGTCAGGGGCTAGGATTGTGTATATCAATATGGGTCGTTGCAGCTGCCGCATCTGAAAAAGCAGATCCAATTCCCAAGCCATGGCCACTTCAATTCCACGCACAGCTTTATCAGAATCGGACTGGAAAGCTGTCCATGATTGACTTGTGGTATGACTATCCCAACGGGCGTAATCTCAACCTTATTCAGAAACAGCTTGGATCAGTGATTCATGATGTGGAGTACACCAATGGCACCTCGTTCTACTATGATCTGGAAGCAGGTACTTGCAAGGTGGTCTTATTTCAAGTCGGAATTCTTCGGCCTGACTTTTTGAATGATGCTACCTACGTTGGTGTTGACGAAATCGACGGCTATAAGTGCAATGTGTGGGATAAAGCTGACTTTATACGATACTGGGAAGACATTGAAACCCGAAGGCCAATTTCTTGGCTTTTTACTACTACTGGTGAGCGCCTGCATCTTGGAAGATCTACTTAAATTGCAATGGTTACGGAACTGTCTTTCATTGTTTCCCTTCCACATGTAGTCGGTGACTTGAAGTAATTTACATGTAAAGGTATCCAATTCATGTGAGTTTCGCAGGAATGTGGATGCATGTTATGAAATTTGAGGAAGGAAATGTACTTGACGACCAGAAATGGCAAGCACCTCCATCATGCTTTGAGCGAAGGGTAGCTTCTACGACCTCGTCTGCTTTGAAAGCGAGCGAGGTTGGGGAGCGAGAAAGGCAAGGTATATACATAAAGAAGGCAGTAGTAGCCCGCAAAGCTATGTACCACAGCGATAAATAGAGTTCGTGTCTTTGGCAGAATCTTCTCATGCTGAAATGAAATTTTAAACCTTGTAAGCGGTTTTGGGGGTCCAGTTGAAGCATCAACTAAAGAGTAATGGAGTGAAGATTGCGGCTACAATAACCATGAGCTTGTTGAAACATGTGATATTGCCGCAATCTGTGATAGCTCGAGCAGAGTAAAAGCGCAAAGCAGACGTGACTTGGGCGATATGAAATGAAAGAAAACAGTAATTTTCATGCACACATTATTTGTTAAGTGTGCAAGTGAACTGTGTACGTTACCAATATGCCATAGCCTTCGAGATATTTCTCTTGGAATTTGACGGCTTCATGTCTGCTGGACGTAAATATGAACTGTAATGGATTGTTACAGTTGTAAGGTAATTGTGTGCAAGATACTTACTTGTAACGGATTGCCTATGTATTGTCACAATCGGGGTGTACATTGTACATTTTCCGTCTGTTCATGTAATCAAAAAAACTTTTCACATGTCTGATTGTACTTGATGGATTATCGGACAGTTTATTATGTCTGAAACAAAATATGATGGGTCACAATTGCGTTTGCTGGGCTTAGACCGTTTTAGTGCTATATATCATAAAGAGTCTAAAAATTCGCGATTGAAAATAATAAGATTCGCAAATATACCGACTCCTTTATGAACATATTATTTCAGAGATGCTCATCATTCAAGAACCAAAACTATGCGTTCGATCTCAACAGAGGCACGCCACAATGAAATTGCAGTTTCAAGAGGGCAGAATCCACACTCCAAAACAACAAAAATAATAATTCCCATAGAGGCAGAAAGTAAACTCGATTCAAAGCAGTGACTCCATCCCAACAGAGAAGTTCGCCTTGATGCCCCTTGTAATCAGATGGTAGAGATACAATTAGTTCATCCGCAATACATCTAAGAGACGAAAATTAGTATCCACCCTTGAGGTCGTTAACGACATCGTATGGAATGGGAGTAACAGTCTCTAGAGTAGAGGAGTCCAGAACGAATCCATCCCTTGGACCAGCAGGCTGACGCTTGAGGTTCACAGTTTCACCCTTAGCCTTGGCCTCAGCCTTCTTGATGTCATTGCTCTTACGGCGCTCGAGGAACTCTTCCCGGCAGCGTGAAGGCTGAACGTGCTCGATGCGCACATGAAGACGCTTCTGGATGATCCTGTTCCCGACCTGCACACGAATCATGTTTGATGAGCACTGAGGTTTACAACTTTGGAACTTCATAAACTCCAAATGGACAACCAAACATGATAGAATTGCAGACGAAGGCCGTCAATATTACGACCGTTACCAGGTAAAGGCGGTGTCAAATGTCTGGAAAAAGCATTCAATACAGGCTTCACGAAATTTAAATCTAGAAAACTGATCGCGGCACTAGAATGGCAAGAATTGGTAAGTACTGTCGCACATACATCACTCAGGCGAGAGCTGTGTGCGTTGCAACAATAACTAAATCAGCATTCACGACGGGCCAGTGAAGAGGCTTCACTCCAATACAAATTAACTTAACAGAGTGAATTATAAAAAAAGAATTATTAGTGTGCACGCAAAGAGAATTAACATCAGAAGATGATGAAGACTGGGATTCAAGAGTATCACATACAAATTACCACTTTAATGATGGTTATCAAGAACGAAAGTAATCTCAAACTGAATTAATCTCGAACTTCCTCGGGGGGTTGCATTACTACAACAGGGAGCCCTAACTCTGAAAGGACTTTAAGGTATAATAAAGCAGCATTTCCACTTTTTCAAAACACGGACTCAGATGAGAAAAACGAAGATAAAATGCACAAACATACCACACTCAAAATAATGAATTTCTCTCACAATATTCTGGTGTAAGCTGAAACAAGGAACGCCGGAACCGACTGAAACAAGCTGGATTCCACCAAAAAAAAAAAACGGATAGCGAGAGAACCGTACCTGCTTGTTCATCACAACGCCGACGGCGCGCTTGGTGACGTTCCAGACAATTCCAGTGCGGCCGTGGTAGAACTTGTGGGGCATACCCTTGTGAACGGCTCCGTTCACCTTGATGTCCACATACTGGCCGACCTTGAAGGTCCGCAAGTAGGTAGTCAAGGGGATGTAACCTTTGTGGCGGAAGGGCCTGGAGAACAAGTCCCTGGTGCGGGATCGCAGCCCGTGTCCGGCCGGCATCCTTGCTGCTGCTAGGTATTCACGATCTCGACACACACAGAGACTCGACGACGACGGTGAGCGAAAGAGAAAGGATTCTGCAACTCGCACAGACGAGACTTAAACCCTAATCGTGCTCCGGAGTGTCCCCTTTAGGTCTGGAACTGCCGAACCTCGTGGCACTTCCCGTGTGGCATTGGCAACGTGCCAGATCGGACCGGCTCGGATCGAGTCGGGCTGGGCTAATACGACCATTGCGTCACCCGTGATATCAATTTCTGCAATTTTGTTGTGGATTATTAAGTCTGTTTCCTAATGATAGAAATGGATTAGTGCATTGTGATTTTTGATCATGGGTTCGATTAAAACTATTGTCTAACTCGAATGTCAACAACTTGGTCTGATTTTTGATTATCAGTTCACTTCAAAAAGCCATTTTTAACTTCATATTGTAAGGTACAAGGGAGTTGATTAAGATGTGTTATTTTTTTTTTTTTTTTTTTTTAAGTGCATTGCCAATTGCAGATTTTAAAAGTTTGGGTATGAATAAATAAATATGAATATTTCGTTCAGGATTATTATATTTATTTTTTTTCCATTTCTTTTGTATTAAAAAAATGATAAATAACGAACCTAATTTGATATGCGTAATATATTTTTTGGTTACTGTGAGAAGTAACAATAATTATGATAATTTTTTTGAGATAGGTCGATTTTCAATAAATTGATTTAGAATTTAAGAATTCAGTTATTTTTTTCTTGACATTTAATAACATGTCAAACCATGTGATTGGATTTTTATTTTTATTTTTAAGTTGGATGCTTTTCTCTCAGAAAAATTAACATTTGCAATGTTTAATGTATTGAATAAATAGTTTAATATGTTTGCAAATGTTTATTAAGAGAGTTACACTTGTAATTCAAACCTAAACTATTGTTGTGTATGTATCAATACCTTAATTTGTTCATACATATATATTTGTCTACTCTTTATTTTTAGTGTTCTTATAATCACAAGGTTATAAAAAGGCGTAATCAAGAGCTACGTTCAGTCATCAATTAAAAATTAATAATATTGAATAAAAAATACAAAATATATATCATCTATTGTTTTACTGCGGCTTTACCTGAAATAGATATGCATATTATAATTATATTCATATTAAATTAAAATAATTATATGATTATTTTTAATTTTCAACTAGCACTTGATATTTTAAACATAAATATATAATTATGTGAATAGTTACATTTTAATGTTAAGAACCAGTAAAATATTGAAATAAATGAAAATATGAATTTGTCGATATTCAATATTGTTTATTAAGCACTTGTTCAAAAACATTTTGTTAAAATAAGAACGTATTAAGTATTTTACTCATCTATAATACTTGTAAAAAGGTTTGAGTTTATTATTTCAGCTTAAAATGATATGTTAAAAAAATTGTTTATAAAAAAATTCCACAGTTAAAAGAAAAAGAAAAAGAAAAACTATAAATGCTTATGCTTCATATCTACTTTTTTTTTATTTTCTTTTTTTAAATAAATTAACAAAGTCACAACTCAAAGGCAGACCTCCACCAAATATAGAAAGGCTCAAAATCATCCTTTATATGACTTTAATTTCTCCAATTTACTTTTTGTTCAACAATAAACCCAAATATAAATTTGTTTCGAAGAAATTGTTGCAAGATGTTCTATAATATAGTCTATGAATGCATCTTTTTAAAGATTGATGATTAGAATGAGAAAATTATCATGAGAAAATTCATCCACTTTTAGTACTAATTTGAGCTTGTCTTTAAGGCACGTATTATAATCTTTTACAAACACGCTTCCAAACTTAACAAATGAATATTTCATGGAAAATTACTACTTGGATAAATTATATTTAGAATAACATGTAACACCTCTTGCGCAATTCTTAGAAAATAGATAGAACAAAAAATCCTTTTTAAAATCTAATTTTTTTTTAAAAAAACTTAAATTAGAAAGGTTTTTTACTTGTTCAAGGAAAAACTTTATGACAACGAAGTTCCAAGTTTGAAACTATACAACCAAATAATGTATTACTAATTTCATGCATTGATTGCACTCCCACACCATATTGTTTTAAGGACATAAGATTTTAAGAATTTAAGATTTTCTCCTAAAGCAAATATCATTATTCTTGAACAATGATCCACTTACTTAAGAACACAAACTAAAAATTTCCAAACAGACCTAAACTCTTCATTTGGGTTTAGATGAACATTTATAACTATCCCAAGTTGGCAGCAGTGCAATCTAGCTCTGAAGCCAATACCCATTTTCATGTTAAGTATTGATGTGTTTTCCAAAAAAAAGGCCGCAATTGTCTTTCAAGTAATCCATAAATCAAGCTCTGTTACAAATGGAAGGATTGCGCAGCGTAGGACTGAACATTGCCCAAACACATACAAGCTTGACCGTGTAGGGGCACTCCGCGGTGCCATTGAATCCATTCACAATTTTCACAGCCAACTGAGCTGTTAGAATACAAGCCACTCCACGCCATAGCTGCGTATGTTTGTATTTTATCAGTTGGGAAATGCAAACAACCTCACAAGCCAGGACCACAGAGCAGGACTTTTGATCCAATTCCGACATAATCCAGCTCTTGTCCGCATGCTAGTGATCTCAATCTCTTAACAGTTGTGGCCACTCCACTACCCATGAAGTAACGCAGATCACTAAGTTTCAGCCGACCCAACTGAACTTGTAATGTTTTGCTTGTTTTGTTTTGTTTGTTTGTTTGTTTGTTTGTTTTCCCTTGATGCAGCTTCAGGGTCTGCATCATCAAACAAGAGACGTCAATCCATGTGCAGGTTCTGAATACTGAGCGGATTGGTAGATCATGCAATGATAGAGATACAATGGAACAGAATAGCGTAAGGATTTGAGTTGTGAGAATGGATGAGTGAGAACATACCTTTCAGCAAGGCGGAAACTTGATGCTGGCTTGCGAATGTGGTATTTTAGCATAGACAGAAGGATGTATATCAGCTTCGGACGAGGAGCTGGAGTGTTGGAGAGTTGCGGCAAGGCGACCCAGGTTGTCTTGACCCGCAGGATTTTGTACTACTGGTTTGTGGAATGTTGTCGGTCACGGTGCTCGAAAGGAGACTAGACGTGTAACATAGCTTATCTGATTGAAGGAATTGCGTCGCCGGAAGTCGCAGTAGTTTCAGAGACAACAAGGTAGGTGGCTTCAGGCACCGCTACATCGAACCGCTCGAAATCTGGAACGGATCTCAGAAAATGTCGCTCGAGTTTTCGCAGCGTTCGCTCATATCGTCGGGCGGCGGAATGTCGTTCGAGCACTTTGGTGGTTCTCTTCCTCGAGTCTAGCCACATGCGTTGGTACAAACTCCGGGTCCCTGAATCGCATCAGAAACTCCACGATCCTGTAAGCGTCCTCGAAATTGGACAGAGGGCCAAGAGAGACTTGCACACACGTGAATCCCGAGGAGTACCGCTCGTCGAAGACGCTCACGCTCTTCTTCCTGTCCTTCGGATGTCCGAGGAGATTCGCCACTCCTGGGTTGACGCATGCCGCGACTCCCAGAGTGATTCGGTACTTGGCTGCGAGTCTCTTCACCAGTGTTGGTTTGATGTGTTCCCCGTTGCACTCCAGCACATTGAACGAGATGATGTTGCCACGATTCTCCTCCGTGAAAGGACTGTACACGTTCACCAAGTGCCAGAATTCGTCCTCGTGACGCAACGACTTTAGGTTGTGGACGATCCAGAGTGCCAGAGCCTTCACACGCTGATTGACTAATCCGAGCCCTAGAGTTTGCAAGTGTCGAATGCCGAAGTTGATGCTAGCAAACAGAAAGAGCGGAGGGCTTTCATCGTCGCACACGATGTGGAAATCTTCGCCTTGCCATGCTGGTATCTTGGGGGTTAATGTGATGGTTGAGTCCGCTTCAGGAAAGCGGTTCACGGAGACACAGAAACTCGATCGTTTGACGAGCAAATACCCCATGCCAGACGGATACCCTACCATGTTTTCAAATGAGCCGATCACAAAGTCGGGTTGATGTTGCGACAAGTCTAACTGACCCGTAGGGAGGAGCGTGGAGACATCGAGCAGCACTTGCCAACTGGACTTGTGGGCTCTCGAAATCCACTCCAAAGAATGTCGGATTCCTGTAATGTTCGATTGGGCTGGATACACAAACAGACTTCCGCTCGGGTGGAAGAATCGGCGCTTCAGCATGGGCTTCATATTGGATTTCGTCATGCAGAGATCGTTCTCGCCAAGAGGGGCTAGGACAGGTTGTGCTCCCGAACTCACAGCAGCGTTTAAGAGCTGCGATCAGGACCAATTTCAACCAAAACACGCAAAATAAGCGACGAAAACCTTTAACTGTGTTCTCACTTGAGACCCACAAAGCCTTGACAGCACCAGTTGACGGGGATTGGCAGGGGCCTACCTGACGGACGCATTCGTGGTTATCCTGACACAATAAAAGAGGACTTCCTTTACGAAATGGGTAGGCATTCGCCACCAAGCGGTATGCGGTTCGGAAACTTGTCGAAAACACGACGGAATAGGCTGCTTTCGTCGTGTTGAACATCTTCAATAAACTCGCATGCACAGCCGAGACGTGGTGATACAGGTTGCTCGTCGAATCGATTCCAAAATCGTGCTCCTGTGCCATTAAGATTCTCGTGTGCTCTTCGGTCTACATTCACAAGCACCACAGTTATAGACAAGCCATAGAAATGACCACTTCAAAGTGCACCTCCAAGAGCGAAACCCAGCGTTTCAGACACCTGCAAGACTGAACTGCTCGCAAAGACCGAGAGAAGAATTGATTAGGATTGCTTGTGGGAGACTGACCTGATATTTAGAGGCAAGAGCAAAATTGGCATAGTCCATATACGTCTGCCGCTGCAATCTCAAGTCGGGGTATTCCTCTCGTCTAACCGCTTCAAGCATCAAAGTCTCGGAGTAATCCCTGTTGGCCTCAAGGAACCTGTGTTCGGCCTCAATGAATTCAGGGTTCTCTTCGTTGAGACAGGCGTCTAATGAGGACCAAGAAGATGAAGTGGATGAACTCCGATCCAGGGAAGGATCTCCACGAGATAAAGCTGTCGGAGTGTGGCTGTAGCCAAATCTTGGAGACTCGACCTTCGGATTCAAGTAATCGTGTCGAAGTTGCAGTTTTTTGATGGGCTGTATACCGCTGGGAGGCCTACTGGTAACAGACGTCAGTGGCGGCTCAAGCGTTCTCCTACTGTCGCCGTTGGAGTGTTGAGGTAGATCCAATTTCGAGATCCAAGCATTTTCTGGGACATACTCGCGGACCTTTTCCTTCATCGCCTGTTCTATATTCTTGTCACCGAATAAGTACACAGCCCCTTCTGTGGAGCTCTGCCTCAAAGCAGCGGGATTCAGCGAATCAGCGCTAATGGAATGCTTCAGACTGCGCTCCAGTTTCTTCACCGGTGTGCCATTGCTGCAGGAGAGATGGCCAGTCTCCCCAGGGCTAAGGAACGTCATTCTACTGTCATGAATATGCATCTCATCGACAACTCCAGTCTGATACGCACAAACAACAAGTCTCAGCACAACCTCAGCGCGCGATGGGTCCGACGCACACTGCACTTCAAATTTTGAATCAGATTCACTTCCGCGCTATTCAACTGTCGAACAATGCCCCGCTATAATGCCAGAATCGATGAACTTATGAATCGATGACGCCCAATACCAGGTCCGAGGAAAGAAGAAGGCAACCAGATTATTTCCACCAAGCTATTGCATTGCGACGATCGGGGGGCTTTAACTTCCGTAGCAATCACTCAAGAGCGGAAATAGGACGAACCAAAATGATCCACGAAGTCCATGAATTGTTGACAGACCCCCGCGTCTAAGAAGTAGCCTACACAAGAACTTGCGAGCAGGAGGTAGGTCAGTACCGCAGAGGTTTTAGATCGGTGCTGGACGAGGGACTCGGACATTCCGCCACCTCCTTGTCCCTAGGCCATGTCCAATTCACCACCACAGTCGTTACACGTCTCCTCGCGACACGGATCGCTACTCGACAAGCACAGCAACATCACCTTTCGATTGCCGGCAGTCGTAACTTTTTATAGCAATGATAGGTAATGTGTCGTTATTCGATCCCCAAAAGCACAAGCGCTCGGTAGCAGTCGACGCTAAAACGCTATCGCGCCCGCATGTACACCATCACGTTGTCGCCGAGACTGCTAGAAGACCTTGCTTTCTCCCGACCTGGAGCCAACTTGCATGCTCAACGAATGACTACTCAACACGAGGCAGACACAACTCTTCTAAGTCAGAGCCAAGGCCACTTTAGCGGAGAATTATCACCCTTTCGCAACAGCCCAGATGCTATAGCAACCCTCTTTCTATTCCTGGAGGCCTTTCAGATGGTCGCTTCTGCGCGGCATCTAAGGGCTCCCTTGTCTAAGTGGAAGACTATGAGAAAAGATCTCTTCAATTGCGCCGTTCGAGGTAGAGTAAATCAAGCAGGCTTCGTTGCGTTGATTCTACGAGTTCTGTTGAATATTGTGGCAGAGGTAGGTCGACGAAGAGGGTGCAGCGTAAATCATGGACCCTCTGAAACTGTGTATTTTTCGTTACCGAAAAGTCGGAAAATGTACACCACGTCATGTATCGTTCTGAGGACCACCTCAAACCGGTTGTCACAAGACGTATGCAAAGACTCAGTGAATTTGAACGAAATTCTCCGTTTCATCCGACGTTGGCAAACGTTGAGGCTCATAACCTCAGGTTTTTGACGCAGGAACCGGAGCTAATCTCCCTCTTTCAATAACTTGATAGTGTTTCGCAGCTTTTGCAGAATCTGGGTATCAGCATCTTGCTCCAGAAATCGAGTGAAGCGAGTCCAAGCAAATTGCCAAAAGTGACGACACGTCTCCAGTTAGCCCTAGAATAGTGGGCTCCAGCCGGTCGGACGAAAATTCACCGCGGGTTCTTCGAGCCTTTCGTTAAACAATTATTTGAAAACCAGTGCCATGGCAGGCTCATTCGGCGAGGTAATGGCTGACAATACAATTTCCACGATCATGTTTATCTGAAAGGGTAACTAACGAGCATTTTCTGCGGAAGAATTTAAAGGACTCCCTGATGTGCTCCGATGGTGATAAACTTGCAGTAGATTATGTTCATTCCCATTCCTTCGGCTACCGAGTTTAGTCGCGAAGGTGGCAAACCCGGTATCTGATCGGCAATTGAATTGAATATTTTGCCTAAAGCAGGAGAATTAGGTTGGCCACATGACAGTCGAAGCGCAACCATTTATTTCATCCTTCAGAGGGGGAAGAACAGGGATGGGTATCTGTTATGGCATTTAGGGATAGTAAGTTGACTTGCTGATAATGGCTGAAGTCACACTCTGCACAGGGTTGAGTCAACAGTAGCACAAACCTTGGAATCATTCTCGCCATGTTCGCAATGTGGGTGCCAACTGTTTCTGGGATTCTGCACCTGTTTGAACGCATCACTGTACACTCACAATGCTCGAATGGAATGCAGGTGCATGGGATGAGCCCACTTTGTGACAGAGCGGGAGAAGAACACTGCACAGAAAGAGCGGAATGGCCGCTCGCTTCCCGTTGGTACCAGAGAAGTCTCAAGAATTCTTTCACGTATTCTTTCTTTAAAAAGGAACCCCCGGTAAGAAAAACAGATTTGCTAATTTCATGAACTTGTCCTTGGAACCCACGACTGCAGCCAACGTTGGGTGCATGAACCTGGACGAGCTATTCCCTCACTCCGTCGTCGTCGTCTTCGTCGTCTTCAAGTTGGTCGCACTGATTCCATCATACGCAAGTTGCTTAAACCCAGATGACAATTGACTTCGTAAATAGACTTTTATAATTCCATTCTCTCAACCAAGTCAGATCAAAGGAATCCTACGCCAGGAGATGTAAGAACCTAGGCAAGGCAAAACTGAACGAAATCAAAACCCGTTGACATGAAATACGTGAAAGGCAAAAACCAAACGCAGACGTACACGACCAAGACGAACGTCGTCCTTGTCGTGGCCAATCTCTCGGATCGTGTGCCCTCGCGTGCTGACCTTCACAAATAGCGTGGGCAGGGCATGGAACTTCCAAGTCGCGGCCAAATTTCGAACGGGGCCCACAAAGAATAGACGTCCCAACAACCCATCGAATCCCATCTACTCTCGTTGTGATCGAACCCAGGCCTTTTTCTCCCTTTCTTTGGGCTCCGCGGGATGATGCCGTCATCGTGAGGGCGAGCGATTGGGGAGGGGGGGATCAACGGCATCCCATCCATCGTCAGCGATTGGCGAAATAGACACCCAGCCCCTGGCTCCCCGGACATGGAAAGGAAAGCTTTGGTTCCGTTTTGTCCGCCGTGACGCTGCTGGCGATCTATATTGGATCGTGAATCCCCCCTGGACCACAATCTTCATTTCCTCCTCCTCGGCTGTGATCTCTTCACATCTCTACTTCCTTCCTTCTTCGTTGCTGCCCCGCTTGCTCACTGTGGCAAGCCAGCCAGCCAGCGCCGACGAGACAGAGCTTGGCTTCCAGCGTCGCTCGCTGCTGCTCCCGCTCTCTCCTCGGAGGCTCCGCCTTCTTCTTCTTTTGCCGTTTGAAAGAGTCGACGCGACTTTTGTCTTTTTGATTTTGACTTTTTTGTTGTCTTTTGCTTTTGCGTTTTTTCCCCCCCTGCGGAATGAATCGGGAGGCTCAAAAAGCAAAAGTAACTGTTACCCCGCCGTGTGAAAGGGTGTGGTTGGATTGTGGTTTGGTTCTTCACATTGTTATGTTGGGAGAAAAGGGAATGGGTTTAGTGAATCTACATCTTTGTAGCATATGTTATTGGAGGTTGTACATCATTATATCATGTAATACTTCGAGTGCATGTATTTGAATTGTAGTATTTGAACTAGATTTTCATTGAAAGAAAGATAGAAAAATAAAATAAAATAATTAATAATAAATAAATGAATGATGCAACACACATGCAATAGTTACAGTGGATTTGTAATTCTCTGATGGCTTGTTGGGAAATGAGTGATTCTGTTACCAAAATGATTTTATGATCAAGTTGTTGTAATATATCCTTTTTAATGAGCAGAATGGAGATTTTTCTCATTTATGAAATTCTTGAAATTTTATCTATTTATCTTGTGGCCAAGTCAAAAAAAAAAAAAAAAAAAAAAAAAAAAGGTGCCCATTTGGTATCGTGGTAAATTTTTTCCTTCCTTCCTTCATTTATTCATGAATTATAGACAATTTTAACAAATGTTTTGCATGCTTGCCCACACCCTTGCTTTCTTATTAAAATTGGAACTTAGGACCAAAGAAAGGCTAAGATAAAGACAATATGAAGAAGGGCCAAAACTTAACAATATTGTGATCAATTATCCTTGCAATTCTTTGCCACTAACACCAATTTTCCCAACTAATGACCTTAGTTGATTATCTCACATTATTAATATTATTCTTGGTTATGCTTTACCCAATGCTTGCTAATTGCTTGTAAGTAGCCAGCAAGACATAACCAAGACTACTTCTTCTCATCTTGTAAGATGATGCTATAAAACTTCTAAGTTATTGGATGGAATTACTTCTTGTAAAAACCCTAGCAAATAACTTCTATAAATAATTCTTGAGCAAATTCAAAAGTTCAAACAAAAAAAACTAATTAATTAGTTAATGGAACTCTTATATTTGAGCAATTAGTTGTTAGATCAATATAAATAAAATAAAATAAAATGTGTTATATATGTTATTGTCAAATAATACTATTTCAGAGTAAAATTGAGATGGAGAATTTCAAAACCGGCCAAGTTCTGTAAAATATGCAATTTCAAAAACACCCAAAACATCAACTGTAAAAATGGTTTCTGGCATTCTCTGATTTTGATGGAAATTGAAAAAATTATATTGTTCATTTGGGTAAGTTAATCACAGGATTAACATACTCAACCCTTGTTTTTGTACACCCACCTGCAGCAACAAACCTGCACAAAGATATAGTTAATAACAGCCTTTAATATATATATATATATGTGTGTGTGTGTGTGTGTGTGTGTTACTATTTTAGGTTACACTTATTGTTAATTTTTAAATTTTTTTTGTATTGCCGCAAGAGTTAAAGTTACATTTTACAGTATCCGTAAGCTTGTACATATTATAATGAGAACTTTTGGTACGCATACAAGAATGGTTTTTGGTAGTTACATCTTGTCCTAGAATAAATTCTATCATTTAGACTGAGTTATAATTTACTGTAAAAAGGTGTTTGTGATTGCATTCATGTTTCATAAATTGCAGCATTCCCAGAATCAAAAACAAGAAAATAAAATAAAATAAAATAAATAAAAAAAGAATTTTACATCAGTAATCATTCACAGGAATAGACACAGCTTAAAATATTCTGTATCAAGCTGGATTGTAAATTAGCACCAGACTCATTCAAACATGTCTTTGTGTATCATTTACTATTAAAAACACATCCTGAGAAACAGTTATTAAGAATAAATGTATTCACGTATTATAAAATATATGTTAGTCTTCAAGAAAGGTAAATGCAGCCTTTGACCAACAACGTAACAAAATTATTCGAAATAAAATAAAATAAAATAAAAACAACAAGTGATTGATACTGTGAGTGATGTTATGACCCGAATTGATTTGTTTTTGTTTTTGTTTTATTTTTTTGTTTTTTTTCTTCTAGTGTGCATGTTGGTTGGCATAGCTTTGATTATTTTTGAATATTCACACTATTAATATACTCAATGTTTTAAAACTCATGCATAGAGATATGTGCATATCCATGGAAACAGAGGAATATATTATATTTATTATTAACTTGTGTTTTAGAAATCACTACACATCTTAAAATAATCAAGCATCAATGATTTTAGAATGTCTAAAACATTACTATTATTAAATTTTTGATTATACACACACACATATTTATATATATATATATATATATATATATATTAACGTTTTTCTTGATACAGTTAGTTATAATGTGGATTATTGTAATTTAAGTAAAGTCATGGTAGTTTGTTTTCTACTCCAAATTTTTGGAATATATATATATATATATATATATATATTTCGTACAGTGATGTGTGGTAATTTAAAAACAACTGATATAACAATAATTATTAGTGTCAAAGATTGATTTATAGTTTGATAAATGAGTTTAATGGATATAATTCGAAAATATTGAAGATGTTAAAACGTGGCTTGATTATTCAAATATTAAACTAAATTAATTTATCTACTTATTTGTAAATAAAATATCATGACATTTTTGTGAATCAGAATTTGCAGTTGTGTTTATAAATATGTTTTTGAAGAAATGCTTGTATTTATATAATTTAATTAATATAAATGATTGGTTAACTAGTTTGTTTTTACATAACTAATATTTCATGAAACTTACTGTTTATTTAATATTTACAATTGTTCCATTGTTATTGGATAACATGTTTCAAATAAATGTGATGAATAACATAATATGAATAAAAAGAAGAAATGAAAATTAATGTTTATTGCTTTTGACAAATGTTTAAAATCAAATAACTAATGATGTAATGTTTTTATATGGATCAAATTATGGATCTGTATTTTCGTGACGGCTTTAACCATTTGAATCTAATAATTATATTGAAGTAACCTATACAATATATATATATATATATATATATATATACGTATTTCACTCAAGAAGATGTAAATTATGTATAAAGTTCAGAGTTTTTAATTTCAAGAGTACGTAACTTAAACATGTAATAGTAACACATTGTTAGTTTATCTAGTCATTAAAAAATCAACTTACACATCACATTAATTTAGCTAAAAAAAGATGGTCCCAAAATTAGTTACAATTATTCATTTAAATCCATCCAACCCAACCTTCATGCACCAACGTATTAGTTATCTATTCACGAACTCGCCAATTTGCTTTAACAATACCCACCTTGGGGGTCACTCAAACCGAACCCAGGCTCCTGGTTCGGCACCGCTGCGGAATCGATAGGTTCGGCAACGAAAGTCGGACGAACGAGATTCTCCCGTCGTCGTCGTCGTCATCGTCAGATTCGTCCCCCAGTTCTGCGCTTCCTCTAAAACCCTAATTCACTTGTTTAATGAAGCCTCGCGCTTTCGATTCTGTTCGGTGTAATTGTAATTCACCGCTGCGTTCACTTTTTGCGATCCTCAGGTGACGTTGTTCTCCATCTCATGCTGTTTGAAGTGAATGTGAAGATAAAATATTTTATCTTTGCAGTAGTAGTAGAAGAAGAAGAAGAATGGAACTGTCCAGGTGTGACTTTGATATTACTCCCTGTTGGGTTTTGTGCAGTTTTGTGATCTACTCGTGTTCGTATGTGGAATTTAGAGTGTCGAGAAAGATGTGAGTGAGGTCGAGAGGATATGCTAGTTTGTGCACGTTTGAGGTGTGGATTTTTGGTGGTTTGTGTGATTACCGTTGATGAGATTGAGGCTCGTGGTTACAGAGATTTGAATTCGAGCTGTTGTGGTTTGCAGGGGAGTTTGGCGGGGCGTTACAGTGGCACTAATTGTATAATTGACAGTGAGTATTATCAGAGGATTCTCGTTTGGAAATTGGCGAATATTGCGTCGGAGTTGTGTTGGGTTGGAATTTGCAGTTTGAATTGAGTGGCGACGGTGGTAGAGATGGCGAGGGGTTTACCTTAAGCAGCCGCGATTTTGGATTCATAAAGAGGTTTGTTTCACTTTCCTTGTAAAGTTTGAGCGGGATTTTGTCGGCGTGTGGGGAATTTTGTTTCTTTCGTGGCTTTAAAATAATCTTCTGTGCTGGAGGAGCCTGGGAATTACAGTACACATGGTGACGAGATCATCGGTAATTTAATTTGAAGGGTGATTAACGTTCTCGCCCTTTCGTGAGTTAGGAATCGCACAAGTAGCCAGAATTCGGAGTATCTCTTGAGTTCTGTATTTGTGAAAATTGTAAGGGTGAAGGGTATATATCTAGGCACAGTAGCAGAATTATGTGAAGACCTTCGGGAGGTTTTCAATTATGCTGAGAGCAAACCTGGAAATGATAATAGCAAGATATAATGAGATCTGAAGATGATAGGATTTTGAAGTTTGACACTATGTTGTGGTCTGGTGATGTTGGATTTACCTTGCAGGCGTGTTCTGTTAGGGAAAGCCTCACTGCTGCTTCCAAGTATGGGGTTGATGAGGAGCTCTGTTCATTTCACGTTGGGTGGCTTGGTTGGGGTTTACGTGGCCCAGAACTACAATGTGCCCGATGTTGCTGGCCTTGTCAACACTGGCTTGGCCATTGCCAAGTTCTTTGAAAAGCAGTATCGAAAGTCCTCCGAGGCTGACGACCAATCGTAGTCACTCAGCAACCTTGGAAAATTTTAAGTCCTTGGACCCTGCTTTTTAAGAAGGGAATAGGACATTTACCTTTTTGCAAATCGAGTTGAAAACTGGAAAATTAGTGGTGTGAAGAATAGCCATGAGTCATCACCAAAATTGATTCTTAATTGTGAGCTGTTTTCAAACAGCATGTAGAGGTTCCTGCATCAAGTGACAATGGTCTTGCAACCTCTTTACAATACATTGCAATCTGAATTTCTAGACTATAGGGAAACTGTTAATTGAAGATTGAACTCCCCAAGAGTTGATGCAATGCAGTGTTTGCAGCTGAAGGCTGTACGGGAGGAGGAAATAGTGTTGTTACCTTTTAATTTTTTTATGATTATACTCAATTTTTTATTAGGATAGACCAGGACGGCCAGCTATTCTTTTGTTTTGCATGTTGGTAGATTTTTTATCAGAACATATTGATGCTGTGAATTGCATTTGTTAGCACCTTGTTTGATTTTCTCGGTAGGATGTGAAAGATGTGCATAATTTAATGCGCGCGGCATGGCTCACTGGGTTTGCCATTTCTATTTAAATTACAGGACTTTCCTCTCTAAAGCCAATGGATTCATTAGTTTGTGAAGTCTCATAGTGTCATTGAAAATCAAACTTGAAAATTATTAACGGAATTCAAAATATACATCTATATATACATATGTATACTTTTCTTCCAAATATGATCTTCTAATTATATTTATACTAATGCCAGTTTAAAAGCCTATTTTAAGTCAAATGTACCTATTTTTCCCTGTTTACCTATAACTATAGAGAAATCGAACTTTAAATTGGGAATTTTGAACCAGGTAGTGTATTCAGTGTTCAAAAACACGTTGGACTTTATTATTTTTTTACATGTAATATTATATTCTTTCATGATTTTATTGATTGTCAAAAACTCGAATTCTTATCATTAGTTTAACATAGTTTAATAATTGATATTTATATGTATTTTGTTTTTAGGGGGGGAGTTTTATGGTCTTTTTGAGAAGGACTTGGTATAATTTTTATTTAATAAAAAATGATTATCAAAAACTCTCTAAAGGTTTTAATTCCAAATCCATTGTTTTAAAACAACTCTTTTACCATTTAAAGCACATGGTATTTAGAATATGCTTTGATTTTCTTCTAAACAAATGCAAAAAACTTCATCAAATCAAAACTTGTGAAGATAACTAAATTGCAAAACAAAAAAAAACAAAAGATTTATATCAAATAAAATAAATATAAAAATATATTAATTTAATTTAAACATCACAATATTAAAGTAAACACTAATAAATATAAATAAATATTTTTTGTTTGTATATTCATTATCTAAACTTTATTAATAATAATCTTGTATTCATTGCTCGAAAAATAATAAGTTTATTGTTTGAAATGTAGTGATTTGTTTCAAGAGCTACAATAAAATGTAAGATACTGCTAATGTCACTATAATTTTTGCTATTGTCACTACAATTGGGATCCACTTGACACTTTATTTATTTATTTATTTATTTATTTTTTTGTATTTTGTATTTTTGTTCAATCAAATGGTTTAAAAAATATTGAATAAAGAAAATTTGATTGATTCAAAATATTTTGAACAAAGATGGCATGTACTAAATAGAAGGTTGTGGTGGGAGTAGCAAAAAGTATGGTAGGAACATATTTAATATCTATATATATATATATATATATATTCATACATAGGCTCAAGCTACAAGCACACTGCAAAATTGCCATATGCACACCTATTATGTCTATACACACATCCAAAGCCTCTGATTGGCTAATCCAAATTTCTTTTTTAATCTCTTCTTACTACGCTTTATTGTCTTTGTGTAGGTCTTCATCTTCTCCTTCACTTCTTCCATACATCCATATGGGTCTTGCCTCTATGAGAAGGAAAAAGTGGAGAAGGAGATTGGAACTTGTGCTAGGGCAAAGAAAAAATGATCTTGATTAACTAATCAAAGGTCTTGGGTGTATGTATAGATATAATGGATGTATATGTAGCAGTTTGGAGTGTGCTTGTAGCCTAAGATATATACATACGTGTAAGGTAGTGCACAAGTTATTGAAACCATTAATATTGCCAAAAGTTGGGATTTAGTAGCCAATTTAAGATTTGATATAAATTGGTGCAAGTGCCTTTAAACAAAACTAGAAGAATTCTTGCAAAATCTAAACTATTAGTATTTAAATTATTAAACAATGGATATGAATTTTTCATGTTTTGATTTTAGATGTACTCTATTTTTTACATTAAATTATAAAAAATAGACATTCTATTTGAAAACCTATTTTTTGTAGATACTCCATTTTGAGGATGTGGATTGAAAAAATTGAAAAAATCATTCTTTTAAGCAAATATGAATCTTGTAAGAAATCTAGTAGCAATTAGTCTTCTACTATAGCATATCTAAGTTTCAAGAATTTTAAAATATAAAATGAACTCAAAAATAGAAATAGTGATGTTTTTATTTTTTAAAACCATCTTTAGAAATTCTTCTTACATAAAACATAAAAATATCTTTAGAAATTCCTTTCATAACATTATCGCAGGCTAGATTTTCGAAAAAAAAAATAAATACGAAGAAATCAAGTGAAATATTTGTAACAAAAAAATACTTGAATAAAGTATCAGATATGTCCTCTGTCGTTAACCACATCTCCCGTTCGTCTACGATGTCCTACGTTCTCCGACGACCTCACACTCTCGTCGTCGCGGCAACAGTAGGTGCTCATGGAATCGGCTCATCGATGTGGCACTGAAGACGAGAATCGATGCCACCCAGTGCCTCACAGCTCTAATTACCCACTTGCATGTTCGTTTCCTCGATTCGAGTCATGCGATTGAGAGTATGTCGGTGTAGGAGACTTGCGATCCGGAGCTTGTGATCATTTTGTGTCGTGGCGAGTGTTTGCGAGTGAATACTGCAGTTGGGTTTCATGGAGATCATGATTCTGTGCTTTGAAGAGTTCCGAAGCTGTGCAACGTAGCGAGAACGCTATCTTCGAGAATTGGGTTTCCCAGACGCTGATCGTTATCACACGGGGTATTAGCTGGTGATGAGCGGGAATTAGATTGGTGGGTCACGATGTTTTGCTCGCTGTCTTCTCACTTATTGCCCACTTGATGAAAACTGCAAATCTCAGGTCAGGTAGTGTGTTGTAGATTGCTTCGAGTGAAATCCTCTGTTTCTGTTCATGAAATAGAAATTAGGGCCTAGGTGTTGTGTGTACGCTGCAAGCCAAGGTCCATGTACTAATTTATACCCCTGTTTCGTTCCTCGTGTTGGTTACACATAATTCATGTCATGTCATGTCATGCACAGTGAGTTTCCGTTAACTGGTTCCCGGCACGAAGTCGTTGTGGATGGGGTCGAGTTCATGGCAAAGGCACGTGCTCCGTGGACGTTCAACCGTTTGGAAATGGTTGCGTTGAGTTTTAGCGGCAGAATCTCATTTTGTCGTTGAGGATTCTACGATGTCGATGACGAGTCAAAGTCTGGGAAAACACGTGCATGTTTTGCGCGCATTGGCCGTGATACTTGACATGGCATGGCATGGAACGCAAGACTTGTTAGGTCAATGCAAAAGCTGATCATGCAGGTTACGTGAAGTGATGCTACACTCGCTGTACAGGAATATGGAGTGCGTTTTGGAGATTGCCGTTCGTGTCGAAGAGAAGTGATGATTGATGGGTTGTGAAAGTATTGTTGTTATGTAACGCCTAATTGATAAGTTATTTGGGCTTGTTGGATCGCTTGTTGCTGCCATGTCGCACCAGTATGATCCTCTTTTCCTTCCTTACAAGGACTGACACTATTGACTTTGTCCATTGAATCAATTTTCGAGTAATTGAGGTATTTGAAGGTTATGTTTTAAGTTGAGTGTATTGTACAATTTCATCACCGAAAGAGTGAATTCTGGATTCAGTTTTTTGGTTGTTCTAATCGGAGCCTTGAACGCATGGGTTCGACTGGTTTGCTTAGGACGTTCGACCTCGAATGGACGACAGCCATGTTGGAACTTGTGGAACTTACGAAAATCGAATTCCCGCGACAGATCGAGTCATGGCCTACGGTGCGCTCACTTGTTTGTATGCAATTTTCGTTGTTCAGGCCATTCAGATCATATTCGTCTATCTATATCTCTGACAAACGAATTGGAATTCTGTGTTTGGGCAGAAGTTGGACCAGTTCAAAAGAATTTACGTTTTGTATCTCCAAGTTTTCCGAAAATTAGAGGATGCATTCGACCAGGTGATAAGTAACCTCGTCGTCGTAGTTTTAAAATTTCATTTATCATACAAGTATTGAATGTGCTCGTAAATGCATGAAAGTGAATTATGGTCTATCGTGATCTTTTACGGCATTTCCAAAATTCGTGTTTCTTGTTATGCTTCTGGGATGAGGAAACGGTGTTGTGGAACTATCAACTGATCTCATAGACTAAAATTCATTCGTGGTTCTTTGCGCGAAGATTATACATCCTCAAAAGCGTCGATTTGCCTGGAAAGCACTGGAAGCGTGCATTGGCCGAATGCTGGAGGTCAAAGGAGTAATGTGAACGAGCCTTCTTCTCTATTAGAACAAACACCGATGTATATTACACCTGAGCAAATCTTGCTCCCCAAGTGTAGAACTGCAGTAGATTAATTTTGCGATCACTGTCCTTCCAAATCTATGCATCATCTTAATGGGAAAATAGTCAGAAGAGTTTTCATTTTGTTCACGAGGGTCACACAGCATGTTATACACCTAGTGAAGCTGAATATTGAGGCAATGTGCTGGGTGGGCTGTCCAGTGGATGGTGGGACTAAACGAGAACAAGGAGTACTTCAATTATGACGACATACTGGCAAGTCTTGACCTCACATTGTAAGCCATTGCATTTGTCTTGATCTTCTGTTGATTTCGATTGTGCTGAATGTCAAAGTGCACGCTGTTGCTTCAAATCAAACGTAATCCATTTTCTTTATGTACGAGAAGGAATTCACGACTCAATGTTAACGATCGACATTTGCAGGCACGTACAGACGTGAACTTGCGAATGTCTTTTGTCTCGTGATGAATATAAGGCATGTGAGGAGTCCCTGGAAGTTAATATTTGTTGAGGATCCTCTGCAAGGAATTTGCCATATCCTAAAATCTCCTGCTTTGACGGTAATTAATCGGACTAAAGTGAGAAAACTCAAAATTTGGCAGATGGAGTTACATTTGCCACTCGACAAACTGGACATCACTCCTCCACGCTTCCTTACGGATGATAGCAAAGAGATGTTCAAAGCCCGTGAAGCATTTTTGGTACAGTACATTACACTCAATTGCCACTATCACATATTTATTTGAAATCATCTGCAGTGAATGGGACTTATAACGCTACTGTTTACATGTGATGCAGCTTTGGCACAGTTATCTAATGCTACTTAGGATTTCATGACCTAGAATTCATGGAGAGTATAGCCAGGATGTTCATATAATGTTGACCACCGACAATTGCAGCACCGGTGTTTCATTTTGGTGACTTCTAATCATGTCTCTGATTGACGCATTTTATAACTGTTCTATTCAGATACAAGCGCACAGTGACGCTGAAGTTGCTCGTACAAAAGTCCAGGCTGAAAAAGAAGCCGCGGCAAAAGCAGCTGCAGACTTTCAGGCCAGGAAAAACAGGACAGAAGTTCTGGCTCCGCCTCCTCCGTTGACTGAAGAGGAATGCATTCTCATTATTCAGGTACCGGACGTTATTGGGAAACTAACGTCATTGCAAAGGTTGGTTGCATCAGCACGTCCTAATGAGTTTGTTGTTCTACTAAAACAAGTGTTAATTGCAGGCAGAGGAGAGGGGGAGACAAAGTCGAATGAAAATCAAGGAGCTTGAAAAACAGAAGTAATTAAATCACTTATTTTAATCTTACTTGCAGTTTATTCTGGAGCTACTTCATGAAATGTCTCCTCAAATTGATGTACGTTGTGTTGTATCTATCCAGACGAATGCAAGAAGTAGAATTGGAGAAGCAACGGAGTGGTCAGAAGCCACTCACAAAAGACACTGCTGTTGGAGTTCTTCAGCGTGTGTATCCTATTTCAGAGGTGTAGAAAACGTCTCTGTAGCAACTCAAACTTCGGAGAAGACTTCAAAGAATAATTCGACGGAGTTACGATCTGATAAAAAAGAATAAGATAATTACAATCTTTTCGCCGTGATCGTTTACCCCTTAACTCATGCATTTCCCAGGGCTCGAGGCTTCAATGGAAGACTTCAAACTGAGGCTTTGGTTTTGGATGAGCTCACCTTGATCCGTAAGTTCCAAAACTGTTGATTTGCAATTACTTAGGCTTGGAAGATGAATTAGCTGCAAGAGAGTTGTGCAGTGTAGGCAAACATGTGAATTTTTTCTACGTTGTTTGTGGCGCTCACAGATATGAACAACTTTTTACCGCCTGATCCAAATGATCCACGAATAAAGCTGGATTCTACTCTTAAGAAGCGGAAAGAACTACAATTGATAAATGAGTTGGAAGAGACCGATGCAATGGTTGAAACCAAAGAGAAAATTAAGGAATTGGAAGCTCAAGAAATGCGTGAAATCATGCAGGTATTGCGGTTGCAACAATATCTCTACATTTCTCAAACAAAATCAAAGGCAGAGTTGCTGAACAAATCGGTGTTCTTGTTTTCTTGGCCAAGTGTATTTTGAGCGTAATTGTGACCATGCACAAAACCTGCAGGAAAGGATCAACGTCTGGTTGAATGTAAATCGAGATCCTGAATTCAATGAATATCCTCCTTTTCCAAAAGTAAATCAGGGTGGAAGCAGGGACATTATTGATCCACCTCCGCAACTTTGGAGACCAGAGGATGAAAAAAAGAAGGGAGGAGACGACAAAGGGAAGAAGAAAAAGCCGAAGAAGGGAAAGCATGGGATAAGGATGCCGTCAGAGCCAGAAGCAGATGGCGAGGATGTTCCTTTGTGCCCAAATTACTTCGGACGGCATATCAAACGAGCTCTTGAAGCCTACATTGAAACTTGGCATGATAAAGATGACTATAATAATCACCAACAAAAATACATCCCCGACATCCTGAAGAACACATTGAGGCCTCTGGTGTTTGAAGAGGCAAGAAGCTGCAGCCACAGCAGTTCCAGTGGTTTTTTCAAATTGAATACTACCTTGGTTCATCCACTGTGCATTCACATTGTACACTCGAAAATGCTGGGACATATTCATGATCTGATATTTACAGGTGCGAATTGAAGTCGATGTCGGTTCTCGAGAGCTTCTTGTCCAACTGAAGAAGAAAATTGCAGCTGATGCAAAGGAGGCTTACAAAATTGCATTGAAGGCAGCTAGAAAAGAAGGGAAAGAGAAAGAATTCAAGGCCAAAGTCAAAACCGAAAAGCTACAGGTAAATACTTGCAGTTTATGAAAAGGATTAGGTGTAGATAACTTCCCTGAATTCAACGGAATTGTTTACCGAATCCACGCCGTACTCTAGTTTTGTTAACCCAGTCTCAATAATATTATTCAGGCCAAAAAAGACAAGGCTGCCAAGATAAAAGCTAAGAAAGAAGCTGCGGCGAATGAACCACCACCACCGCCGCCACCAAAGGATCCAAGAAAAAAACCAAAAAGGAAGAAAGACCCCACAGAAAAAGAATCTGTGGAATCTTTAACAAGAGAGCTCGCCTCAGAAGGTATCATGCGAGTGTGCCCAAAGCGATCCTTCGATGAATACATCTGTCAAGATTACTTGCGAGGCGTTGCACCTGATCCTGTGAAAGACTGGTTGATCGATAACAGCATGGCGCATGTAAGAGAACTCACTTTTGGAACGCATTTATGATGGAGAAGTATTATAAATTTATTTTTATTTTTATTTTTACTTTATTGTTGTCCTGCCTTGATTATATTCTTCATCGTTACAACACTCTTCCCCAAAAAGTGTGTCCAAACCACTGTTTGGAACCTTATGCAGGCAAAGAGGTTGACGATTGAGTATGCAGTGCTCCCATTAGCCTCTGAACTTGTCCACAAAAATGCTCCATTCGTACGAACTCTGCTGATTCACGGTGGCAGGAGGACAGGAAAAACCCTCCTGGTAAGTTGGGACCAGCTCCGATCATCTTCTACTGTTCCCTCCACGATTATGGCACACATCTATCCATCTAGTTCTGAAAAATCAGAATGCGAGAGACAAAGAATTTATGTTCAATGTGTGGTTCACTGTTGTTATTGTTATTATTCCACGTTGCCTAACAGAGTACTAGTGCAGCCTTTGGATCATGCAACATGTGGTGTGTGTGTGTGTGCGTATATATATATATATATATATATATATACACACACACACACACAAATGCATCTATTACTCTGAAGTAAAGAAATTGCTGCGTTTTTCACTAGGCTCATGCAGCATGCACCGCAGCTGGGGCAACATTCTTCGATTTATCTGCAAAAGTGATTGACGGGAAGTACGTGGGTGCGAGGAATGTTGCAAGGATGCTCCAAATTGTGTTCAAGTTGGCAAAAATCATGTCACCCTCTATGATTTACATTGATAATGTTGAGCAAGTTGGTATCTGAACTATGAACATTTTCAATCTTTTTAAAACAAACTTGAAGAAAAAGAAATTTCAATCTAATCGTTGTTGACATTTAACTAGGCCTTATAGTTTCATGAACTAGGCCTTATAGTTTCATGAACTTAGCATGGAAGAACTTGAGGACGACTCAGCCTCCAAATTTAACTTTTTGATATTTGTGTGTGTCAGTGTGCATGCATATATATATATATATATATATATATCCTCATATAAGGATGATATAAGTGTTCACAAAAGTTTTGGGAGTTGAATATTGGGTGAATGTGAGGAAGTGGAGATGAGATGTGAAGAGTGCAGCACAGTGGGCATGAACAGGTGTTTGTGACAGACAAAAAGAAAATCAAAACCTTTGGACTCGTTGATAAACCGAATCGTATTAAGAAAGCCTTGATGAAAGAAGTCAAATCATTGTACCCTGGAGAACGCGTTTTCTTATTGGGGACCATGAGTAATACTCAGGTAAAAAACAAAAAAAAAGCAAAAAAAATCAATGTATTAATTTTTAAACCAATGTCAGCAAGTGTACACAACAGATTTATTAGGCATTTCATCTTCAACACCCTATATATATATATATATATATATATATAGAAATACATACGGGGTATTTTAGTATTTTTGGTATTCCTATTTGCAAATATAGGTAAATATCATGTACATACATACATACAATAAATAAATATATTGATATCTTTCTGTGGGTCTCTTTGTGTGTATATATATATATATATGTATGTTTTAAATGTTCTGTTTCAATGCAGGATCTGCAAGGGAAGAGGGGGCTTTCAAAAGTGGCTGCAAGCTTTTGCAAGTTTTTCACAAAGAGGATATATACGCCATATCCGGACTATGGGGGGCGGATGCTGCTGTGGCGGGGGCTGTTGGAAAGACATGGGGCCATTCTCACACACCATTTCAATGTCTCCACTCTTGCATACTTATCTGCCGACTTCAGCATTGGTGACATGGAAGACATCTGCAAAACCGTGCTCACTCCTCAACGCATTCGCAAAGTATCTCACCCTCACCCTCTTCTAAAAAAAACCCACCCAATAAATTATAAACAAAAATACACACACACACACACACACACACACACACATATATATATATATATATATATATATATATATACACATATAATTTCTTAGAAAAATTAGATATTTTGTAATCTTTGATTTTAGAAGGAAGCTATATTTATATAATTGTGTCAATGATTTTTGAAAGTATTTTATTTCAAAATTATAAATGTGTGTTTGTAGGCTAAACGAGTTCATTTAAAGGTAGAAGAGGTTGTGGACCATTTCTATGAATACAATCCTATTGAACCAAACCTTCACAACATTGCACGGGTAATCTTTTCTAAACTTTGGAATTCTTCTGTGGCACACCATTGATTGAGCCAAGAAGTTTGGATTTGTTTACACTGTGTCACATTTTTTCTATTTTATTTACAAACATATCACAAATATCTATATGAACATATTCTTCTGCAAAAACACATAATTTTTTTAAAATAAAATATTGTTAGATAAAAATTAAAATACTAATTGATATATATATATATATATATATATATATATTGATGTGTGCAGCATTTTGGCAAGCCACCACAACCAGAGTCTATTGATCAAGAAGCAAACAAAAACAAAAATAAAAAGGCTGATCCCAAATATATTAAGAAAAGATGAAAAATGAAGTAGTTTGTGTATATATATATATATATATATATATACATAAACTAAATAACTTGTAAAATATAGAACCATCTATTTCAAAAAATCTTAAAACTTTGACTAATTTTTTCTCAGAGTATCCAAATCTTGTTGTTATATACACATATTCAGTCAAACACTTTTTAAAGAAAGTAAAATGAATATATTTCATTTTAAATTATAGTACAGACATATTCAACAAAGAAGATTTTTCTCTAAATGATTTTTAAATAGGATACAAATTTATTAAGTAAATTGCTTAATAATATTTTAAAAGTATTTTCATTGCAACATAGAGTATTGAATATTGTGTAAATAAATATATATATCTTGTAGTCCATTTTTTCAAATAATATATATACATATCTAATTTTTTTTATTAGTTAATTTTTAAAAAAAAACAATAAAAATTAGACATTTTTATATTTAAATTAATATGTGTCATGTAAAAAATTATATTATTTGATTATTTATCTTATTTAATAATATAATTATTTACAATATATAATAATCTATTATTATTTATAAGCTATTTTTTATATAATTTAATTTAATTTTCATAACAGTAATGCTAGAAAGAGCACTGAAATTAATTTATGTTTAGATATTTTTAATTCTATATTTTTTTGCAAGTAATAATTTCTTTTGAATCAAAAATAATAATTTGAATCAAGGTATTTTTAAAATTTTAGAAACAAAATTAATGACCATGTTGATAATATGTGATAATAAAAGGTTTTTAAAATCTATATTTTCCTGTACAAAACGATTTTGTTTTAAAATAAGATTTTCTATCTAAAATGCTAACATATGATTTTTGTAAGTAAAAAAGTGAATAAATTCAACAATCTATATTCACTTAGTATTACATCAAGGTTTCCATTGCTCACTATCTATTATCATATATTAAAATTTATCTTTAAATAAAATAAAATATATTATTTTAAAATAAGATAGATATATTTATTTGATTATTTATGGAATGAGGACTCCAAGGGTTCAATGATGCTTAAGATAGAGTGGGTTGCTTTAGTAAAAATTTGGATTGCTTTAACATTCTCTATTTTTTATTATATATATATATATATATATATATATATATATATACTAAAATTTATGTTAAATATAATTCTATTCTTATCATAGTATTCCAATTTTTAGAAGTTCCAAAAGCTTGTCTAATTTGGCACAAATATTTTTTATTTTTTATTTTATAAAATATTATTAATAATTTTATAATTTACTTTAACCATTAATAATGTAGAAAACATAAACTTAAGATAATTTTTTTTCTTCAAATAATATCAAAAATAGACCGACATTAATTGAATACATGGAGTGCTTGTAGACTAAAGAAGCCATGGCTTTGCATGATATACTTACTTTGTTTTTTTAGGATACTTGAGGCTACACTTCTTGTGCTTTCAATGTTAGGAGATGCTACTATTGTTGGGCATTGTTGGGCAATGAGGAAGTATTAGAAAGACGTCAAAAAAGAAAAAAAAAAAAAAAATAAAAAATCAAGGATTCTGTAGAACAAAAAGATGGAAAACATAACCTTCATTATAGGTGGTTGTTTAGAGACTTATAATACACTCAAGCTAGCAATTAAGAATGATGCAATTTCTAGCAATTTTGAAGTCCGCATTAAAAAGACTACAAGAAAATGATACATCATAAGGTGCAAAGTTGAAGACTACTTATGGAGGTGGCACATAACAAAATTGACAACAAGTTTAGCATTCACAATATGCAAATATAACAATAACCATTTATATAATGCACTTGTGTATGTAAAGAAAAAACTAAGCATTTGTATTATAACTAAATATTTTATATTAGCAATAATAGGGTGGATAGTTAATTAACAAAATAAGGCATGCATCAAAGTATCTTGTCAAGGACAAGAACTCGATGAAAGCTAAAGAGTAAGTGAGACTTTTCTCAAAAAGAAATAGGACAAAATAGAAATATGTATATTAAGAAAGAAACTGGAATGGCTATTGCCAAAATACAAGAAAACTAGAGACCCTTGAAACTAGACTAGAAGCAAGAAAGGAGTTGACAAGAGTGAAGAGGGCTTCACTCTTGCCTCTATATATACTATCTAACTAGAAGCCACATGGCGATGTTCTATAAGACCTCCAATATATGTTGACTTTCTAGGCCACATGCCTTTGCTTGCAAGGCAAGTTTTCTATGGATGGACCACGTAGTTAGCTTGTTCTTTAAGCTTCCAACATGCGTGGCACATGGCTAACTTGTTGACCAAGTTTCTAACCTAAAAGTCAACTATAGACTCCTATAAAGTCAAAGCAGCGTCTATGAAGCTTCTAAGAAGCTTCTCTAGAAGATATTACACAGTTAACCTACTTTTACATACTTTTATCTATTCATATAGGTAATTATATGTATGTCCGTGACATTACCCCCCCTTCTAGGGACGAGTTCCACGAGGAGCGGTGATTATATATTGAGAAAATCTAATATGCGGCGAATTGTATTTGCTACATATTCTGATCTTTGTTCTCCTCGAAGATAGTTGATGGGTCCTCTTAGCCATCGATAGTGTCCCATTCCAGGGCGAGAAGACCACCCTGTTATTTGATCACTGTTGAGGCCTTCATAACTTCCTTCAAATAATACATTTGAAAGACCATCAGGAGTCGTTCCTATCTCCAATAATATCACCAAACATCGAGAATCTCTTCCAAGGTCGTGATACCAAACGCGTTGTATCTCACCATCTATTCGAGGAAGAACATGTCGTTCTTGAGGGTCTTCATTTCGGTTGCGTCGTCTTGAAGGTTGTGACAATCGCAATGTCTCATCCGGTAAGTCAGCAAACGAAGGTTCTTGAGTTGAATCCGCTGGTTGTTGGCTCTCCATCTAATTAGCGTCACAAAATGCAAAGAAGTTACAAACAAGGATAGGAAATTGAATGTTATCTTGCCTCAATCTTGTCTCTTTTATAAGAGAGGTTTTCATCTTGGTTTTGATGGATGTCGTTGATGAAAAACTTTGACTTTAGCTGATGCATTTGCTAGATTCCTGGATGGCTCCCATGTGCACTCACTAATATCATATCCGCACCAATGAACAAGATATTCCAGCTTATTTCGGCGCCGCCTTGAGTCTAATATCTCTTCCACCTCAAATTCTTCATTATTATCTACTTCTGTAGGAGGCGGTGGCATTTGTCTTCTTCCTTGTATATCCACTATCTTATATGGTTCAAGAAGAGACACGTGGAATACAGGATGGATCTTCATTGACTCCGGTAGATGTAACCGATATGCAACTGGGTTGATCTGTTCAAAAACAGAAAAGGGGCCAAGCCTACGATAGTCCAATTTGTCACAAGGTCGAGTGGTCTTGATATTGCGACGAAGTAGCCATACCTTATCACCCACGTTGAGTTGTGGTTGCTCTTTACGATATACATCTGCATTTATCTTTTGTCGTTCTTGAGCTTTCTTCAACTGCACCTTCATTATTGCATGTAACTCTGACAACCGATTTGCCATATCTTCTGCTGCAGGATTATCAACTTTTGAAAAATCAAAAGTATCAAGTCGTGGATGATAGCCATAATTGGCAAAGAAAGGTGTTTGTTGCGTGGAGGAATGTACCGTATTATTATAAGCAAACTCTGCCAATGGCAGAAGGTTTGTCCAATCATCTTGTTGGTAGTTGATGGTACACCTTAAATACTGTTCCAAGACTTGGTTTACGCGCTCTGTTTGTCCATCAGTTTGAGGATGGAAAGCTGAAGATAGCTTTATGTCCACTTTTAAAATCTTGAAAAGAGTCCTCCAAAATCTCGATACAAATTGAGTTCCCCTATCCGATATGATATCTTTAGGTAATCCATGATAGCGATAGATATTATCAATGAAAAGCTTAGCTGTTTCTTCACCTGTGATAGATTTTGTACATGGCATAAAATGTGCCATCTTGGTGAAACGATCTACTATCACAAATATAGAATCATAAGATCTTGAGCTTGGAAGATCTGTGATGAAATCCATAGAAACAGAAGACCATGGTTGTTCTGGTATAGGTAATGGCTGAAGAAGTCCGTAAGGTCGATGTCGAGGAATTTTTGATCTTGAACAAATATCACATGATTGTACAAAGTCTTTGACTGACTTCCACATTTGTGGCCACCAAAAATCTCTTGATATGAGTTCCAAAGTCTTATTATATCCAAAGTGCCCTGCTGCTGGAAAGTCATGACGTGCTTGAAGAACACGCAAACGTGCTTTTCCTTCTGGAACATATAGGCGTCCTTCAAAATATAATAGATTATTCTTGAACTCGAACTTAGAAGAATCATGAGACTTGGAAGAATTATTCTCGATATCATGAACAAGAGGGTCTGAGGACATACTGGACTGGATTTGCTTGAGAAAAGTTGAATCAACAGTCAATGTTGATTTCACTGCTCGGAGATGAAATTGCTCCGGTTTCAAGAGGACCGTTCTTTGTTGCTCAAAAGCTGCATCTCCTTCTTTTGGTGCAAAATAAGAACGTCTAGACAGGGCATCGGACAAACCTTGTTGTTTTCCTGGCCGATAAGTGATAATGAACTCGAATCTTGACAAAGACATACTCCAACGAGCTTGACGACGATTCAACACGCGTGCTGACATGAAATACTCGAGGTTCTTGTGATCTGTATACACAGTGACTGGACTAGAAGCACCTTCTAGATAATGACGCCATTCTTGAAAGGAATCCACGATTGCAAGAAGTTCTTTATCGTGGATCTCATAATTGATCTCGGCTGCTGAGAATTTTCTTGAATGAAAAGCTATCGGATGAAGTTTGTCATCTGTTCCCATTTGTGATAAAACTGCACCCAAGGCAAAATCCGATGCATCTGTTTCCATAAAAAATGCCTTGGAAAAGTCAACACGATATAAGACTGGTGCAGAGACAAACGATGTCTTCAAGGCTTCAAATGCTGCTTCCGCTTCTTGATTCCATTGGAATTTATCTTTATTAGTCAAGCGTGTAAGTGGAGCTGCAACTCGTGAGAAGTCTTTGATGAAGATCCGATAGTAATTGGCAAATCCCAAGAAACATTGGACATCTCTCACAGTCTTTGGAATCTTCCAATCCATGATTGTTTGGACTTTCTTAGAATCCATCATAAGACCATCATTTGAAATGATGTATCCTAAAAAGTCAACTTAAGTAGTGTGAAATACACACTTTTCCATCTTGGCGTACAATCCTGCATCTCTGAGTTTTTGTAATACTTGACGAACATGTATTTCATGTTCTTCAACATTCTTAGAATAAATCAGGATATCGTCTAGGTAGCAGATGACAAAATTGTCTAAGAATTCACGAAATACATCATTCATGAGATGTTGAAAAGCAGCTGGTGCATTCGTGAGTCCAAAAGGCATGACATTATATTCAAAATGCCCGTACCTGGTTCGAAACGCAGTCTTCCATTCATCTCCTTCTTTGATCCGTACTAGATTATATGCTCCTCTTAGATCTATTTTTGTATAGATCTTAGCTTGATTTAACTGGTCAAGGAGTCCTCATATCAAAGGTAATGGATACCTATTCTTGATTGTGATCTTGTTGAGTCCTCGATAGTCAACACACATTCGTAAAGATCCATCTTTTTTCTTTACGAATAAAATTGGAGCTCCTGCTGGAGATTTTGAATGGCGTATGAAATTCTTCGCTAAATTCTCGTCAATATATGTCTTGAGTTCAGCCAACTCATCTTGCGATAAACTGTAAATTGGTCCAAATGGTGGCTGAGTTCCTTCCTTGAGATCGATTGAACAATCGTATGGGCGATGCTCAGGAAGAATATCTGCATTCTTTTTCTCAAAAACGTCTTGATAATCCTGATATTGACTTGGAATGCCACTTGAAGTCTTTACGTTTTCAGAAATAGGTGCAGCATAAATAGCAAAAGTTGATCCTTCTTTTGCTGCGTGTATAAATGCTTTTGCACCTATAGGTGCGAGTTTTACTATACTAGACTCATGGTTTTTTACTTGGTTAATAGAACTGTTACTAATGCTCTGAGAAAAATCAAGTTTACGAGAAATCCAATCTATTCGAGGATTATACTTTCCTAATCATGATAAGCCTAAAATTACTGGATTAGAGGGAGATCTAATTATATTAAAAATTACGCAACTACTATGACCATTTATTACTACATCTACAGGAAGTATTTCGTGAGTTACATCTCCAGAAGACAACGGACGACCATCTATGACTTCTACGTGTACAGGTTTAGTTTTTTGTATTAATGATATTCTATGACATCTAGCAAATTCTTCATCTAAAAAACAAGCTGAGGCTCCTGAATCTATCAAGGTAGAGGCTTTGTAATTATTAGGTCCTAAACGCACATCTATTATAAAACAAGGAGATGGTTCTGAGGAGAGGATAGGACCTTTATTAGAAGTTGTACAAGATTCCAGCCGCACGGTCCCTATTGTAGCTGGACGTACTCGTTTTCCGACATACTGTCTTCTTTGACAGCCGTACTCCTCATTTTGTAGTTACGTCGCTTCTTTGGACAATGTTGAGCAGTGTGCTTAGGTTCTCCACAATATAAGCACAATCCTTCTTGTCGACGACGAGACTTTTCTTGCTCAGTGAGAGGTTTGAAACGTACCGCATCAATTTGCATATCCTCTACTTCTGAAGGTATGTGTTGAGGAGACATCGGTGTTGCCATTGAATTGTAGTAACGTTGAGGCCCACTTGTGCGACTCTCGGATCGAAATTCAAAAAGTCGATTGTCGCACTTCACAGCAAAGTCAATTGCTTGACTCAATGTTTGAGGATCAGGTAAATTAAGCATCAATTTCTTTACCTCATATTGTAATCCGTAGAGAAATTGACTCACAAGTGCGGCATCATCCCACTTGATATCAGTTGCAAGTTGTCGAAATTGCGAAGCATATAATGTTACTGATCGATTGCCTTGTCGCAAAATACGGACCTTGTTGGTTGCAACACGAATTGCATCATGTTCTCCAAACATGGATCGAAACTCCGCCAAAAAAGCCTCCAGATTATCCAATATTGGATCTCGTCGTTCAAGAAAAGATGAAAACCATGACAATGCTGAACCTGAAAGAAGTGTACCAATGAATCTAACTTGTGACTCTGGAGTTGGATAGCTCTGGGGTTGAAGTTCAATCACTAATTGGACCTGATTGATGAATCCTCGAAACTTGGATCTGGTACCATCAAACTTCTCGGGCAAGGCCACTCTCGGTTCTCTAACACTCGAAGGGTGTTCCATTCTGGGAGAAGGGACATGGTTTGGTGCAGATGTTGAAGCAGCCCCAATCATCTCTATATCTTCACTTCCTACCATTCTTGTTGCTCCTTGTGGTAGTAAATTGAGTTGATGCATCGCAAGCATTAACTCCCTCAATTGTTCTTGCATCTGTGCCATTGCACTCTTCATTTCAACAAGCTCTGCCATAGTAGCACTTAGAAAAGAGAAGATGTCTAATAACGCTCAAAACAAATAGAAGAGAGGAATTGATAACAAAGAAAATACTAAGAACAATATCAGTTTAAAAGAGGGTAATCCGCAACTTCTAATGCGCTTATGTCTTATCAAGAAAAAGGGGTAATCCACTCTTAATCAAGAAAAGACAAAGCTCTCATATTGTAAGTGTACTCTTGTCAATCTGTCAAGGACAAGAACTCGATGAAAGCTAAAGAGTAAGTGAGACTTTTCTCAAAAAGAAATAGGACAAAATAGAAATATGTATATTAAGAAAGAAACTGGAATGGCTATTGCCAAAATACAAGAAAACTAGAGACCCTTGAAACTAGACTAGAAGCAAGAAAGGAGTTGACAAGAGTGAAGAGGGCTTCACTCTTGCCTCTATATATACTATCTAACTAGAAGCCACGTGGCGATGTTCTATAAGACCTCCAATATATGTTGACTTTCTAGGCCACATGCCTTTGCTTGCAAGGCAAGTTTTCTATGGATGGACCACGTAGTTAGCTTGTTCTTTAAGCTTCCAACATGCGTGGCACATGGCTAACTTGTTGACCAAGTTTCTAACCTAAAAGTCAACTATAGACTCCTATAAAGTCAAAGCAGCGTCTATGAAGCTTCTAAGAAGCTTCTCTAGAAGATATTACACAATTAACCTACTTTTACATACTTTTATCTATTCATATAGGTAATTATATGTATGTCCGTGACATATCTTGTCTCAAATCTCTTTTCATAGTTATACTTCTATATTTAACTCCAAAATTCTATCAAAAATATTATTTTAGAAATTATTTTTTGGGGCCTACTTTTTATATGTCAACATTTATTAGACTTTTTTTTTAATATTTCTCATATTTTTTAATATTATATGTTTAATATTCATATTTAATTCTACTATTAATATTTTTAATCTTTAGTTTTTTATTTTTTTAACTATATGTTGGTTTGTATATTTGGATTAATATATTATGTTTTGTTATATATATATAAATATTTATAAAAATATATATATATATATATATATTAACAATTAATAAATAAATAGACTTGTTAATCATTTGTATTATAACTACATACTAAAATATACAAGACTTATAATCTATTAAATATTTTAAATTTTGTAGTTGTAATTTGACTCAAAATTTTATTATTCTTCACAAACCTTTTGAGAAAACCAATAAATATAATAGTTTCACCACATGAGTTGTTTTATTAAATTCAACTTTAATAATAACAAGCATATTTAATAAACTCTTCACAAGAACATTCTACATTAATTGCTGTAAGAGAAATAAGACCATGATATAAGAATATGTCCACTAAAAAACTCTCTAACCTTCATTTAAACCAACAAAAAACTTACATGTAGAAAACCGTAATCTTCTCTCTTTGAGAACAAAAACTTTGAGAAAAAAAAAAAATTCTTCGATTAATTAGAATTTAAAAATAATAATAAAAACTCAACCAAAATCATATACAAACATACATACACACATACAAATTTGCATTACATACTGTGAAGGTATTACCTCTACGCCAGGTGAGCTTGTTCCACGTCATCGTCGCCTTCTTCATGGCAACTTCCCCGTTTCAAATCAGTTTCCTGCTCTTGCCCACCCGTTTTGCCTCGTCGCTCGCATCCGCCATCGCTATTGTTGCTGATGGACCCTTGCTCTTGACGCAGGTTGCTCTTGATGGTTCCCGTTTTGACAATCCACACAGTGTTGGAGATTCTGGCTGCCGCGCTCTTGCCAAGTCTGGTGATCGTTTTCAATTACGGAGAGAATTTTATTTCTCGTCGCTCTTTCATCGACTACAGAGTGTGAGGTTGCGAGCTTTGACGATGAGGCTCGCTCTGCACTTGCCGCCTCATTCTCCTCGTATCTTTTTTGTCTCGTTCCAAAACCTTCTGTGATTTTGATTTACTTATGGTCTTACTGCGGATGTTTGTGACTTCAATTGCGAATTCGTCATGATATGCTGGAAGTCGGTCTTCTACTGATTCAGCCCCGGTAGATGTTCTTCCTTTGAAACTTCTTGCGGATTCAGATGGTGCTTTTTAGTTAAGTGCGCGGTGAAGAATGCAAAAGAATTTTTAATTCGCAGTGGTTTTAGTTTAGTTTTTTTTTTTTAAAGTATAGCGCGTGTTTTGAGGTCTTGTGATGTGTTAGTGCACAATGCACTTTCCAATTTGCCAGCAATTTTTCAAAGCATCTCAGGGATGGTAATTGGATCGCTACTGTTAATTTCGTGATTTTATTTTGAGGGAATCTTGCAATCCTTTCAGTACATCAACAGGCTGACAAGCTTTGAAACTACAGACACATATTAGTATTGCCCTCTGCTGTGTTATATTTTCGCGTTCGATGGCGTAGTATATTACTGTCGGAGTTAAACCTTGATTTTAAACGATTAGATGAAGATCTTGTGTCTGCGGTGGGATGGAATCTCTGCAACGAGCTCTACACATGCAGTGACGATCATACAATATGGCGATGGAATCGTGGTGGCGAACCTCTCAGCAAGGTATAAGGTGTACAACTGCTTGATTGATACGGCAGGCCTGAGATTTGAGAATGCTAGTCATTGTAAATCCAATCCTAGTAAGCGTTGGATAGATACTGTTAAATTTTAGGTGCATTCCTCTTGTCTATTTGCGTGTTGAGTTGGCCTAAACCCTGTATGAATACCACACAATAATTATTTGAAGATGTTCGGGGCAATTGAGATGTTGCCAAAGATGACCTCGCAGCTGTACGCTTTTTTTTTTGTGACATTGTTATTATGTTCCAAAGCAAGATTTTCAGTGGATCATGTTAACAACTGACACGTCTGCAGTTAGATCTTGTTTCCCCTCGGTCCCCATAAATTTTGATTTTCAAAATCTATTAACTGAAAGCATGCAATCTTATGGTTCAGGTGTGCACATTAGAAGCCTGTTTGACTGATATTCATTGGTTTCCATCCATGTCTCAACGACAACGGAGTGGAGCAGGCACAGATGTTTTTGTTGCAGCTTGCACTGACGGTAAATATCCGATATTAAAATTGCTACCATAGCTGCAATAAGCTCAAACAATTCGGAAAAAATAAACCTGTGTCACGCATGGATACTTATGATATGAATGATGAAGCTCGCTGTTTCATGTAGATTACATCTAACATTACTCTTCAGTAATTAGTTGCATTAAAAGCATGGGAGACGGATGCATCATGCACATTGCTCCTGCCTGGACGATTGGCTATTCAGTTAAACCGCCACTTGCTTGACCATGATCAATTTGAAAGAATAAAATTATAGGTAGAGTTAAATTTACGTACTCTTATGAAATGCTCTTTTAGGAGCGTTCTATATCATGAGCAGAGGAGGGCGGGAAGAAAAGCGTGTTGAGGCTCACGAGGGTGCGGTCATCTCTATCCGATGGAATTTTGAAGGTTTTAATCTTTTTCTAGGTTTTACCTCTTTTTAATTAAAATCTGCGTCTCTGAGATAGAGTCCACGATGCTGCTTTGTGTCATTAGTTTCAAATCCTCCGAAAATGAAATGTGTGGTCCGTTGAGATTGTACGATGAATGCTTACATATTTTGTGCAGCTTTCAATCCCTATGTTTGTAGTTTCTTATGACATAGCTTCGGCTATGGTGCTCATAGGAACTGCTCTTGCAACCGGGGGTGAGGATGGACTTGTGAAGATATGGTCAAGGAGTGGAATGCACCGATCAACTCTGGCCCAGAACGGTATGTAAAATCAAAATTGATAATAATTTGAAAGTAGACTAAGAGGAGAATTTAAGGTTATCATATCTGAGATCTTCCTGGTCTTTGGCAGTTATCGCTGGAACGCAGTTTTAACTTGTGTTTAATAATGTTGCATGGATTCAACATGACTGCAGGGCATGCAGTATATGCAGTTGCTTGGGGACCAGAGTCGGACCAAGTGGTTTTCTCAAGTGGCTCCAACTTGTTCATTAAACCCATACAGGTGCTACCGTCATCTCTTCCCAGAATTCGCTTATCTCACTTGTGTGGGGTCATTGTCATGGCATATGGCTGGGCTTTAACGGCCTGCTTGCAACAAAGCCCAGCTATGTTGCATATGGCTCTGGTATCTCGTCTGGTTCACAAAACCATAGGGTTTATAACGAGACTGCTAATTTAACTGTGTTCATCTTTAAGCGACAACGTAGACCACGATCCATGTACGAATATTGAACGAAATGTTGACAAGAAAGATGGAAGTTGATGCATGACATATTATGCCAATCAAAGAGTAAAATGATGGGATATGCAGTCTTCTTCCAAGCTTCTGCACTGGGAGGGACACGAAGGGCTTGTTTTGAAAGTGGACTGGAATCCCATCAACAATTCCATCATCTCTGCTGGAGAGGATTGCCGCTACAAGGTGCTTAGTGAAAAGATTTTGTTAAATTGACATAGCTATGTTCTTTAATTTCTCATCAATCAGGTCTTGGGATTATGTACATTCTGTCAAAATAACCATTGGTGGCAGGTATGGGACTGCTGTGGTAGGCTGCTGTATCAAAGCTCCAAAGCTGATTACAGCATTACATCTTTGGCGTGGTGCCCTTCAGGCGACGTCTTTGCTGTTGGGTCCTTCAACTCCGTCACATTATGTGATCTAGCAGGGGTACAGAGTTACTAAACCACCACGTCAATATTCCTTTCTTTCTGTGCAGAAACTCTGTGGGATTTATAAACAAGAATTATTATCTCTATATTTGAGGTAGCCTGTTTCTCTGGCGCCTTGATGCGATGGTATGGTGAACATACAGTTTCCGACTGTTAAGTGTCATTGTTTAAGTCTATCTCCGCCTGAAAGAGTTACATTTTAACAATAAAACTGTATCTCTAAATTCTTAGGTGATTCATTCCTCAGATTATTGGTTTTCTCTGCTAATTCCACTTGGGTTTCTGGTCGTTATCTACAGTGGCCGCACGGAAAAGAGAAGCTTAACACAGGCAGTCTTCTCAGTGTGGCATGGAGTCTCGATGGGACTCAACTCGCTGGTGCTGGTGGAAATGGCACCGTAGTTTTTGGGCAGCTTGTTGACAAGTACGATCACATTATATCAGTTCTATGTTCTGCTATTCGCCCGAAGCAGTCTGATTTGGTCTATATATGAAACGACACAAAAGTAACTTGCAAATCTCGCCGTATTGATACTTTGATTGCAGATATGGCATAAGTAGTGATCTAGTTGACTACATTCCAAAGATAATCTCAAAAATTTATGGAAAGTTTCATGGCTCCTGGATGTAGGACAATCGAATGGACCGGAATAATTGCGACTTTGGAAAATCAGAATCGCATACGCATTCAGGTCTGTGAAATAATGTTTCAGCTGGGAATTTTTTTTTTAGAACGTGTTAGTAACCTTCCTGACGGTTCATAGTTAGACATACATAGATGGAGGTTATATTACAAGTACTGGGAATAATGAATCATGAAGTTGAATTTGTTAGTTGATGAGATATTGCTGATATTATATTCATGTCGTAGTAATTATGCCAGAGTAGCAGTTATATTACTTGTCGCTTTTGTAGAAAAAGCTACCTAGAGGTTGGACTGAGATGCTTATTGGGCCTCTTGCAAAAATTGCTCTAAAAACGAAGGAGCATCCAGTATTTAGAAACATCGCTCTTGTGCAATAGGTGGTATTCAGCTCACTTGTTTATTCAGTCACGTGTAAAGAACAAGATGAGATTATGAACTGATTTGTGCAGAATATATTAAAAGACACAATTAAGGAGTTAGATTTTCGGGATCGTGTAATTAAGATGAGCCTTAGTTTCCAGCAGCTCGTAGTGGCCACTGCCTCACAGGTATACTTAAATTTTACGTATGTGAAGATTCGGTGAAATTTGTGTGGATTGTTTGGTGTTAATTAAACTTTCAACAATGTTCCGCCTTCAACATCTGTCTTCAACCTGTAAATTTTGTAACGTACGCAGTGCTGTATATATTCAGTCACAAACTGGAACACACCACACATCCTTGATGTCAAGGACAGTGTCATCCTGGTGAAGCAGTGTCGGCGCTACTTCCTGTTGATTGATTGCTTCATGGGATTGCAGCTGTTCACATACGAGGGCCGGCACCTCTCTAATCCCAAGTTTCAAGGTGCCGATCACCCAATCCAATTCGTGATATTTGTTGCAGTGAAGCATATTCTGCGCAAATCATGTACTCAACAAAGAAAACCATACATGTTTGTGATTTCACGGAGGAACTGCTTTCTTTGAGGCCTAATTTGTTCATGCACACGGCAGGTTTACGAACGGAATCGTTTAATCAACGAAATGTTAGCCTTTCTAACAACGTTTTCGCAGTTATCGAGCACAATGATAAAAAAGGTACACTGCTTGAGATCCTTATTTGCTTTTTTGACCATATACGTAGGTTAATGTTTAAAATGAGATCTGAAGGTCGGTGTTACGGAATTTGTTTTTTTAGTTACGTCATGTAGATTGTTTTAACCCCTGGTGGTGCAGTTGTACGATTCCTAGACGTGAACACAGGTAAGCTGGTGGGAGAGGTGATGCGCCATTCTCTGGATGTGGTTGAAATTGCGTTAAATCAGTTGGGCATCCTTGCAGATCAAAAGCTTGTGTTGATTGATTCCAACCGTGACCTCTTCATCTCTTCCATCAACGTAAGAGTTAATCAAAAACAATTCATTTCCTTTAACTTTTATGCGCACCTTTCCGTGAAAAGATGTTGAAAGATTTCTCTTTCTACACGAACGATGTACTATTTCGGACTTTACCAGCAGGTGGCAATGGTTTGGCCTCCTCCTTTCTATTATAGTATTAGATTACCCCACAAGTTGAAGAGGTGTTTCCTTCATGACTATTTGGTTTAATCAAACGCTTTCGCTTTACGTTTACCTATTTCCAGTGACTCTCAAAGACTTCTAATTATTTGGAAACAAGGTATTATATGTTTAGATGAAACTTCTGTAGGTCAAGAGAACCTATTCTGTTTCCAGAAGATCACGGATGTGGCAGAAATTGAGAAGTTACCATGACGTTGGTTCTCGTGTGTGGAGGTTTGACTTACACATTTAGAACACGGTGTGTTAGTGTGCAGAGACTTGCGTTATTTAAATTAGCCTCCATGGTAGAAAGCATCATGTGGAACGAGGTTGCTGACATATTGGTAGCTGTAGCTGACCGAAGATTGGTGGTGTGGTACTATCCGCACGCTCCAACTGTAGACAAGGATCTTCTTCAGTATGTAAAGCTCACAAAAGATTGGTAAGTATCGTTATGCTTAGTGCATCATTGTGCCTGCTTTCGTACATATCCTGCAGTCTTATCTTTTTTGTCAAGTGAATGTGTAAAGATTATACTCCTAATTGCTGAAATTTAAAAAGGCAGCATAATGATTGAAGCGTTTTATTTTCAAGGAAGATTGATAAGCGTTGACTAAAATTACTACCATTGAAGTAGAAACCAGTATCGGAACCTTTCTTAAAGACCTAGTTCATTTCAGAAATTCGGTGCGGTTGCAATGCTCGTTTCTTGCAGCAATATTGGGAAGAACGCGAGGTTTCTAAGTTTCTATGGGCCTCAATGTACGGTTCAACGCGCAGATGGTGCATCCATATCTACAAATGTTTCTCCGCACCCTTTTCTTCTCTTTGAACATGTTAATGCCAAGCAGTGGGACCAAGCGCTACGATTGTGCCGCCATGTTAAGGCAAGCAAGAGTAGTTTTTACTAAAGTAGTCGCTTTCATTTAACTTGCAGACCTTGGATTAATGTATGCAAGATCAGTACACGCCTTGTTGAGTATGTTTACTCATTTATCATGTCCTGAATCTGGTCGCAGGACAATCTTCTGTGGGCATGTCTAGCTGGCGCATCTATGGCAGCCAAAGAGTTGAGTGTGGCGGAGATGGCATATGCTGCACTTGATGAGGTGCATAAGTGGTAGCCTAAAAGCATGTGGTTTTCTTTCAGCTTCGTAACAAGAATATTGCAAGTTTAACCAGACGCTTCACAATTCTGCATGGACAATGGACAAGCTACATTCGTTGTTTGTTCCTTTTACCAGCAATGATGTCTCGTGTTATCTTCAGACCACCATCACCAGGGCTAATGCTCCAGAAGTCTATTTTTGGATCTGTGAGATGCAAACATGCCCATGAGATGGAGAATTTTTAGCAACGGATGACCTTAGGTGGCCACACTGACCAGTTACCAAATTCTTTTTACATTTAATAACAACTACTGATTCTCGCAAGGATTCCGGACATCGGGTGCAGGTTGATAAAGTTCATTACATAATTTACATGAAAGATCTTCCCTGTGAAGAAGCTCGACAAGCCGAGCTGATGCTGTTTCGGAGGCGTTCGGAGGAGGCCGAATCGATACTCCTCCAAGCGGGCCTCACTTATCGGGCCATTAGTCTCAATATTCGACTTTTCAACTGGGATAGGTACATCTCAAATTGGAAACATGAACTGGAAAATATTTCAGTTGTTGTCCTGTAAATCAGAAGGTCTCGCTACAGTATGAAGGCTAGTGCTGGGGAACATCATCTACATGACATTTTATCCATGTTCATCCATATTCTTCAGTATGCTAGTTCATGAATGTAGGACTACCTTCATCTAGGTGGAACATGCCGTTTTCTTCACTTCTTGCCAGAAATCTTGAGAAGCAGTGTCCTGTGTCTAAGCGACACAAGTGAATTACAATGGTTGGTGGGTCCAATTGGGAGTATACCGAGAATGTATCTGTGTTTGTCACCTGAAGTTCTCAGCATGTATTTTTCTTCACACTCTCAAGAATCTTTTTTACGAAAGACATCGAGTGAGCGCCGAATAATAGATACCTGATGGCTACTTTTTGCAGAGCTTTAGAACTAGCATTATCATACAAGAAGACACACTTGGATACTGTGCTATGGTACAGGCAAAAGTACCTGCAGAAAACCAAACATGAGGAGACAAAAGAGCAGTTCATTCATTTTGCTCAACAGGTGGCCACTTCCTTTTGCTATTGAAATCCAACCTGTATAGTAGGTTCGCATCAACTCTACAATAGGTTGAGGGATTAATATCTGACGAAGAGAAAGACGATCATCTTGCACATGATGCAGGTAGTCATCAACGTAGACCATATCAAAGAGAAAATTAAAGAGGAGAAAGAGAGAGAACGTCGACGGTCAGGTACTACAATTTTTGGCTGCTTTGTTATATATCTATGTCTGCGTAGTATCCACTCACTAATGCTTCCGACTCTGAAGCTGGAGTCTTTCTTAAACTTTCATGCATTAAATCTTTCTTATGCTATTTCCAGGCGCAAACCCTTTGCAAACAAAGCCAATGTGGAATATATCTCATCGTGACATGCCCGCATTTACTAAAGCTGGTCTTATAAGTGGTACCAAGTCGGAATCCTCAAATCTGCTCTCTAATACAGTTCAAATTGCGTAGCAGTTGTAATCTAAGGAAATTGCAATCTCCAGCGTCTAGATGATGTTCAACAACTGTTGGATCGGAAAATAAGGTGACAATTTTTCAACATGTATCGGGTAGCATGAAAGAAAATTAATCACTAGTTCCTTGACGCTCTTTCAGTGATTTTCAAAACAGCCTTAAACTTTGCAAAGTTTTCGTAAGTTTACTTTCAAAGCAAATGTGTTTCTTCAAAATTTACTAGTTTTTTGTTTTTTTTACCTTGGTAACTCAAAAAGGATATATGTGGTAACTATGAATGTCATAGTTTGGCCTCTTCAAATTATTTCTGTTTGGTCAAGTGGACTTGGGACAATTCCACTTGAAATTGGATAAAAAATCAATAAAAAATAATAATAAATATGACTTTTTGGCAGTCATAGTACAAAGTCCCAAAGAATAAGTCAACCAATCATTGCATGTAGTGTTTGCAAGGACTAAATTCATTTCATGATATTTCAACTATTTTGATAGCTTAGATCTTGTAAATTTCTAAATGTTTTAACAAAAAAATTAAAAAATAAAATATTTTTTAAATTAAAAATTAGATTTTTATTCATATTTAGGAAAATTCTCATCACGTTGACAATTTGTTTTCAATGAAACTACCATAAAGTGATGTTATGTCAACATTATATATTATAACATCTATTGGTTGTTTGCCTCTACTATAAAGGCCAAGTTATGAATTATTTTCTTTCTACCAATCATATTATTGGAATCTATTATTTACTTATTAATTGGCCAAAATGTATAGTAGAATATAAAAGATTTTTCAAATAGATAAAAATAGCAACTTTGGTTGCAGGGAATTATCAAAGTCTTATCACAACACTAACAAAGTAATGTTTAGACATCCATTGGTCACAACAGTCTTTATCATGGAAAGCAAAAAAAAATGCAAGCTATTTGGATATGAGATCTCCAAACTTAGCCACAATATTATCATCTTTATCACTAATTTTTTTAAGATCCTAAGTATATATCTCTTAACATCAAAGAATTTATTTTTGTCATAGACATATATGTTGATACTAAAAATTTCTAAGATAAAAAGACTTAGATAAAAATATATAAAATTAGGTCAATTTAATATTATTTTATAGAAAAACTTTATAGTCATGGATTTGACAATAAATTGGTCACATGTTGCATATGTTAACCACTTGTTTTACAAGTTGATTACATATCAGACATGATAGCCTCTTATGGTACAAATTGATTATGTGGCACACATATTGAAAACTTACCTTGCAAATTAAATATATGTTCAATGATCTATAGAATGTCTTCTTATACCTCTATAGTTAGATGATATATATAGATGCAAGAGTGAAACCTTTTTTACTCTTATTAATATATTTTTTGTTCTTAGTATATGGATTGATGTTCCACCAATTAATCTATTTATGTAAAGATTGTAGTACAAGGTAAAAAAAAATTAATATTGAAGCTACATAATCTTAAAAAAATAAGTCAAGCAATTGATTGTACTATAAAATATGATAGTTGGCTTTCTAAATTTTGATTTGAAAGCTACACAAGTGAACCTCAACATCTTAATAAATAAATGATAATATTAATATCTTTTTAATATATACATTCAAAGATGAGAGACATGTAAATTAATGCACTATATTTTAAAGTTCTTATTATATAAGAAAAGATTTAATATTATTAAGAAAGATTGTGCTTATATTTTAAAATATCAATGCATATTATTCAACATCATCCAAAAAAATGATGCAACAACAAAATAAAGAGTGTGGTTTTCAAAAAAAAAAATGTTATAAAATAAGTTTGTCTATGTATAATAAGGACCCTATAACCAAAATCTTGTATAATATGTACTTAAGGTCATATTTTCTCCTAAAAAATCATATTTTGTTTTATAATAGTTGTTTGTTTAGAATCAAAAAATCACAAAGTCTTAATCTTGTTAGATTCAAGAGTCTCAACTTGTCAAGGACAAGAACTCGATGAAAGCTAAAGAGTAAGTGAGACTTTTCTCAAAAAGAAATAGGACAAAATAGAAATATGTATATTAAGAAAGAAACTGGAATGGCTATTGCCAAAATACAAGAAAACTAGAGACCCTTGAAACTAGACTAGAAGCAAGAAAGGAGTTGACAAGAGTGAAGAGGGCTTCACTCTTGCCTCTATATATACTATCTAACTAGAAGCCACATGGCGATGTTCTATAAGACCTCCAATATATGTTGACTTTCTAGGCCACATGCCTTTGCTTGCAAGGCAAGTTTTCTATGGATGGACCACGTAGTTAGCTTGTTCTTTAAGCTTCCAACATGCGTGGCACATGGCTAACTTGTTGACCAAGTTTCTAACCTAAAAGTCAACTATAGACTCCTATAAAGTCAAAGCAGCGTCTATGAAGCTTCTAAGAAGCTTCTCTAGAAGATATTACACAATTAACCTACTTTTACATACTTTTATCTATTCATATAGGTAATTATATGTATGTCCGTGACATTACCCCCCCTTCTAGGGACGAGTTCCACGAGGAGCAGTGATTATATATTGAGAAAATCTAATATGCGGCGAATTGTATTTGCTACATACTCTGATCTTTGTCATCTAGATATATTACTAATAAAACTATTCTTAAAGATGCAATAGTAAATGGTTATAATAGCTTAGTGATATTTAATAATAATTGGATCTCTCTTTAAACTAGTCATTTTAGATTTAATGTGGCTAAAAAAATATAATCCTTAAATAGGTTAGATTTTTTATAATTTAATTTTTTTATAGCACACATAAGAATTTTATTAATCAAAAAGAAAGTCATAAATCTAGAACAACCAAATTTTTATTTATAAAAGTAAGAATTTTTATACATTGTATAAAAGAAGGAACATCTTTAGTTATTTATTCCACACTTATTTCTATTGGTGAAAAATCTTCAAGTGGCACTTCAATTATGTATAAAAGATATATATATATATATATATATATATATATATATATAAAATTGAGAAAAAAAATATAAATATTATTTTATAACATTATCCTTAAAATAAGTCAATTCATCTTTAAGAAATAGCTTAATTGTTATTTGGACCAATCTAAAGATTATTACAAAATGAGTTGGCTTTATTCAAAAAGTGTATTAATAAAAACTTGGCCAAGAACTTTATAAGCTATGGAAAATCTCTAATTTAAACTCATATCTTTTTGTGAAGAAAATAATATATATATATATATATATATATATATATATATATATATATATATATATCATTGTAGATGTATGTATATTATAGATGAATCTATAAGATTACTATCAAGAATAGGTATCTCCTACCTTTAATAGCAAAAAAATTTGATCAATTAAATCAAGTAAAGACCAACATAAAAATAGATCTACAAAGAATATATAATTTATTATGTAATAAATAAATAATTAAATAAAATACTTTTTTTTAAATCTAATATGGATTTTTTAAATGTAATCTTATATATTTGGATTCACGAATGCATCATCTATTTTTTAACATCTAATAAATGATATCTTTTGAGAGTTTCTATATGATATTCTTTTATATAGACAAAATTTATCTTATAGTTTTATTTTTAAAAATATTTTGAATTACAAAGAGCTTCTTGGAGTTTTGGATTTAACTCAAGAATGATATTATTATTTAAAAGGTCCTTCAATTCCAATAACTATTTATAAAAATTATAAAAACCTCAAGTATTTTATTTCATCATACATTTTGAATTATTACTAAACTTATGAAACCATGTCTTTAAAAATACTTATATTTAATATTATCTATTAATTAAAAAATAATAATAAGATTTTTTGGATGTCTTTTTGAATATTCGTAGTTTAAATTAAAAAATAGTATGAAATTTTTTTATCAATAAAAAATAGTTCTTTTGAAGTTCGAACAATTTTATCTTTAAGGAAGAAAATCAATATTAATTGTTGATTTAACATTATTTGCCATATCCAATCAATTATGTCATCAAATCTTCTTATACATAATATTAAGAATAATTCTTTGAAATTTAATAATACTTCTAGGTTTAAATTTTTAAAAAATAATTTTTATATTAAAAGATGCTTATATATTCTAAAAGGTGAAATACAATTACATTATTGTCTTACATGTTGTATTGCTTGAGAATGCATTAGGCACTTAGTTGTGGAAGACAATTTTGAATTTTGCAAGAAACAAAGAGTCTAACAATTTTAATAAAATCTCAAATAAATTATAATTAAGTTTTAATAATAATAATTAAATCTTAATTAAATCTTTTTAAAATCTTTTAAAATATCCAAATAGATTCATAAATATATCATAAAGAATATTTTAAAAATCTATAAATAATCTTTTAAAATCCTTAAAAAATTATTTAAATAAATAAATACATAACTTTAATAAAATCTCTAATTTTTTTAATAAATAATAAATAAATAATAAATTTATTTCAGATAATTTATAAATAAATTTTAAATAAATAATAACCAAATCTTAACCGAATTGTAACAAAATCTTTAAAAAATTATAAAAATTCTAATGATGCTTTAATTAAATCCTAACCAACCACCACCAATTCCTATAATAATCTTAAAGCCTCAATGAATATAAACTAAATTATTGAACTTGCTTTAAAAATTTCACACATTTGAAATTATAAGTTCAAAGCAAGCATAAAAAATGTAAAACAAATTGAACTCACCAATTGGGATTAAAAACTCATAATTTTTTCACATATTGGTCATCCTCTTTTTTCAACCTTGATGTCTATCTTCCATCATTAATAGCTCTTTATTAAAATATTTACTTATCTTCAAAATGAGTAAATGTTTTGAAAATTAAATTAATTATTTGCATACAAAAAAATTATTTTAATCCAACTAAAAAATTACTTAAGATCAAAGAAATTTTTACTAATCTTTGAAATTAAAATTCTAAGATCTGAGTCCTCTTGAATCTTAATAATCTTTGATTTAACCATTCAATAGAAATCAAATTTACAAAATACATTTACAACAAGTAGAATCCCATATCTCCAAACTTTTGTCTATTAATTTACTATCATGCTCACAAAATTCTTAAAAATTTTAAATCGTTTTTATTTCTCAAAACTTCAAATCACTTAAAACATCTTTAACTTTACAAAGCTTTTTCAATATGTCGTTGTGTTATAACACAATAATATACTCTTCAAGCTTATGCCAATTTTTTAGTTATATGACATTTTAGATACAACAAGACCTTAAAATTAATATCAAGAGATTTTTTGTGGCCTCAAATGTAGATGTTAGTTTAAGACTTTATACAATCATGTAATATGTTTTAAAGATAAAAAATTCCTTATTATCAATCTTTTAAACTTCTCTAA